TATCTTTCTTTGGAAGCTTAAATTTGTTCTTCTCACACCACTGCAAGATTAGGTTCTTGAGGGCATAGTTTGGTGCCAGCGACAGGTGAGCCAGAGTTTGTCTGGTTTTCGGGCAAGTTCGATGATTGGAATCGATCCACTTCTGTATGCTTTCTCTTTCATATGTCTTCGATGGAATCAGCAAGGAAAACATAAGCAAATATGATAATCCAGTAACATATTTATATATGCATTATGAACTAAAATTTAAATGTAATTCATGAATTCATGAGATTGTTACCTGTCCACTTGCAACAATAACCGGGTCACTCATTATCTCTAGGGTGATTGGGCAGAGAAATTCATGAGGGATGACTATAGAGTGGCTCTTCTCCAGCATTTTTGGAATAACAGGGTCATCAAGAACATTAGTGATTTCCATACCTGCAGCTTGTTTGAATTTATTTAGAAGGTCTATAATTTTCTGGGTGCTCTCTAAATTTTGGCCTGCTCTTCCTTTGACAAGATTCCTCACAGCTATAGTCTCATTATTCAGGTCCTGACAACTGTGTAGGTCAAGCTTTTTTGCCAGTCTCTCTATTATGGCGCTGTCAGCATTTCGTTCATCCTCTTCAGAGAATACCACCATCATATCCACTGCAAGTTCTATATCTTGTGTGTCTGTTCTCCTCTTTGCTCGTTTAAGTTGCAGGCAAATAAGCTCAACCTGAAATGGGTCATAATTAAAAATTAATGGCGTCCCATCACGCTTCATCAAAATCAAATAGCCATCAAGAGATTTATACCTGTTCTGTCACTTCATCTGAGATCCCAAGTTCATCATAATCCAAACCCTCCAAAGCTTGACTTAATTTGTCAAATGCAGCATGGAATTTAATCATAACCGCCTCCAACTCTAACGCCTGAATTACAAACAAATTGATCAGAAAATAATGAATGATGAATCCCGTACTTTTACTATGTAAACAGTTTTAAAAAACTGTCTGACCAGATAAATCTTGCTTCCTTCGTTGCACATCTTCAACAATTTCTTTGCCATAAGAAGTGCCTTCTTTATATTAACAAGACAAACCATACCAGCTTTAGAAATAGGCGTATCAAGGTCTCTGATCTCCTCAATCAAGGGTAACAAAAGTTTCAAACGTCTAACAAGTCCATAACATTCTTTTCTCTGTGTTTTTCGAAAATCTCCAAATCGAGCAACAGATTCAATAATAATCAAGATCTCTTGGATCACATTATGATTCTGTTCCTCCGCAATATCTCCTCCTTCTCCTTCTCCTTCTCCTCCTTCTCCCTCTCGCTCAACATCCATTCCCATCTGCATGGGGCTTATGTGGTTCCACCTTTTGTAAGGTTTCAAGGGAATGGATGGCATCATTATGGTTCTCTTGAGGGATATTGAGGAGAAGAGAAACGTGAAGAGATGGAAGGAACCCTAACCCTAATTCCCATGGATTCTGATGCTCTGGTCTCTTTCGTAAACCTCTCCTGGCGAACGTGATTTCCGGGCGAGTCAGCACGTTAATAAGGGAATACATTTTATTTCGCGCAATTTTGCTTCTTAATTTAGAAAGTCTGTTATTTTCATAAGGTCATCCATGCATCTGCTGATTTCCCTCTCAAACAAACCTATCCCACATGCTGACACCTGTCCTCATAATTAATTGAAAATATAAATGTAAAAATATAAAATTTCAAAGCTACCCTTTATATGTAGTAAAATTCTCCTTCTGCGGTCTGTATTTATGTAGTCCTTCTATTTCATATAATTTTCTCCCATTCAATTAATTAAGAGGACCCAAAATGGGTAAATAAAAAATTAAAACCAAAGTTAAGAAAAAGAGCTTGATTTTCTTGTATCTTTCGTTAAATGAATACAGATCATACCACCAAAATATTTGTACATTGAATGGATTGATATTAGTGATTTAAAAATTATTCAGTAAGATTCATATATAAACCTAATTGATGTAAAACTGCATTTAAGGGTGTGCAAAAGCGGTTCAGTTAACCGTTTTCTTGAACTGAATTAGTTTTTCGATTGAAACCAAACCGGTCTGGGGGGAAAAACGGTTTTTCAATTAATCGGTTTTGAACAAATTTTCTCCTTTTTATTGGATAAAACTTATTTTTTTTTAAATTTTTTTCTAAATTAAATTGTAAACATCAACAATACATATTACAATAAAAATTAAACGTTCATACATATCCATTGACCACAACTAACAATACATTAAAAAAAAAATTGATACAAATAAAAGTCCGAAATTAAACAAAAATAAAAGTTTGTAACGAAATGTTCATAACAAAACAACAAAATAACTAAATAAGTCCCAATGAAAAACAACAAAAGAAATTGTGCACATTTAGGGATTAAGATTATTATTATTATTATTATTTATTTAATATATATATATAAGTAAACCGGTTTTCATTTTTACCCAAACCGAAAACCGAATTTAAAATCCGGTTTTTTGAATTCTTTGAACCATAACCAAAACGTTTTCTCGGTTAACCGGATTTTCGGTTCAGTTAACGGTTCCGTTCATTTTTTCAATTTTTTTGAACACTCCTAACTGCACCAATAGAGAATTACAAAATTTGAGTTTCTCATTATGTGGTAGAGGAAAAAGGGACGTTAACTATTGGGTTTGTGGTCGCATGGCAAAACCTTAGTCATCTGGGTGGGTTATCTAGAGGTCTTGTGTTCGAATTCCTATAATAATCTTCTACCACATTTATGATTTACTTGATCTATTGGGCTTGTAGGGAAACAGTAGGGTCACTGCTTCACTCATCAGTTAGTGAAGTGCTAGCACCCAACGTATGGGCTTTGAAGGGACAGGGAAAGGGAAGGGAAGAAAAAGAAAACAAGGAGGGTCACTCCTTTTAGGAACATGGCTCGTCCAATCACTTCACTCGTAGCTCACTGGTTCGTTTTTTAGGTCACTAGAAGATAGCTTTTCAACTAGAGATGCGATTTCTCTTTGTGCTCTGCACTAGAGCATTCTGAGAATACTGAATTATCTTTCTTTGAAGCTTAAATTTTTTCTTCTCACACCACTGCAAGATTAGGTTCTTGAGGGCGTAGTTTGGTGCCAGCGACAGTGAGCCAGAGTTTGTCTGGTTTTCGGGCAGTTCGATGATTGGAATCGATCCACTTCGTATGCTTTCTCTTTCATATGTCTTCGATGGAATCAGCAAGGAAAACATAAGCAAATATGATCAGTACAATTATAGCATATGAACTAAAATTTAAATGTAATTCATGTATTTGAGATTGTTACCTGTCCACTTGCAACAATAACGGGTCATCATTATCTCTAGGGTGATTGGGCAGAGAAATTCATGGGGATGACATAGAGTGGCTCTTCTCCAGCATTTTGGAATAACAGGGTCATCAAGAACATTAGTGATTTCCATACCTGCAGCTTGTTTGAATTAATTTGCGGAACGTGGAGGACAGAGAGTCTGTGACTCATCAGATCAATTATTTAATCATAAAATTCCTATCTTGATAGTTTTGGATGAGTTTATAAACTCTTAGGTAGGTTGTCATTATCGATCTCTTGATCTTTCACCATACTGCCATTGCAAGTGGATCAGACATATCAATGTTTGCTTTCTCAGTGAGGTTGGTATTAATCATGTCCAGTTTCAATCATGCAATATATAATAAACAAAGTGGTCTTGAGGTCTTTATGATTTTCATTAATCAACGCCGAACGCCATTGTTTTAATGAACTTTACTTTGTTACGTTAATAATAACTTTATATAGACAACAATTTTCTCAAGTGTCTTGATCAAAATGGAGAAAAAAACGAACAGATTCAAACTGAATTATACCTCTTTTGTCAGCTGATAAGATCAAACTGTCTTCTGTATAAATTTTCCTAATTTTTACTATTATTAAAACAATGCTATACGTGCAGATACAGGTAACTGTATCTATACGATTACGACATGTATAAATCTGTACCCAGAAACTAAGATTATAGCATACCACTGTGCATCAGATAAAAACACACTAGATAAGTTGTGGGTTAAAGATTATAGAAATGAAGAAAGAAGAATGACGTTTTACCTTCTTGAATTGATTGCTGGAGTAGTGATATGTTTGGCATACCTGAAATAGTGAAAAATAATAAAAGAGGAGGGTCCAGTGATGTGAATAATGTGATGACATTGAGCTGTGCAAAGATACCATCAGACTTTATTAACTAATCAACTTTGTTTCTACAGTATGTAATTTCACCAGTCAGATTTGAATCATTGTAATACAAATTTATATTATTTATGTTTATGCAGATGTTCTTCTTCCTCTAATTGCCATTCCCATAGAAGCTTTACTTCAATAACCGATTATGTGCCATCGTTGTGGATATTTCTCTTAGAGAAATCGCTTTCTTAGTGTAGATTAGTAGTATACTTCTTGTAGAACTTGGCTTTTCAGGGAAGCAGAAGCGTATGAAGAAGGTTATAAGAGTCGTAAATGCTCTCTTCTTTTGGAATTTAGAAGAAATGAGGTCCAAGCTGGTGGGCGGTGATGACTCAGGACTGTAACACTGGTGGTTGGTGTCTTTTTGTGCTTTTCTGGTTTCAGAATGAAAAGGGCACTTTCATATAATTACGGTGAAGGAGATAAACTTAAAGGAAGTCTCATTTTCATTTGATAATATTTACTACATGATTTACACTTTCCTATTTCCCGTCTCCTATGTCTAAACCAACTTCATCATCCTCATCATATTTCTTCTTTCACCTGCGATTCACTAATAATAATTTGTTAATTTTGCTTACGGTTTTGCAGAGCTGAAGGGTCAGGAGGTTCAAATTTTGGCCCAGTAATTAAATGCCCTTTAATTCAGTGTGGAGAATGGGCCAAGGCATCAACCTTTCTCATCCGGATGGCATTTCATTCATGGTGGGAAAATGTTTTTCTTTTTAACCCATTCATGGAGGTTCAAAAGTGAGTTCTTATATCACTAACATTAACCAATACCAAAACTGAATTATACTATATCTTTAAGATTTTTCCATGGAACTTGAACAAAAGAGGTTTGAAGAATTAATCAAAGCAAATAGTGAATTAATACAAAATTAAAACTCTTATCTTTAATGGAGTTACAATTGTTCAAACCTGTGTATAACTTGTAAAAGAGCATTTGCCTTCCTCTGAGCTCTGTTTGTTCCACTATTTGTGAGCTCAGCCAAATGTTCAAACACACCATACTGAAGTGCTGCTAGTATAAAAGATGAATTTGACCCCAATTCAAGTAGAACCGCTGCTGCACATTCCTTGTTCTTTGGGGTCCCTTCCTTAATGAATTCTACAAGAGTTTCAATAAATGTAAGCTGTCCAATCTGTTGACGCCCTTGTGGATTCGTTGCAAGAAGTAAAAAAATAGAGAGTGCCTCATCAACCATGTTCAAGTTTTTATCCTTCAATAAATTGAGTAAAGGTGACACAATGCCAGCATCAATAGCCTGAGCCCTGTTTGAATGGTTGAGAGATAAGTTAAATAGTGCTGTAACAGCATCTTTCTTACCTGTAATTGTCCCATTTTGTAACAAATCTACCAATGGTGGAATACCATTTGATAATCCTATGGTTATTTTATTCTCATCAAGCATTGATAAGCTAAATAAAGCTGCTGCTGAGTTCTCTCTTGCCTCTTTGCTTCCATTTTCCAGAACTTCTATTATCGCAGGAATAGCTCCTTCTTGAGCTATTTGTCTCTTGTTAGTCTCATCAATAGATAAATTCAACAAAGCTGTCACCGCATGCTCTTGAATTTTAGAATCTGGATAGGACAAAAGTTGAACTAAGGGTGAAATTCCTCCGCTGTTAGCTATTAAAATTCTGTTCTCTGGATTCTCCTTTGAGAGTAACCGTATCTTCTTTACAGTCGCTCTTTGCACTTTTAGGTCACTAGAAGATAGCTTTTCAACTAGAGATGCGATTTCTTCTTTGTGCTCTGCACTAGAGCATTCTGAGAATACTGAATTATCTTTCTTTGGAAGCTTAAATTTGTTCTTCTCACACCACTGCAAGATTAGGTTCTTGAGGGCATAGTTTGGTGCCAGCGACAGGTGAGCCAGAGTTTGTCTGGTTTTCGGGCAAGTTCGATGATTGGAATCGATCCACTTCTGTATGCTTTCTCTTTCATATGTCTTCGATGGAATCAGCAAGGAAAACATAAGCAAATATGATAATCCAGTAACATATTTATATATGCATTATGAACTAAAATTTAAATGTAATTCATGAATTCATGAGATTGTTACCTGTCCACTTGCAACAATAACCGGGTCACTCATTATCTCTAGGGTGATTGGGCAGAGAAATTCATGAGGGATGACTATAGAGTGGCTCTTCTCCAGCATTTTTGGAATAACAGGGTCATCAAGAACATTAGTGATTTCCATACCTGCAGCTTGTTTGAATTTATTTAGAAGGTCTATAATTTTCTGGGTGCTCTCTAAATTTTGGCCTGCTCTTCCTTTGACAAGATTCCTCACAGCTATAGTCTCATTATTCAGGTCCTGACAACTGTGTAGGTCAAGCTTTTTTGCCAGTCTCTCTATTATGGCGCTGTCAGCATTTCGTTCATCCTCTTCAGAGAATACCACCATCATATCCACTGCAAGTTCTATATCTTGTGTGTCTGTTCTCCTCTTTGCTCGTTTAAGTTGCAGGCAAATAAGCTCAACCTGAAATGGGTCATAATTAAAAATTAATGGCGTCCCATCACGCTTCATCAAAATCAAATAGCCATCAAGAGATTTATACCTGTTCTGTCACTTCATCTGAGATCCCAAGTTCATCATAATCCAAACCCTCCAAAGCTTGACTTAATTTGTCAAATGCAGCATGGAATTTAATCATAACCGCCTCCAACTCTAACGCCTGAATTACAAACAAATTGATCAGAAAATAATGAATGATGAATCCCGTACTTTTACTATGTAAACAGTTTTAAAAAACTGTCTGACCAGATAAATCTTGCTTCCTTCGTTGCACATCTTCAACAATTTCTTTGCCATAAGAAGTGCCTTCTTTATATTAACAAGACAAACCATACCAGCTTTAGAAATAGGCGTATCAAGGTCTCTGATCTCCTCAATCAAGGGTAACAAAAGTTTCAAACGTCTAACAAGTCCATAACATTCTTTTCTCTGTGTTTTTCGAAAATCTCCAAATCGAGCAACAGATTCAATAATAATCAAGATCTCTTGGATCACATTATGATTCTGTTCCTCCGCAATATCTCCTCCTTCTCCTTCTCCTTCTCCTCCTTCTCCCTCTCGCTCAACATCCATTCCCATCTGCATGGGGCTTATGTGGTTCCACCTTTTGTAAGGTTTCAAGGGAATGGATGGCATCATTATGGTTCTCTTGAGGGATATTGAGGAGAAGAGAAACGTGAAGAGATGGAAGGAACCCTAACCCTAATTCCCATGGATTCTGATGCTCTGGTCTCTTTCGTAAACCTCTCCTGGCGAACGTGATTTCCGGGCGAGTCAGCACGTTAATAAGGGAATACATTTTATTTCCCGCAATTTTGCTTCTTAATTTAGAAAGTCTGTTATTTTCATAAGGTCATCCATGCATCTGCTGATTTCCCTCTCAAACAAACCTATCCCACATGCTGACACCTGTCCTCATAATTAATTGAAAATATAAATGTAAAAATATAAAATTTCAAAGCTACGCTTTATATGTAGTAAAATTCTCCTTCTGCGGTCTGTATTTATGTAATCCTTCTATTTCATATAATTTTCTCCCATTCAATTAATTAAGAGGACCCAAAATGGGTAAATAAAAAATTAAAACCAAAGTTAAGAAAAAGATCTTGATTTTCTTGTATCTTTCGTTAAGTGAATACAGATCATACCACCAAAATATTTGTACATTGAATGGATTGACATTAGTGATTTAAAAATTATTCAGTAAGATACATATATAAGCCTAATTGATGTAAAACTGCATCTAGGGCTGTTCAAAAGCGATTCGGTTAACCGTTTTCTTGAACTGAATCGGTTTTTTGATTCAGGAAAATTCCTGAATTAAAACCGAACCGGTTTGGGGGGGAAAACGGTTTTTCAGTTAACCGGTTTTGAACAAGTTTTCCCTTTTTTATTGGATAAAACTTATTTTTTTTAAAATTAAATTGTAAACATCAATAATACATATTCTAATAAAAATTAAACATTCATACATATCCATTGACCACAAATAACAATATATTAAAAAAAATTGATACAAATAAAAGTCCGAAATTAAACAAAAATAAAAGTTTGTAACGAAACATTTATAATAAAACAACAAAATAACTAAGTAAGTCCCAATGAAAAACAATAAAAGAAATTTTGCAAATTTAGGGATTAAGATTATTATTATTATTTTTTATTTATTATATATATTCAAAAACTGAACTTAAAATCCGGTTTTTTGAATTCTTTGAATCGTAACCGAACCATTTTTTTGGTTAACCGGTTTTTCGGTTTGGTTAACGGTTCAGTTCATTTTTTGTATTTTTTTGAACACCCCTAACTGTATCAATAGAGAATTACAAAATTTGAATTCCTCATTACGTGGTAGAGGAAAAAGGGATGTTAACTATTGGGTTTGTGGCCGGATGGCAAAACGTTAGTTATCTTAGTGGGTTATCTAGAGGTCTTGTGTTCGAATTCCTATAATGATCTTTTATCACGTTTATGATTTACTTGATCATTGAACTTGTAGGGAAACAGTAGACTCACTGTTTCACTCAACAGTTAGTGAAGCGCTAGCACCCAACGTATGGGCTTTGAAGGGATAGGGAAAGGGAAGGGAAGAAAAAGAAAACAAGGAGGGTCACTCCTTTTAGGAACATGGCTCGTTCAATCACTTCACTCGTAGCTCACTGGTTCATTCATTCACTTGGTTTTTGGTGTTTAGTGGGTCTCGGGATTAAACCCCGGTCATTAAAAAAAAAAAAAAAAAAAAAAAAAAAAAAAAAAAAAAAAAGGATGTTGGGAGAATTTTTTGAAGTATATGGGATAGTGTGTTATCAGAAGAATTAAGAAGTGTAATAAAAGTTAACCAACACATTTTAATGAAGATGCAGCGAAGCCCATAATGAATGTTGGATGAATGCGTCACAAAATAAGCCAAATTTTGAAAGCACATGGTAAGTAACCGTGAGCTACACAGGAGAACGCGACTTTTTATCAGAAGGATCCGACGGTCTTAGTTCATAGCCGTTAGTTTTAAAAATAGCAGGGCATGTTGTGCGGACATATTATCCGCTATTCCGTCTCAATTTCGCTACTCTCTTTGTATATGTTTTTTCTTTTTTGTCTAATAACCCAGAAACCTAAAGAACCAGAACTCAAAGAGACAGAGAGAGATATCACTCTCCATTGCTGTGTCTAATGGAGTTCTTTTGAGTAATCTCTCTCTTTGTTTCGACGCCTGGACTGGAAGGGACACTCTCACTTGGAATTTGAATTTGATTGATCGAAATCCATAAAGAAACTTTGAGGGATTCTGGATTCGTGGGTCAGTGATGGGTTATTAATTTTATGATCTGGGTTTTGTTTGTTTGTTGATCTTTTGTTCTTGATTGAGTCTTTTTTTATTTCCATTATTTTGCATTCACACAAATCTTTAGTTTCTGTTTTTAAAAAGATCTTTATATTTTGATTGTGGTTTTTGATGTTTGGTTTGCACTTCTGTGATTCTATTTGTCTTTTGGTGGATTTTGATTATTTATGGCTCTTCTTTATATATAGATAAACAAAAATGGTTGGATCAGAGGAGAACAACCCAGGAGTGGTTGGAGCAACAAATCTTCAAGGTAGAATCTTAAATATTGATCTTTAATCTCTTATTGAATGTGTAGTTTTAAAGAAAAGGTTATTTGGTTTTAGATTTGAATTTGACTGAAAAATCCTGACTTTAATAAATGGGGTTTTGATTATGAATCAAAAGGGGGTTTAAGCACTAGAGGAGGAAAGCTTATGGCGGCAACTGGACACAATCGGCGAGCATTAAGCACAATTAATCGGAACATAATCGGAGCTCCACCTTACCCTTGTGCAGTCAACAAAAGAGCCTTGTTCGAGTAATTTTCTTTAAACCCTAATGTTTGATTTTATCTACTCAGTAGAGTGGGTTTTTTGTTTTGGTGCCTAGAGTGATGAATTTTTTTTTTTTTTAATTTCATTTTCTTCCATTTATCTGTTTTTTACTGCAACTAGATGGAGATTAAAGATTTATGGGATGTCTTCGTTGGTCTTGTTTCTGATTAGTGATTAAGTTAAACTCAAATAAGCCAAAAGGGTTATTAGGTGCTCATCGTAGGGTGGTTTCTTGTTATTCTTCATTTCTGGATGACCTGAAGTTTTAAAATTTTTTAAGTTTATGCTTCTTTCCTTTCTCTACATTCTGGCAATTAAAGAGAGCTTTATGTTTTGTCTTAGAATTTTTTTCTCACCTTTCCCACTTTTGATTTTCAATTTTCTGGTTTCTCGATGTAGAAGAAATGTAATCTGTGATAAGAACCCACCTATTCCTGTGAATCGACCAATTACTAGGTCAGTAGCTTGCCACTTTTGAGCATGTTTATATTTGGAGCCAAAATGTATTTTGTTTTTTTGACTTTTCTGAATGATTCTTGCTGTTTGTTTAGGAAGTTTGCTGTTCAGATGGCTAACAAGCAGCAACTTAAACCTGAGACCAAGGTAGCTTTTTTGTCAGCTATGAACTGAATTTCTCGTCCATTTTTTACATACAAGAGATTGATGATAAAATAAAAGAGATTGATCATTGTTACCTTACCAGGAAGCTAAGAGGCCAGTCCTATTAGTCCCAACTTCAACTGAGTCAGATGATTGTACCATCATAGATGTGGAAGACTATAATCATTCAAGTAGTGAATCGGCTGTGCCAATGTTTGTGCAACACACAGAAGCAATGCTGGATGAGATTGACCACATGGTATATGGACACTCTTTACGGCAAATATAGTCCAGTTTGTTGTTTAATCTGTATCAAACTCATGGTCAGAGCGTCCTTTGATGTTTTCTTCTGCAGGAGGAGGTTGAAATGGAAGATGTGTCTGAAGAGCCTGTTGCAGACATAGACAGTGGAGATAAAAAGAATCCGCTAGCTGTAGTTGAGTATATTGATGACTTGTACAACTTCTACAGGAAAGCAGAGGTGATTCAGAATCTTTATTTTCTCTGATTCTTTTGCTAGCTAGTCCCAACTGTAAGACAAAGGCTTTTTTCATATTATTGTTTGCTTGGCTATTTATATTGTATTTGACTTAAATTTATTTTATAAATCTGAGTATTCTTTCAATTCATTATAAATTTGCTAAAAAGGTAATTATTAGTTTAAAAGAATAGTTATTAGCCTGATGTGAAAGAAAAATTGCCTAGGTTAGAAAGTCAGGTGAGGTGTGAGTTTCTTGGAATGCTTAAACATTAGAAGGCTTTTTGGTTGGATTAGAGAACTTGAGGTGTGGAAAAAATACGTGGACTTTTCTGGGTTGATTTACTGAAACTTTGTGTTTCCGTATTTACTGAAATTTATGATGCTGACAGTTACAATAGCGGGTAATATGAGCTTGATAAATGAAATACCTACAGTTTTGGGTCAATTTACTAAAATTAGTGTTAATGCTTACCTGCAGAGTACTAGCTGTGCCCCACCGAACTATATGGCACAGCAATTCGATATTAATGAGAGGATGAGAGGTATTCTCATTGACTGGCTGATTGAGGTATATGAAAAGTTGTACAATTGACGTCTTTCTACGTTGCTTCGGTGATGAAACATCAGAGGTGGCGTTCTAGTTATATAATCACTGAACTTCAATTGAATTTTTCAGGTGCACTATAAGTTTGAACTGATGGATGAGACCTTGTATCTCACTGTTAATCTCATCGATAGATTCTTAGCACTTCAACCAGTAGTGAGGAAGAAACTTCAGCTGGTTGGGGTGACAGCCATGCTTCTTGCATGCAAATACGAAGAAGTATCAGTCCCTGTTGTAGAGGATCTCATCCTGATATCTGATAAGGCTTACAGCAGAAAAGAAGTGCTTGACATGGTAGGCTTCGATTGTATGCTTTAACATGAATTTGCTTTTCACATATTAAATGGAACAGAGTTGGAATATGACACATTTTTATGTGTGCAGGAGAAGTTGATAATCAATGCTTTGCAGTTTAATGTATCTGTACCCACTCCATATGTGTTTTTGAGGAGGTTTTTCAAAGCTTGTCAGTCTGATAAGAAGGTTTGTTGTAAAATTTACATCTATCCATATCATCTAGATTTCACATATTTTACCAAATAGGTTCTGATAGCCAGATTTCATTGTGAACTTGAAGCAGCTTGAGCTTCTGTCATTCTTCTTGATCGAGCTTTGCCTGGTTGAGTATGAAATGCTTAAGTTTCCGCCTTCTATGTTAGCTGCTGCTGCAATTTACACAGCTCAGTGTACTCTTAGCGGCTCCAATCAATGGAGTAAGACCAGCGAGTGGCATACCAATTACACAGAGGAGCAACTTCTGTAAGTATCCATCTTTTTTCTTCTTATCATGGCAGTATCATTTGCTTGGCTTCTACTGATTTCTGTGTTAACCTGATCAAGGAAATTTCTTGGGTTTGTGCAGTGAATGCTCAAGACTGATGGTTAGTTTCCATCAGAAGTCAGGAACGGGCAAACTTACAGGTGTTCACCGGAAGTATTGTACCTCCAAGTTTGGTTATGCAGCAAAAACCCAGCCTGCTAACTTTCTCGTGGAGACCAGATTTGGTGTTCATTAAACGCTTCAATTAGGCATTCTGGTGGGGATTGGGATGCAACTGAGCAACATAAGTTGCCCCTGGGCAGTAATGATTTAGTGTTTTCTTCGTTGGATTGAGTCTGAGATGAGTTGTTTGAACATAGTAGGATGCTTTTCTTTTCAGCAAGTTCTTCGTTGGATTGAGTCTGAGATGGGTTGTTTGAACATTGTAGGATGCTTTTCTTTTCAGCAAGTTGAAAATAATAGTTTTTTTAAGTTTTATGTTAATTCATTCCAACTTATGCCAACAGAGGTGTATGTAATTTCATCTTTTAATCTGAACAATAAGTGTTGTTTGATGTATTTGAATGAATGTATTTGAATATCAATGATTAATGTAGGTATTTATCATTTTTTAACTTTTGTGGAATCTCGGCCCCATGGAAAAACAAATTGCCAAGAACTTCTCTTTGCTGAAAATTCTGGAATAACAATGAAAATGATGTATACACAGATAAGGAATACTGATGCAGAAAAAGACATTAAAAGTTAAAACACCTATAATATTTGTGTCGACTGTCATGGCAAAAAAAAAAAACCTAATTGTGAATCCTTCTGAGGGTGTTTACATAAGTATAACTGGAAAATGATACAAAAAGCTTCCGAAACCTGCAAATTCAAAGATAAATTAAATGTGGTAATCAGAAAACAGAATACATCAAATACAAGCCTGAAAATAGAAGAGAAGAATGCGTACCAAACCCATTGGCTAAGGTGTTCTGACATTGCTAGAAAGCTCTTACCAGGATGCTCATTAAGCAAGCACTGAAAGTTTCCACTGGGATAATGCATTGCAGACAAGAAGGACAGCCAGATGTCAAGGGGTCCACTATACTTGCGTAATATGTTAATGCTAATCTGAAGGGACAACATGCACCATTAACAACACAGCAGGTAGTTCACAAAGTATTTCAGGAATTCCAGAAAAAATTGGCAGATAGATTAAGAAACTCGTAAAACCCAAATCAAAACAAAAAATAAATACAGCGAAAGGAACTTACAAGTTCCCATGCCTCGATATTGCTACAGGAAGTTTCAGTCAAGAAGTTGCTGCATACAATGCAAAATACATAAAACAATTATCAGTTTTCAAAAAATAGAGCAAAGCAGCAACCATTCACCAACTCTGCCAATCAACTTATATTCTTGTATGATTAATTTATGCATTAAATATTTGTTGTGGGTTCTATATTAAATAGAGATCTGATGAAAGAAAATACATTTTATCCTTATAATCTATGAAACACTCAACTAGTTGAGTTACATAACATACTGTTATTTTAATGCAAATTTATATTTGTCAAATGTTCCACAAGGCAATGATTTGAGAAGTTACAAGAAAATAAATCAATTTGACGATGATTAAAGAAGCTTAAACTTACCATATCCCATGATGAACATCACGGTGATTACAATGCCCCGAAACACCATAGTTATCAAAAGTGATTATCTGCAACAACATAATACAGTGAAAATTATAAACGAAAAAAAAAAAAAAAAATAGGAAGATAAAGCTGATTATGTTTCTAGGACTAAAACAAAAGACACATCCGGTTTAGGGTTTAGGGTCTGGCCATTACATGAACAGCCAAAGCTTTCACACAGATCATTCTACAAAATGGCAATCAAACAAAGTGGGAAAGAAAAAGTCCAATGAGACTAACTAGAGAAAAGATCTCACCAAGTCAATGCCATGAGTAATGACTTCCTCTTCAACAATCTTGGCCAGCAAATTACGATTCCACACATTGCCAAAACCATCCTAATACAATTGCCAGATCAAATTGAAGCCAAAACTATGGCATGTATATTTATTTAACTAGTAGCAAAAATTATAGGTCTTAGAGAGGCGTGGCATTACCTGAAAATCTACTTGATCCAGGACCTTCACGTGTTCTGGTGGAACCTGTTTAAATGGATCAAACATTAAATAATTGAAAAACAACAATTGGGGTAGAATCATCCAGTGATGCATTGAGGGAACAAAATGGAACAAGTGCGAAATATTCTTGGTCCCAACCCCTATTACTCATACATAACAACAGTCTATATAACTTTTTACCCAAAAAAGGAAGATCAATGTAATGGATACACTACTTAAACAGAATTAAGCTGCTGTCCAATAATATTTATCTTCTAACTTGTTTTGGCGCCATATACACATTACCTTGAGAACTGCACAAGCCCGATAGAGTTCATCCTTTCTGATGTTCCCCATTCCATCTGCATTACCTATTTAAAGCAAATCAAGAGGTAAGTAAGTGTATATACTGAAACACTATATTGAGGATATTACAGAACGTTACATGATTCAATGAACTACTCAGCTATACACAAAAAGCAAGAAACAAATATAAAACTTATATTTTTCACACACTAATACCCATACAAGTACAATCATCTTATACACAGATAAGGAAAGAAGTACTTAATGGAGAACTCTTGTTCTTTGTCAATAAATGTGTTATGTGGTATCATCTCATCTCACAAAGAAACTATCCGCGTTCCAAAAAGAAAGACACTCGTGCAAAATTGAGTGGCTTGAAGCTTGAAAATACAACACAACTCCTGTATTTCTTTTGTCAATGAAATTCTGATATGTGAATGAATAATGAAGCACATGTAACTCAATTGATTAATCAATGACAATGACTTACCTATTGACATGCATAATATGTAAATACTATGTCCCCTTGAGGTCAGGTAATTAATTGTTGGAGAGAAAAACCTGCAAAAATTATCACTTCTTCATATTAATCGAGTATTCACCCAAAAAAAAAAAAAAAAAAAAAAAAAAAAGGAAGAAACCTTTTTAATGAACTGATAACACTTACATAGATTCATCATCTGGGTGGGCAATAACAAGCAAGACAATTCTCTTGTCACCTGATTTTAATGCGAAAATAGTTTACTCAAAACAACCAAAGAAACAAAACCCCACAAAAAGAAAGCTGCAACTTAACTTACCTGTACTCAAAAATACAGAATTGGATTGGGAACGTGACGCATTGATAATTTTGTATAGTGAAGCCACCCAGACTATAATTATTGATACGATTATTAACAACCAAAACATCTAGCAAGCTGCTAATTTTCTAAGTTCATGAAGCGGATGAAATATTTCTCAGGAACATTTCATCGAACTTCTTACGTGCACCATGCAAATTAATCTGGCAAGCTATAATCTGTCAATCTGAACAAATAATATACCCCTCCGATCAGTGCCAACGAAGAAGATCAGTTACAACTCACAAGTACAAAAAACAAAAAGTTTCCGATCTAAAGCACCACTGTAGTGAAAATAAAATAAAAAACAAGAAGGCCGACTCGAGGTGTATGGCCCAAGGAGATGCTAAACCCAATGAAAATAAATGGCCGAAGCTCATAAACTTCTTAGTAAATTTGGGCCATTTTAATCGAATCACAAAGCCAGTTGTTTGAGTACCCAAATCGTCCGGATGTTCCCCAAATCCAAATTTCTCTCATACATACAGTTAAAAATAGCTTTTGTAAATAATTAATGGTTTCTTGTACTTTTACACTAGGGAGAACGAACATTTTTGCATCCAAGGTTTGACGAAACGACACTTTTCCACCGTTAAGTTTTAAAATGACACTTTTCACCCTTCGTCAAGTTTTGATAGTGTTTTTTATTAATATTTAACTGAAAAAATAAAAATATCCTTAAACCTTTACTCGATTATTTATTAGTTTAAATGTAAAGATACATTTTTTCTTTTGTTTATTTAATTAATTAAGAATATTTATATTTTATGTTAATTAGTAAAAATAAAAAATATTATTAATTTAATAGATTATTGAATAATAATAATAAAATATTGATGACATTATAAATAAATAAATAAATATTAAAATCATTTAACTTTAAATAATTACATAGTATTATTCCTAATTTTTTAGGTAGAGTTAATTATTTTTTTTAACTTTTTAATATTTGATTTTTTGACTAATTAAAAAATAATAAAGTTAAATATTTAAAAGTATTTTTGTCTTTTTAATAAAATATTAATAGAAACATAATACAACCTAATGATTAATGAAGGGTGGGAAAGTGTCATTTGAAACTTGAAGGGTGGCAAAACATTTCACAAAACCTTGGGTGGCAAAATGTTGTTCTCCGTTTATATTGGCATTTCCCAAAACGAACAGATTAGAGATGGCTGAAAAAGATAACCAATCCCGAGGTTGGCTGACTTGAGCAGAAGCGAAGACAAAAAAATCTGGTTGATCTCATCTCACATCACATGCCACTTGAAATGGCAACTTGCCACGTTTAACTTTCATTCAATGAAATTAATTCTGGCCATAAATTTAACTCCAAAAAAATCCCACATTAAGATCACATCCGCTGGCAATCCAATCCATTCACCAAATTTTGCCACTTTAAGAGAAAAAAATACTCCTCAAATCAACATTTTCTTTTCTTGATTTTAATGTTTCAGTCCTGGTTTCAGTTCGTATTTAATTTGCTTACGAAATAGATCCCATGAGTAATTTTTATAAGGTGAGTTACTAAATACCAGTCATTACATTTTTAAGCTGATATTTTGCGGTTATTTTCGAAGCCACTTTCATGTATTTGTCTCTCTTCTTGATTTTTGTGGGCCTCTGTTAGAGTTGTCGATTCGTTGAGATATTGCCCACTTTCAATTATTTGCCTCTCGCCTTGATTTTTGTGGGCCTCTGTTAGAGTTGTCATTTGAGATATTTGTAATCCTGATCCTGTATTCGGATCAGATTTCGTGGTGTAGAATTCATATGATGGCGAGTGTTTCGAGTTTGAAAGTGGGTTCAGATTTTTTGTCAAGTTGAGCTACTCTTACTTCTACCAATTTCTGGGATAGCGATGTTTGAACTGTTATTTGTTTTATTTAATCTAATGATTTACTGCCGGTCAGTATCTAACAGTTATGGTTATCGTGGCTTTTAAGCACAGGTTTCGTATTCTTATGTGTTTTTTAATAACTCCATTTCGTTTCATGTAAATGACTTGTACAAGTTTTTGAACCATTAGTTTTTTTTTTTTTTTAGAGGTCTTTTGTTGGGTTTCTTGTTTTCTGCCTGATAGACAAGGTGGGGTTTTTCTCAGTATAATATTTTATGTTTTTGTAGTTGAAACTGTCAATACTGTCTGGTCAATAAAGAGTAGATTTTTCTTTTCTGAATCTGTTTTTGTAAGGAGAGATGATGGAGAAGAAAGAGAAAAAATTTCTAACAGTAGCTCCTTTTGAGTGTGCTTGGAGAAAAGATTTGAAATTTAGGGAAGCTGGGCGGGGTTGTGTGGCTTTTGAAGCTTCTGCTCACAATGATGTCACGGTTGTTTTTAGGGAGAATGTGGGAAGCCAGCACTATCATTATAAGAGAGATAATAGACCTCATTATACTGTGATTCTTGGTAGTCATAGGAATCGTAGGTTGAAAATCGAGGTGGATGGGAAAACTGTGGTTGATGTGGCTGGAAGTGGTCTGTGTTGTTCTTCGGCATTTCAGAGCTATTGGATTAGTATCTATGATGGGTTGATTTGTGTCGGTAAGGGAAGATACCCGTTTCAGAATCTTGTGTTTCAGTGGCTAGATTCAAATCCAAATTGTAGTGTCCGATATGTTGGGTTAAGTAGCTGGGACAGACATGTTGGATATAGGAATGTCAATGTTTTGCCACTAACACATAACCACATACTGCTGTGGAAACAAGTGGATTGTGGTGAATATGAAGGTGAGGATAATAGCGACGAGGAAGTGAAAGATGAACGCACGGACTATGAAAAATGGGGACTGGAAAATTTTCTTGAGAGTTGGGAGTTATCTGATGTGTTCTTCATTGTCGGTACAGAGGAAAAGCCTGTTCCTGGACACAAGGTTATCTTGCAAGCATCTGGTAATTTTCCTTTGGAGGATGAAGATGTGATTCAGCTGCAAGGCGTAGCGTACCCAATTCTCCATGCACTTCTCAAGTATATCTACACAGGCCAGACCCAGGTATCTTTTATTTTAGTTCTTTCTCTAAACAATCTTATGCATTCTTGCATTATTCCCTTTGAATAGTTTATGTCTGCAAACTATATTTCTTATAGTTTTTGAGACTGGCTTCAAAGTTTGTGGTTTAACCTTCACTTCTGTCACATGTCATAATGACCTATTCATCTTGCATTTATCGCTTTCTCCCTTTTCATTTCAACTTTTGTCATTTTGGCTTAGCGTGGATCCTTTTAGGCAAACGCTAAGTGGCGACTGGCGAGATTCATTTCAGGCTTTTCTAATACCATTTGGTTTCGATATGATTTTTGTTTGATGTAGATTTCAGAGCCACAACTTGGTTCTTTGTTGGCTTTGAGCTCACAATTTCAAGTGATGCCATTGGTGAAGCAGTGCGAGGAAACTATAGAACGGTTTAAACTGAATAAAAAATTGTTTGATTCTGGAAAGAATGTGGAGTTATCATATCCGTGCTCTCAGCCACATTGTTGTGCAGTCTTCCCCTTTGGTCTCCCCATTAGTGCACAGAGACTTAAGCTGTTGCATTCAATTGGCAAGTACAGTGACATAAACATTTGCATTGAGGGCCATGGTCTTGTTGCCCAGTCTCATAAGATCATTCTCAGCTTATGGAGTGCTCCATTTACCAAAGTAAGCCCATGCTGTGTTTCTTACTCTTTGTGTAGCTCCCTTGTGCACCTGTGGAGTAAAATTACAAAACTTTATATTGATGGTTCTGCTTTTTGGTTACGTAGTTGTTTCTTTTTCTTTATTTTATCAATTTACAAGAAATAATTTTGAAGGAGTTGATTACTTTGGCAGATGTTCACAAATGGAATGAGTGAGAGCAGTTCCTCGGAGGTTCATTTGAGGGATGTGTCATTCGAAGCATTCAAGATTATGCTGGAATTCATGTACAGTGGTAAACTCCGTATGGAAGATACAACAGATTTTGGTAGCTTGTTACTTCAGCTTCTCTTATTGGCTGACCAATTTGGAGTCACCCTCCTTCATCAGGAATGCTGCAAATTGCTTTTAGAATGCCTCTCGGAGGTAGCTTAGTATTCCTTACTGTGCCAAATGACATAATTGATGATTTTTGTTTGGATAAATTTTATTCCTGTCACTATTACAATACGCTTTTTGTATGACTAGAACTAAATGAACAGAGAAGTGACTTGCAGTCTCGGACTTCTGAAAACAAAAGAAGAGATCCCTTCTGTAATAATTAAATTATGAAATATTAATATCTTTCATGTACATATTATATGCAGGGATGGAGTTCTCTCCTAGTGGATGAAGGTCATACAACATCAGTTTTTCTATTATGCACAAGTTTAGTGGACGAGCAAGCAGACAAATTTGGCAAAGTAATTGTGCTGATGCTTTTAAAGCTAACTATTGATCTTTGTTGCAGGACTCAGTATGTCCAATTCTGCAAGCAGTTCAATCCATTCCATCGTGCAAACTTATTGAAGAAACATGTGAAAGGAAATTCTCAATGCACTTCGATTATTGCACAACTGCAAGCCTTGACTTTGTATTGTTAGATGAGGCAGCTTTTAGCAGTATCATTCAGGTGGGTTATTACTTTTAAAATAAATGACTTACTAGGGATTGGTAATTGACTAAAGAATTAAGATAGCTGCATATAAAGACATTATCCTTTTTAAAAACCACCAGGTCAATGGTGTAATAGCTTGCAACTATGACTGTACAATGAAAACGTTAGTCTTTGGTTTATTGAAGAAAATGCTCCATCTCCTAAGCCACAGTCTAAGACCCTTATGGATTAGATTTAAAGTACCTTATTTTGAAGAGTTCTCCCAGTAAAAGTATTAATAACCAATGGAAATTGGTCTGTCATCTAATTTGTTGTGATTATGTCTCATAATAATTTTTTTTTTTTTTTTTTTGGTTGGCAGCACCCAGATCTTACGGTGACATCTGAAGAAAGAGTTCTTAATGCAATTCTAATGTGGTGCATGAAAGCAAAGGAATTGAGTGGGTGGGAGACGGTGGATGAGCTAATGACAAAACTAACTGCTGAACTCCTTTTTGAGGAAAGGCTTCAGTCAGTGAATGAGTTGTTGCCTTTTGTAAGATTTCCATTACTGCCATATGCCTTGCTTAAGAAGGTACATAAAACCTGGATGAAAGTTTGTTCAAGTCATCTAAGAGGATGACTCTGAGGTTAGCCTGACTTGCAGTTCTTTTGTATTATTCTTGCACTTGCAGTTGGAGAGAAGCAACCTTAGAAGACACATTGCTGTTTTTGATAATTTTGTGAGTTCAGCATTTCTTTTAGGGATATTCATTTATTTTTCTTATGAACATTTATTATCTTATTAAATTTTCTTTTTATGTTAATGTTTCAGGTGAAGGAGGCCATCAGATTTATAGAATCTGGATCAGCAGAGCTAGGAAATAACCAGAAGTAAGTATCGAGTATTGTAGTCCTCCATTAATGAGTCCTGATCATGCATATCCTTTTGTTGTTGATGAAAATTAGAAAACAGTAACAATTTCTGAACATTATTTGTCGATTTAGAATGAAGGCCCTGCTTTCTTAATTTTTATTCATATCAGAAATATACTAGGATGATTTTGTTGATCTTGTGTAAACATTCATTGATTCTCACTTTCTTCTACGAGGATAGTGGTAACAAAGTAGGCGAAAGGCTTCAGAGGGATTATATCAATATTTTAAGCCCTCTTGTTGAATCATCTTCTAGAGGAAGTATTTCCTTGGATACAAATGAAATTATCCATGACTTTTGTATTTCTTGAATTTGAGTTCACAATTCTTTTTTGGGGATTCATTTTAAATAAGCCTTGAATATGAATATTGTCCCAGGGACACATTCAAAGAAGAGTGAACTAAGATATTTATACTTTTGCATTGTAAGATTTCAACACAGACGATCTAGTTTCAAGGAGCTCCTGTACATATGTGATGGGGATAGCAATGGAGTTCTGTACTTTGCAGGCACATCATATGGGGAACATCAATGGGTGAATCCCGTCTTGGCTAAGGTGAAGTACCCTCGCTTTTTTACAACATAGTCACTTTTTATTTTGAATCTTTTATCTGTCCATCGGGTATTGTATTCATATAGCTCCCTATCCTCTTAAATTGCATGTTTCAGAGAATCATCATCACAGCTAGCAGTCCCATTTCAAGATTCACTGATCCCAAGGCTTTGGCTTCAAGAACTTACCAGGTATGACATATGATGAATCAAACCATTGCAGTCTGGAGTAGTCCTTTTCACTGAGCTTTGTTAACAGTTATTAAATAATATCTTCCACATTAGGGAACATCTTTTACTGGGTCCCGGATGGAAGATGGACATAATTCTGCCTGGTGGATGGTCGACCTTGGCCAAAATCATCAGGTTTCCTTTCTGTCTAAGCCGTGCTTTAATGCCTTTTAAGACTGCTACAGCTTGATAATTTTTTTTTTTCAGTGAAATGACAAATATTTAATACGTTATATGTGGAATAATGAATGTGTGTGATTGATGCAGCTGATGTGCAACTACTATACCTTGAGAATGGATGGGTCAAGGGCTTATATAAGGTCTTGGAATTTTCAGGTAAAGATGATCTTCAGTGGCACTTTTCCGTGGATTTTCTTGGTTTCACTTGGACTAATTTTTATAGATTCTCAAAATTGATATAGAATAATAGCTAGTAATGGTTGAATTACATCATGTTACTGCATTGCACTTCCAGGGCTCCATGGATGGAAGGGTTTGGACAAACTTAAGAGTTCATGAGAATGACCAAACAATGTGCAAGCCGGGTCAGTTTGCATCGTGGCCCATAATTGGACCTAACGCTCTGCTTCCCTTCAGATTCTTTAGGGTTGTTCTTACTGGTCCTACGTCTGACGCTTCAAACCCCTGGAATTTCTGCATTTGCTTCTTGGAACTCTATGGCTACTTGCATTAATTAGGCATGACTATTTGTGTCTCCTGTTTCATGTAATAAGTTTTCCGGCGTTCAGTGGTAACCCCAGCTGCACCATGTACGGTCTGGTTGATGAAGAATAAAACTTGTGAATAGGAGTTAAATGACTATATATATATATATATATTACACTACTTTTGTGCATGAGAATCAAGCTCATGAATGGGTGACGCCGTGTGAATATCATACAATCTACTTATTTATTTTGCCTTCCCTAATCTCTCTTGTATATTTACATCAAACTTGCACTAAATTATTTTATAATTGAGTAATGCTAGCTTTACTCCCCCTTCTTACTCTTTTCTCTTACTCACTTATGTGGTAGGTGGGTGTAAGAAGAGAGAGAAGGGAGATTAACATGAGTGAGTAAGAGAAAGGAGTAAGAAGGGGGAGTAAGGTTAGCATTATTTTTTATAATTCTAATTTCTCAAATTAAAGTCTTGTCATGATTCTTTACGGAGTAAATGACATATTTCCCACCCAAGGTTTGGCGAAATCCCAAGCTAGTATCCTTAGTTACATGTATTCTAAATTCTCACCATTAAAGTGATAAAAAATTGTTTAATATAACGGTAAAAGGGTAAATTGATCATTTTGCAGGAGGTGGTGCACGTTAGTAGATTGTTGCCTCTAACAGTGCTCCAACGCACACTAGTAAACATCGCCCCTGGTGTTTTTCACCATTTTTCGGTGATTCTTTCATCCAAAATTACCATTGTTACCACCATTCGAACCTCCATCCACCCCTTTACAAAATCTTACCCTTCACAAACCCTCATCACTCGCTGATCATTGACCACGACAACTGTGACATGCGACTGTTTTTTTGCCGATTTTCGGCCTTTTTGAGCAATGACAACCCCAACCACCACCACCACCACCATTTGACTCCTTGCATCCCCCTTAAAAAACTCCTAACCTTCCCGACCACAACAACTCACTATTTGTCGACCACAACAGCTCAAAAAAATGAGATGAACACGAACCTCTCAATCGGTGAACCACGACTAAACGGTTGGTGAGGACATAGAGGTTTTTTAAAGTTGGAGACGTTGGTTACAATGGTAGTGTCCAATTGGATTTTTACCATTGGAATCCAACAAAGAACAACAAAACCCTAAACCGAACGACGCCGACGATCGAAGGGGCCAATAAGTCAGGAACCAAAGGGGTTTTGGACAATAGACTATGGAGAAGGTGATGGAGGTGACTAAGGGGTTCAACACCGTCGAAAATAACCCAGATCGAGCAAAAATCGAGAGGGTGCACAATTGCCAAAGGTGTTATTGAAGTAGTTTAAAAATAAAATGGTAAAAATAATTCTACTAATTTAGAAGTTAAAAATAATTTACTAATTTATTTGTTATAAGCATTATAACAATTGCAACCTCTTTAACATAAGAATTGTTAACACTATTACTTTAAGGGTAAGAATCTAAAATAAATACAATCAAAAATACCAACTTGAGATTTCACCAAACTTTGTGTGAAAATATACCGTTTACTCTTCTTTACGTATACAAAGAGATTTAACGTGACAGAGTCATGCTCAATTTTTAAGGGCTGCAACCTATAAGACCATCTGGCTAGCACAGGTTGGAAAACGTACCAAAATCATATTGCTGTGCTTTTTCTACAGGACAATTCTAGTGATGGATAATGGGATGGAGTAAGACAGCATATTAAATCTCCCAATCAAACAAAAGGTTTACGATTATAAGATGGACACCACACGAGTTGAACGATAAATTTTTTATGGTCTCGTATGCTTCCAAGGTAAACATCTGGAATTGCGCACAACGTCTTAAATAACCAAATCAAGTAAAGGCGTTAAATATAAGCAGCATCAACATATAAGGCCATAGTTCACCTATCATATCACATAAAAAGGCTCATGGATCAGTTCTGAGACCATATCAACATGCTTAGCTGTAATAAAAAGGTCATATTACCAATAGAAACTGTCCAAATTCCAAACACATAAAAGATCAAATTAGTAATATTCAATAGATTACAAAAACTGAGCTTGTGATAGTCCAGGTAACATAATCCCTTTTTCCCGCCCCATTCTTTTCAACAAATTTAAGCAGGAACAGCAGCATCATTTTTCATTAAAGTTTTAAGGGCCTCAAGAGTAGGAATCCTAAACTCAAGACATTACTCAGATGACCTACAGTAGTTGACAATAATGCTCCAGAGAGAAGGTTATGATCTACAGTTTTCCAAGGGCAGATTACCTTCGAACAGGTGGTACAGCACCCCTACCAGGTGTGCTCCGGCCAGCTGCTGCAGCCTGTTAATAAAATAGAAAAGGTCAGTCATGATCAGCTGGACTATCGCTTAAGCACAGAAGCAGTAAAGATTCTGTAAGTTCATTAATTTCATAGCTGACTCGGTATGGAAACAAAAAGGGAACTTTATCACTAGTTTAAATTGTGCAACATGTATCCCCAAAGTACCCAATTTCTCATTCAAGGATACAAGCATTTGGAACGTTAAGCTTCTATCAAATTTTGCATCCTTATAATAATTGATTTGAGAATGTAAATGTATGTCATGGAATATACAAATCTATAATAACAAATTAAAAAGCTACTTACTTTAGCCCGCATAGCCACAGCCCTGCCCCTACCAACTCCAATTGATGAGCTCTTACCCTTCAAGATTTTAGAAACATTTAAGAAGAAATCATAATACAAGAATGTGATTCAGGAGAATAACTTAGTTATAGGATACTTGATTCTAGCATCTAGACGCTTGAACTTGGAGCATTCTTTAACATGTCCGGTATGACCATAAACCTGTATAAATTTCGTATTGTTCAAAATAATTCAGTCAATATGATAAGAGGTGACCAAATATCTCAAGTTATAACACAGTTAGCTGATCACAACAACCAAAATAGTATATATGAATAACAACTGACTTTGCTGCCCGAATGAAAACATGCTCAAGCTGTGAAACCTTTCCATCCTGTTGAAGAAGAAACCAATTCAGTAACTGATGGGGACGAAATGAAAGATAAAAGCAAATATGAAGAGAAAGTAATCACAATAGCAGGGATAATAATTATGACTGCATATAAAAGCAAATAAGAGATCCAATCCATTAGTAGAACTAAAGCCATTACCCATGAAAAAGAAAAGGCACAAGATGGTTTATGTTATTTTGATTGGGGGCTCTTGTATGTTTTGTTTGATTAATAATCTTTGTATGGTAAATGACTCTCTCAAGTCTATACGGAAAGTTACAACTTTTTGTACTTAGCTTGTCCCTTTTTTTATTATCTTCTATGTTTGAATATATTTTCTGTTTCTTGTAGTGGAAAAAAAAAAAAAAAAAAAAAGAAGATAAGGCACAAGATAACTAAGATTCATTTCAGGCTGCTGGCACTTCTTCACTCAATTCCAGAAACCAACACTGCTACAATATTATTACTCTTTGTTGTACGTATATCTAAAAAAACCAATCAGACAAGTATTTTTCTGTGACAGATGAATCGAAACCAACATCAAATCCATCTTACACAGAAAATGTACAGAACTGGCACCTATACACAAAATCCAAGGACTTACAACTGCAACGGAGGACAGCATAGCATAAAAAGCAAGGCATTATTAAAATCAGAAATTTTTTTTTTTTTTAAATTCTGGTTTCATTCATTCCATCCAATTTCATCATAATTTTCTATTATTCAGAATTCCATTTAGTCTTTCTCAAACCAGAAGCAAAGCTCACGTGATGAGCCAGATTCCCCTTTGTAAAATTTCATCGCAATGGACCACTTTTAGAGCAATGGTAGGCTAAAGCATCCTCAGTAGCAAGCCAAAATGGTCTAGCGCACTATATATATATATATATATAGGTCATATCTTCAAATTGTTAAAAACCTAAAATTCAAAAATCACACATTTTCCTTAAACCCAAAATGCTAGGGTTTAACAATCATCAACTTGGAGTAAGGAGATATTTATTTCACCATTTTAAACAACTTCACCGATATAAAATCAACCTCCTCAAATCCGTAGAGAAAAACTAATCGAAAACTCTCCTTCAATTACGTACTCAGTTAGTAAAATTTAGGGTTTTATACTACAGAGTGTAAAATCTAGCCTCACAGATTTTAAGTGAACATCAAAGGAAAAATTAAGATAAAAAGGTAGTTATATTACCTTGGCAGTGTAGGTGATATTCTCGAGCTGGCAATTCCAGTTATCTTCACACTCAATCATACTTCCTCTGTAGAGTTCTCCGCTCTTGAGCTCCACTGTAACCACATGGCCTGATGCCTCATGTAATAGTTTCACTGGTATCCCCAAGCTCCGGCTCATGGCTTCTTCTCTCTTTCTCTCCTCGAAGGTCTCTGTACTAAACCCTAATCAAACTCTCTACCGCGCTGTGATTTACACTGGACACTCAAAATCTCATTTAAACTCGCATCGCACAAAAAGTTTCGGGGCAACTTTGTAATATTAGAATTACGCAGGGCATTTTAGATATTACAGGTAATGACGTGGCATAAGTATAAGCCGTTGCAGTGAATTATAGAAACCAAAAAACATACAGTAGAAGAATTCCACCTCTCTTTGTGGGGCCTAGGCAAAATAATCGTGATTGAATTATTTGAGTTGACTTTGGACTTCTTGTGATCTGTCCATAGGGGCGGTCACAGGGGATCCGGGTAATTCTGACATATCGTAGAAAATAAGGATATTTTCGGAATTACGGTTCTCAAGAATCTTTGAGGTGGCGTCGTAGCTAAAGCCGAAATCTAACCGTTGTAGCGACTACAAAATCAGATTACTATACAGTATTTTGCACTACTTGGCAGTTGAGATTTTCGATTTTTCGTGATTGCATCAATGGCGCCAGATATCGATACTTTACGTGATGGCTCTTCAACCGTCCGATAATTGTAATACTCGAATACTTGAAGGAAAAAATTAGCTGGTATTAAAAGTTAAAATGAGTAATACTTCATCAAATAACTTTTTCTTATAATTTTTTTTTTTTAATAATTTTGTTGTGATAATTTATAATTAATTAATGACACTTGTGTAAAACTCATATAAGATCCGATATAAATTAATCGAATTGTTATACTATAATAAAAAATTTATAAAAAATGATTATAAGTATTATCCGTTTAAAATCCAATGAATTTATTTTTTAACAAATTCGAGATTTTGACGGTGTGTGAGTTGTCACGTGGAGTTATATGCTTTGCTTCTCCTGCCTGTTGCCTTTCAAAGCAATCAAATAATCATCTGACAAAAGACAAGTGGATTTCCAAATGATTTCGATTGTGGGTCCATCACAGAGATCCAACGGTTTATATTTTTCTGATGGTGAGTGCCGTCATGTTTATATGTCCTCGTACAGTAGCCTTTTTCAGCTTAAGAAGCTTTCATTCTCAGATGAAGCAGATAAGCTGAAATGGAGAAGCTGTTGAATTCTTCGCGTCTAGTTTTCTCACCTGCTGTTGCGTCTTTTTCACTTTCATCAAGTGAAAATTACACAAGGACAAGGGTAAACAATCAACTTCATTTTCATATTTTGAATCTTTGGAGTGAGCCATTGTAACATTCGGATGAGTTCTGTCATTACTGATATTGTTAGTCAACTTTGTTTTCCGAAACGTATTGAATTTGTCAGCTGAATAGTGTTTTTTTAAATGTTCACGAGTTTGATGTTTATTTTTCTTGAATCTAGTATTTGCCAAGTGTCTTAATTTGAACGTTTCTGATTTATTGAAACTCAGATGTATTAGATATTTGGAAATAGATGTTATTTATACAATAATCTTGTTTTTGAAATGGCGAAGTGGATCATATACTTGAAGATGGTATTTAATGATGGTTTATGAACTGCTTGATCTTTTCAACAGGCTGAAAGAAACAACAAGCTTGCCAATCAACTACCAAACAAAGGAACGTGTGGGTCGCAAAAATTGCTTAGGCATCACATTCTCTCAACAAGAATTCCGGTGCACCGTAGGGTATGTTTTGACATTTCTAACATGAAGCATCATAGAAAGATGTTACTATCTCAGGGATTTCTAATCGGCTAAAGGTGTTTTTGATTAAATTTTCATCACCACATTTCAAATATATTTAGAAGCTGATTTTGTATGGCGTTTTTTTCCTTAAATAGTTAGTCATTAAGCTGTAGCTCTGTTGGGTGGGTTGGTTTCTGATTGACTATTGTCCTAGATTGGTTGATGCTGATTGTGCATGTGAAGAAGCCAGGGTCAACAGATTATTTGAACTTAAATGTTACAGAGTTTTGTTCCTTCCTTACCATCCTTAGATCATAAACCTAATTGAATTCACTTAAATAAATTTCTATGTGGTGAATTATTGGGAAGTTCTTAACAATATAAATACAAGATTTCTCACCATCTCTCTTTTATCCTAGGTGTATTCTGGTTGATTATTGACTTCAAGTATGGTGGTTATTAGTAAGTGTTAATCAGGTGTTCTTACTTCTTTTCATACATTTTATTCTATACATCACCAGGTGGAGCACAATTCTCCTATCTCTGCCGTTTTGACAGATGACCCCTCAACAATGACAAGTATGGACGATGATACAGAAAATATTGGTATCTTGCGCATTGATCCAGGCTTAGAACCATTTAAAGATCACTTCAAATACAGAGTGAGGAAGTATGTAGATCAGAAAAACCTTTTTGAAAAGTATGAAGGAGGTCTTGAGGAATTTGCAAAAGGTAATATCCTATATCATCATGCTATCTCCTTTCTTTCCTCTCTGACTCATTCCTTGAATAGTGTGGTAGTTCAACAATGTAATTTTGTAAATTATTGAAGTCTATGGAAACAGGAGCTAATTAACTGATACTTTTCACATAAGAGTCTACATGAGATAACATTCTTTGAAATTGATTGATATGTCATTTTCTAACATAATCAAAATTGTTACGTGTAATTACAACTAATTTTCAACATACTATCCATTGCTCCGTTGATTTGATCTTGGGTGTATCTTATATGTTTGATGGCCTTTTGTCAATTCTTATTTGGCTACTAGTTATTTTAATGTAAATACTAAACTACTTCATTTTTAGGTTATTTGAAATTCGGATTTAATAGGGAAGAAGGTGGCATTGTGTACCGTGAGTGGGCCCCAGCAGCTCTGTAAGTTTTTTCTTTTATTTTTAAGCAAAATTTTAGGAACTACCCGTTTATTCTCATTTTTGGTCAAACCATATGTTAGTTGTATGATTAGGATTTATATGAGCCAGGGAAGCACAAGTTATTGGGGACTTCAATCAATGGGATGGTTCTAACCACAAGATGGTAAAGGATCAATATGGTGTTTGGAGTATCAAAATTCCAGATTCTGTTGGAACTCCGGCTATTCCTCATGGTTCACGAGTCAAATTCCGATTCAAGCATGGTGATGGGGTTTGGGTTGATAGAATCCCTGCATGGATTAAATATGCTACTGTAGACCCTACAAGTTTTGCGGCCCCATATGATGGTGTATACTGGGATCCGCCAGCATCGGAAAGGTATTGATTATTCTTATTCAACCTGTCTTGGTCTTTTGGTCACAGCAAACAGCTTTAATCAAAACTCTGGAAAAGAATCGAAGGATTATATGAGAGCAATTGTTTGTTTTCAAAATGCTTAGTTGCATAGTTTCAGTGCAAGAAGTAGAATATGTTGCATAATTTATAATGTAAGTTCTTCTGTAATGTAGTCAGACATCTCAACATTAGGAACTTCTTACCATCTTTTCATCTAGTTTAATTAGAACTAAGGGTCTCTGCAATTAAAGTTATATAGAAGTAGTGTTTGTTGATCCATTCTTTCATCCATCATGCAGGTATGAGTTTAAGTACCCTCAGCCCCCAAAGCCTATGGCCCCAAGGATATATGAAGCTCATGTTGGAATGAGCTGCTCTGAACCCCGTGTGAATTCTTATAGAGAATTTGCTGATGATGTTTTGCCTCGTATTCGAGCAAATAACTATAACACAGTCCAGTTAATGGCTGTGATAGAGCATTCCTACTATGCATCATTTGGTTATCATGTAACAAACTTTTTTGCTGTAAGTAGCAGATCTGGAACTCCTGATGACCTTAAGTATTTAATTGATAAAGCCCATAGCTTAGGTCTGCGGGTCTTGATGGATGTTGTTCACAGCCATGCAAGTAACAATGTCACTGATGGCCTTAATGGCTATGATGTTGGCCAAAGCTCACAAGAATCGTATTTCCATGCTGGCAGTCGAGGCTACCATGCATTGTGGGATAGTAGGCTCTTCAATTATGCAAATTGGGAAGTACTTCGCTTCCTTTTGTCCAACTTGAGGTGGTGGCTTGAGGAGTACAAATTTGATGGATTCCGATTCGATGGGGTAACTTCAATGTTGTATCATCATCATGGGATTAACACGGCTTTTACTGGGAATTATAATGAGTATTTCAGTGAGTCAACGGATGTTGATGCTGTTGTTTATATGATGCTGGCAAATAGTCTGGTTCACAATATCTTGCCAGATGCAACTATAATTGCTGAAGATGTTTCTGGTATGCCTGGACTTTGTTTGCCTGTCTCTGAGGGAGGTATTGGTTTCAACTACCGTCTGGCAATGGCCATCCCTGACCAGTGGATTGATTATTTGAAGAATAAGAAGGATGAAGAATGGTCGATGAAGGAAATATCATGGAATTTGACAAATAGGAGATACACTGAGAAGTGTGTATCTTATGCTGAAAGTCATGACCAGGTATGAAGTATTTTTTGTTGTATTGATATGTTTTAACAGGTAAGACTTTTACAGTATTCGTCATAGTAAATCTCCTATGTCAAATCAGATCTAAGGTCTTTGCTTTTCTTTTCCCCTTATTTTCTGTTCAGCTCTTACTAAAATACATTTCTTACGGTTCGCCCTGTTTGTGCAGGCCATTGTAGGTGACAAGACTATTGCATTTCTTTTAATGGATGAAGAGATGTATTCTGGTATGTCTAGTTTAACAGAGGTCTCTCCAACTGTTCAGCGAGGAATAGCACTTCATAAGGTGTGTTGGTTGCCAAATCATAAGGGCTCCTTTCTTATTGTAATTTCTTTTGTAGCTCAACTGGTCATTATTCTATATGAATATAAATTATACTTCCAAAGATGTATAATATGAGGCCTCACTACTCATATTCAACACCATTGCTCTGACAAAATTTAAGATAATTGCTTTGGATGCCCATGCATATTTTGGATCCAGAATCTGGCTGATTGCTGTATTTATTGTAATTGATTTAATCCCAGATGTTTTATTCTATTTCTCAGCTTTATCTTTTCCTTTGGCAGATGATACATTTCTTAACTATGGCATTAGGAGGAGAGGGCTACCTTAATTTTATGGGGAATGAGGTAAGTACACCTAGCCCAAAGCCAACCAGCTAAATTATCAGTGTCATTATCTGCAGAATTAGTTTTCTATTCTTGATATATAATAGTTGCTTTCATTAAGATTCTTATTTCGATGGCCATCCGTTTAAAATCCAATGAATTTATTTTTTAACAAATTCGAGATTTTGACGGTGTGTGAGTTGTCACGTGGAGTTATATGCTTTGCTTCTCCTGACTGTTGCCTTTCAAAGCAATCAAAAAATCATCTGACAAAAGACAAGTGGATTTCCAAATGATTTCGATTGTGGGTCCATCACAGAGATCCAACGGTTTATATTTTTCTGATGGTGAGTGCCGTCATGTTTATATGTCCTCGTACAGTTGCCTTTTTCAGCTTAAGAAGCTTTCATTCTCAGATGAAGCAGATAAGCTGAAATGGAGAAGCTGTTGAATTCTTCGCGTCTAGTTTTCTCACCTGCTGTTGCGTCTTTTTCACTTTCATCAAGTGAAAATTACACAAGGACAAGGGTAAACAATCAACTTCATTTTCATATTTTGAATCTTTGGAGTGAGCCATTGTAACATTCGGATGAGTTCTGTCATTACTGATATTGTTAGTCAACTTTGTTTTCCGAAACGTATTGAATTTGTCAGCTGAATAGTGTTTTTTTAAATGTTCACGAGTTTGATGTTTATTTTTCTTGAATCTAGTATTTGCCAAGTGTCTTAATTTGAACGTTTCTGATTTATTGAAACTCAGATGTATTAGATATTTGGAAATAGATGTTATTTATACAATAATCTTGTTTTTGAAATGGCGAAGTGGATCATATACTTGAAGATGGTATTTAATGATGGTTTATGAACTGCTTGATCTTTTCAACAGGCTGAAAGAAACAACAAGCTTGCCAATCAACTACCAAACAAAGGAACGTGTGGGTCGCAAAAATTGCTTAGGCATCACATTCTCTCAACAAGAATTCCGGTGCACCGTAGGGTATGTTTTGACATTTCTAACATGAAGCATCATAGAAAGATGTTACTATCTCAGGGATTTCTAATCGGCTAAAGGTGTTTTTGATTAAATTTTCATCACCACATTTCAAATATATTTAGAAGCTGATTTTGTATGGCGTTTTTTTCCTTAAATAGTTAGTCATTAAGCTGTAGCTCTGTTGGGTGGGTTGGTTTCTGATTGACTATTGTCCTAGATTGGTTGATGCTGATTGTGCATGTGAAGAAGCCAGGGTCAACAGATTATTTGAACTTAAATGTTACAGAGTTTTGTTCCTTCCTTACCATCCTTAGATCATAAACCTAATTGAATTCACTTAAATAAATTTCTATGTGGTGAATTATTGGGAAGTTCTTAACAATATAAATACAAGATTTCTCACCATCTCTCTTTTATCCTAGGTGTATTCTGGTTGATTATTGACTTCAAGTATGGTGGTTATTAGTAAGTGTTAATCAGGTGTTCTTACTTCTTTTCATACATTTTATTCTATACATCACCAGGTGGAGCACAATTCTCCTATCTCTGCCGTTTTGACAGATGACCCCTCAACAATGACAAGTATGGAAGATGATACAGAAAATATTGGTATCTTGCGCATTGATCCAGGCTTAGAACCATTTAAAGATCACTTCAAATACAGAGTGAGAAAGTATGTAGATCAGAAAAACCTTTTTGAAAAGTATGAAGGAGGTCTTGAGGAATTTGCAAAAGGTAATATCCTATATCATCATGCTATCTCCTTTCTTTCCTCTCTGACTCATTCCTTGAATAGTGTGGTAGTTCAACAATGTAATTTTGTAAATTATTGAAGTCTATGGAAACAGGAGCTAATTAACTGATACTTTTCACATAAGAGTCTACATGAGATAACATTCTTTGAAATTGATTGATATGTCATTTTCTAACATAATCAAAATTGTTACGTGTAATTACAACTAATTTTCAACATACTATCCATTGCTCCGTTGATTTGATCTTGGGTGTATCTTATATGTTTGATGGCCTTTTGTCAATTCTTATTTGGCTACTAGTTATTTTAATGTAAATACTAAACTACTTCATTTTTAGGTTATTTGAAATTCGGATTTAATAGGGAAGAAGGTGGCATTGTGTACCGTGAGTGGGCCCCAGCAGCTCTGTAAGTTTTTTCTTTTATTTTTAAGCAAAATTTTAGGAACTACCCGTTTATTCTCATTTTTGGTCAAACCATATGTTAGTTGTATGATTAGGATTTATATGAGCCAGGGAAGCACAAGTTATTGGGGACTTCAATCAATGGGATGGTTCTAACCACAAGATGGTAAAGGATCAATATGGTGTTTGGAGTATCAAAATTCCAGATTCTGTTGGAACTCCGGCTATTCCTCATGGTTCACGAGTCAAATTCCGATTCAAGCATGGTGATGGGGTTTGGGTTGATAGAATCCCTGCATGGATTAAATATGCTACTGTAGACCCTACAAGTTTTGCGGCCCCATATGATGGTGTATACTGGGATCCGCCAGCATCGGAAAGGTATTGATTATTCTTATTCAACCTGTCTTGGTCTTTTAGTCACAGCAAACAGCTTTAATCAAAACTCTGGAAAAGAATCGAAGGATTATACGAGAGCAATTGTTTGTTTTCAAAATGCTTAGTTGCATAGTTTCAGTGCAAGAAGTAGAATATGTTGCATAATTTATAATGTAAGTTCTTCTGTAATGTAGTCAGACATCTCAACATTAGGAACTTGGTACCATCTTTTCATCTAGTTTAATTAGAACTAAGGGTCTCTGCAATTAAAGTTATATAGAAGTAGTGTTTGTTGATCCATTCTTTCATCCATCATGCAGGTATGAGTTTAAGTACCCTCCGCCCCCAAAGCCTATGGCCCCAAGGATATATGAAGCTCATGTTGGAATGAGCAGCTCTGAACCCCGTGTGAATTCGTATAGAGAATTTGCTGATGATGTTTTGCCTCGTATTCGAGCAAATAACTATAACACAGTCCAGTTAATGGCTGTGATAGAGCATTCCTACTATGCATCATTTGGTTATCATGTAACAAACTTTTTTGCTGAAAGTAGCAGATCTGGAACTCCTGATGACCTTAAGTATTTAATTGATAAAGCCCATAGCTTAGGTCTGCGGGTCTTGATGGATGTTGTTCACAGCCATGCAAGTAACAATGTCACTGATGGCCTTAATGGCTATGATGTTGGCCAAAGCTCACAAGAATCGTATTTCCATGCTGGCAGTCGAGGCTACCATGCATTGTGGGATAGTAGGCTCTTCAATTATGCAAATTGGGAAGTACTTCGCTTCCTTTTGTCCAACTTGAGGTGGTGGCTTGAGGAGTACAAATTTGATGGATTCCGATTCGATGGGGTAACTTCAATGTTGTATCATCATCATGGGATTAACACGGCTTTTACTGGGAATTATAATGAGTATTTCAGTGAGTCAACGGATGTTGATGCTGTTGTTTATATGATGCTGGCAAATAGTCTGGTTCACAATATCTTGCCAGATGCAACTATAATTGCTGAAGATGTTTCTGGTATGCCTGGACTTTGTTTGCCTGTCTCTGAGGGAGGTATTGGTTTCGACTATCGTCTGGCAATGGCCATCCCTGACCAGTGGATTGATTATTTGAAGAATAAGAAGGATGAAGAATGGTCGATGAAGGAAATATCATGGAATTTGACAAATAGGAGATACACTGAGAAGTGTGTATCTTATGCTGAAAGTCATGACCAGGTATGAAGTATTTTTTGTTGTATTGATATGTTTTAACAGGTAAGACTTTTACAGTATTCGTCATAGTAAATCTCCTATGTCAAATCAGATCTAAGGTCTTTGCTTTTCTTTTCCCCTTATTTTCTGTTCAGCTCTTACTAAAATACATTTCTTATGGTTCGCCCTGTTTGTGCAGGCCATTGTAGGTGACAAGACTATTGCATTTCTTTTAATGGATGAAGAGATGTATTCTGGTATGTCTAGTTTAACAGAGGTCTCTCCAACTGTTCAGCGAGGAATAGCGCTTCATAAGGTGTGTTGGTTGCCAAATCATAAGGGCTCCTTTCTTATTGTAATTTCTTTTGTAGCTCAACTGGTCATTATTCTATATGAATATAAATTATCCTTCCAAAGATGTATAACATGAGGCCTCACTACTCATATTCAACACCGTCTCTCTGACAAAATTTAAGATAATTGCTTTGGATGCCCATGCATATTTTGGATCCAGAATATGGCTGATTGCTGTATTTATTGTAATTGATTTAATCCCAGATGTTTTATTCTATTTCTCAGCTTTATCTTTTCCTTTGGCAGATGATACATTTCTTAACTATGGCATTAGGAGGAGAGGGCTACCTTAATTTTATGGGGAATGAGGTAAGTACACCTGGCCCAAGGCCAACCAGCTAAATTATCAGTGTCATTGTCTGCAGAATTGGTTTTCTATTCTTGATATATAATAGTTGCTTTCATTAAGATTCTTATTTCGATGGCCACAAAATTAAAGGCTCCATTGGTTTTAATATTCTCCCACTATCCTATTCCACTATTCTATCCTAAAAATTCAAAAATACATTTGTTTCAATATTCTTAAAATTCATTCCTACTTTATTCAACTCAAAACATTAACAATTATCTTCCTCGTAAAAATAACTCAACCCAACTCAACTTTACTTTTTTCAAAATACTATCCTAAAAACTATCAAAATAATGAACCAAAAACGGACTCAAAGTTTTCAGAGAGGAACAAAACTTTTGGCTCACACCAGGTCAAAATGATTCATTTTCCTCAATAATAGAAGCATACATATATTACTGATGCTTTCTGAACTAATAGTCACATAAGTTTTTTTTTTTTTTTTTGTTAGTATGTTAAGACAACGCTGATTCCCTCTCTTATAGAACCAAATCATTAACTGAAATGAACTTCTCATTGCCGTAATAATGTAAAGCCATATGTTGAAGAGGCAAAATGTGTGTATCTGTTTAGTTTTCTGATATTTGGGCTATTTTATCTTGTATGGTAATTACAGTTTGGCCATCCTGAGTGGATTGACTTCCCAAGAGAGGGCAATGGGTGGAGTTATGAAAAATGCAGACGCCAATGGAACTTGGTGGATACTGATCACTTAAGATACAAGGTTTGATTCACTAATTAAGTTTAAGCTCTCTTATCTCTGTTCATGCTTTTGATATAGCCATAAGTTCATTTGGGTTTTTAGGAGTATTTACTTAATAGCCCTACCACAGTCCATTTCAACAAAGAATCTATCCATATCTCTCTCCATCTTCCTGTCATGCTTTCAATATAGTTAATTACTTAATTTGGGTTTTTAAGACTAATATTAAATGGTCTTACCTGAGTCTATATCATTTTTTGTTCAACATCTATTCATGTAACTCCAGGCAGGATACAAATTGGCTTTTCAAGAAAGAAAATGTGTAAAAACGAACCTACTACTCTTCATGTTGGTCTATGGTGTGCTACCTGTATGGGACACCATGTTTTTCCACTCTATAATGCAATAGACACCTCTTTAACATAATTTGTAGAACATCATGTATGTTATTTTCCAATTTTTACTAGGTTGCTACTGTTTTCTTTCGAGGAACAAATATTGAAGTGCTCTTTTTATATTTGTGCTGGAAATTGTTCAGTTCATGAATGAATTTGACAGAGCTATGAACATGCTTGATGATAAATTCTCATTCCTCGCATCATCAAAACAGATTGTGAGCAGCACAAATGAAGAAGACAAGGTAAAGATCCTGTTGTTTAATACAGTGGTTACATTTCAGTGGTGCTGATTCTCATTCTATTATGAGAAGTTCAAAACTTCAAATAGGGCACACACTATACTAAAAAAATTATAGTCTTGAGCAGCAATCCAGAGTTTATACAAAGACACTAATTAATTGTTTCACTTTACAGGTTATTGTCTTTGAGCGAGGAGATCTGGTTTTTGTGTTCAATTTTCATCCAGAAAATACATACGAAGGGTATTCATATTTTATGTGATGCCAGAGGGTTGTGTGTGTATCTAAGTTATTTGTCTAGAGTTTAAAACAGTTTGGATGAGGCTTGGATTATGATGATAGCAGTATTTTTTTTTTTTTTTTGTTTTCTTTCTTTCAATCTGGTGACTTGTAATCTTAAACATGCAGGTATAAAGTTGGGTGTGACTTGCCAGGGAAGTATAGAGTTGCACTTGATAGTGATGCTTCGGAATTTGGTGGACATGGAAGGGTAAGGAGCCCTTGCAAAACCATGTGCTAGCTTCCTGTTACTGTTGGAGTAATAGACGATAAGAGATACTACTTAGAAGAGAGCAATTGTTAGATTTCTTGTTTAAATATAATTGTGACGTAATATATTTCATGGGAAGTAATTTCACTTCTAATGGCTCCTGAGTACTCAAGCATTGCATTCCTCACTTGTTAACAGGAATAGAATCATCTTTATTGGAAAGCCTGTATACCCTTTCACCAGATGTTTCTGTTCTCTGAATTGATTAATTTTTTGGCAGGTGGGTCATGATGTAGACCATTTTACATGTCCAGAAGGGATGCCAGGTGTGCCTGAGACAAATTTCAACAACCGTCCGAACTCATTCAAAGTACTCTCACCAGCTCGAACCTCTGTGGTATGGCCTCCCCTCCATGTTCTTTCTGGTTCTATTACCCCTTATTATGAATATCAATACAATATGTTGAACACCAAAAATTTGGAAATTTGATTTGATTGATATGTTATGTTAAAAAGATCACTTAGCTATCAATTATACACTCTAGCCCATCTATGAGAAACATTTGAAAAGAACTTATCAAGCCTGTTGCCTCTGGTTTGGAATAATAAACATGAAATGCTTCAATTTTGTTAAAAAAATTTCTATAGGTTTACCATAGGGTGGAAGAAAAAGAAGAAGAAGAGCACAACGAAAGTTCATTGACCAATGCGAAAAAGACATTAGCAGCAGATGTTCTGCAAAACAGTAGTGAATCGATCAGTGCTAATGAGACATTAGGTGATGTTGCGGACAACTGTAGTCAATCGGTCAGCAGCAAGGCGACATTAGTAGCAGATGTTGTGGCTGATCGGGAAAACCTTGAAGCTTTACCAACCATAGAAGGTGATGGTGAGTCTGTTGGGACACCGGAGCACTGAATCTTCCATTATTGTGCAAATCAAGCTCGTCATTGATGTGTTCATGTCATATAATCAATAATAAGCATTAATCACGGGATTTTATGGACTGCTGTAAATTCTGGTGTCCGTTTAATATGTCATTGGTAAGACTGGATTTCATATATGCTTTATGCTGGAATTTTTGCTACATTCCAAGGATTAAATGTGTATTGTACTTGCTCATGTGATTAGCAATAATGTAAAGTTGCAGTTTAAAAGCTGTTTCACAAATCTTATTGTGGCCTATAAAAAATTTAGAGAATATTTATGTTGATATTTCAATTTCATAATGTCAAGGATTTTTTATAACGTTGTAGGGTTGGCGAAACATTTGGATAATGCCAGGGAGAGTTACGATAATGTCAATTGGTTTAGTAAAGGTGTATTTTTATAACGTCAAGGGACTTTTTGAATAATGTCAAAGTTTTTTTTATAATTTCAAGGGGCTTTTTGATAATGTTAAGGATTTTTAATAATGTCAAGGGGTTTTTTGATAATATCAAGAGGACTTTTAATATGTTAAGGGGTTTATTTATCAAGTCAAGGGAATTTTTATATTGTGAAGAGTTTTTTTTTTTTTTTAATATAATGTAGGGGATTTTTTAATAATGTCAAGGATATTTTTGATATAATAATAATAATAATAATATCAAAGAAAGTTTTGATAATGTAAATGGTAAAGAATTTCTTATGTCGAAAAGGTCGTGAGTTTGGTGTAATGGGCTAGTCCAACAAGTTCGACCCAAAACAAGCCCAAGAACTACTAAATGTAAATCCACCGATCAGATTCGGGCTAACCCAACTAGAAGTCGGAAAGCACCAAAGCCGAGTCAAGCAAGAAGGCGGAATCTGGTTCGGAACTGATCTCTGCATCGATCGAAGTGGAAGAAGGTCTGAAAATTACAGTTTCTAGGGTTTTGTGATACGAAATAGAAGTAATATGGAAGAGAAGAACAACAACAAGTTCAGTATAATTGTTCCAACTTACAACGAACGCCTCAACATTGTTCTCCTCGTTTATCTCGTCTTCAAACATCTCCGGTGAACTAACTCCGCATCCTCTATGAATCATTTCATGATAACTAATCGTTTAATTTATTATCTAGAATTAATCGTTTGTGAGAATTAAGTTGTTTTTCTATGTTGGCTCATATAGGGATGTTGATTTTGAAATAATTGTGGTCGATGATGGGAGTCCTGATGGTACACAAGAAGTTGTTAAACAATTGCAGCAATTGTATGGAGAGGACCGTATTGTAAGCATCATAACAACTGAAATTGGATCTTATTCCTCTTTCTAATGGGAGGTCAAAAATCAATGCTTTCTAATTCTGCTTTTGTGTCTTTGATGGTGCAGCTTTTAAGACCTAGACCGAGGAAACTTGGGTTAGGTATGTAATACAATTGATATTACTAACTGTTTGATAGTAATTAAAAAATGACGCTGGTTGCACTTGTTTAATTTAGGGACGGCTTACGTTCACGGTTTGAAGCATGCTTCTGGAAATTTTGTTGTAATTATGGATGCTGATCTCTCTCACCATGTAAGTTAAATGTCAATGTTGAAATGTTGGCTTGGAAATATTGAAATCAGTTGCTTAGGAGTTCATTTAGATTGGCGTGGATTTTGAATCTTGGATATATCATTTGCATGTTCTACTTGGTTGGCGCCTGAGGAAGTTAACTAACTGTCTTTAATGCTCATCTAAAACATATAAATTAAGAATAATTTACTTTTCTGTGCTTAGAATCCATTGATCACACTATCTTCCTGTGTGTCAGTGACATGGAATCAGGATTTAAGCAGTACTCATTTGATTTGTCTTTTTTTTTTTTTCATTTTTTGGCAGCCCAAGTACTTGCCAAGCTTCATCAAGTAAGAAGTTTTCCTGTCTATATGTATTGTACTATTACATTGTGGCTGAGGATGCCTAATTTCTTGGAATGTTTCTAATATAATTTGGCGACATGTTTTATTAGGAAACAGTTGGAGACTGGTGCAGATATGGTTACGGGAACCCGGTATGTTAAGGGTGGTGGTGTACATGGGTGGAATCTTATGCGAAAGCTAACAAGTAGGGGAGCTAATGTCCTTGCACATACACTTTTATGGCCTGGTGTATCAGATCTGACTGGATCATTCCGGTACATAAATTGGTTTGAAGTATTAGGCTATTCATCATTTTTTCACTTTGACAATTTTAGAACTGAGCTCTTGTTCTTAAAGGCTTTATAGGAAATCAGTGCTTGAAGATGTTATTAGTTCCTGCGTAAGCAAGGGATATGTCTTCCAAATGGAGATGATTGTTCGTGCTTCTAGAAAGGGCTACCACATTGAAGAGGTGAAGTTGTGCATTTCTCTTATTGTAATGTATGCTTGAGATAAACAGACTTCGTGCCTGTAAATCATAAAAAAAATAAAAGAAATTGGCATAATTTTGTTAACTTAATAACTCGAATCTGTAGACACAAGTTTATAATTTTTTTTTGTAGTTGTGGTATGTGCAGATACTGTTGTATTTGTCCAGAAACAGTCTTTCTCTGGTTTCCATCCCTGACTAAATACACATTTTTTTCTTTCATGGCTTTTCTCATATATACGTTAATAACACATACACTGTATTTAACTATTTATACTAATGTACTCTGTATGTATGCATTCCCTTGAACATACTGTGTATTCAGTTTGTAGGTGGATTTAAACAATTTAAGGCATCGTCTTTAATCTGTGTTTTGTGCATTTCCACAGGTTCCAATTACTTTTGTTGATAGAGTATTTGGAAGTTCAAAGCTTGGAGGATCAGAAATTGTCGAATATCTGAAAGGCCTTGCATATCTTCTTGTCACAACGTAGAAAGGCCTCTTTATCAATTGAACACAATCATCTGAAGCTTTTCTTATGTTTCTTTTTTCTTCTCGTTTCTGTCAATAATAGAGGCTTTTCTTGGTTATACAACAAAAGAATGGAGATTGCCAACAAATCTTAGAACAGTTGTTATCACAAAATAATGCTTATTTTGTTGTAGTCATAAACATCATTATAATCAATAGATAATTTTCGTGTGATTAATATCTTTGTTGTGCCTTTTTCACCATATTGAATGTAAAGAACAATAGGAACCTGANTTTTTTTCTTTCATGGCTTTTCTCATATATACTTTAATAACACATACACTGTATTTAACTATTTATACTAATGTACTCTCTATGTATGCATTCCCTTGAACATTCTGTGTATTCAGTTTGTAGGTGTATTTAAACAATTTAAGGCATCGTCTTTAATCTGTGTGTTTTGTGCATTTCCACAGGTTCCAATTACTTTTGTTGATAGAGTATTTGGAAGTTCAAAGCTTGGAGGATCAGAAATTGTCGAATATCTGAAAGGCCTTGCATATCTTCTTGTCACAACGTAGAAAGGCCTCTTTATCAATTGAACACAATCATCTGAAGCTTTTCTTATGTTTCTTTTTTCTTCTCGTTTCTATCAATAATAGAGGCTTTTTTTGGTTATACAACAAAAGAATGGAGATTGCCAACAAAATTGTCATCACAAAATAATGCTTATTTTGTTGTAGTCATAAACATCATTATAATCAATAGATATTTTTCGTGTGACTAATATCTTTGTTGTGCCTTTTTCACCATATTGAATGTAAAGAACAATAGGGAAACAGTGAATGGACAAAGGAACGGAGAAAGAAGCCTGAATGAATTGCTTTCATTCAACCAGATTTTTGTTGAAAGACGTAAAAATATATTTACTACGCGTCACCATCAAACAGGCACTAAAACCCAGAAACAGCAATGGAACATATTTAATTCATGAATGAAGTTCAGTTTTCCTAAATCAAAATACTAATAGCAGAATTAAAAAAAAAAAAATCCCTAAAACCCCCCAGCTGTGAAAATTCAAATCTTCCTGACTCTACGAGCCCCCGTCTTTCGTTGACTGTCAATCACAGAGTTGAAAGGTAGAGGAGGTTTCCTGTTCTCTTTGCTCATGCTTCTCAGCATATATCTGGGCTCAGTTGTCTCCACAGAATAAGCAGCAGAAACAGACTTCCTCAGACTCTCTAGCTTCTTCGAATCTCTTCTCTTTGAAGACTCAACTGTCACACCAAGATTATACGGAGTCTTTGTCACGTCACCCGTTTCATTTTTCTTTCTCTTCAGCCTCTCATTTCTTCTCGCTGAGTACTCTTCATAAAACCTACCCCTTTCAAAGAAAGAACTCGAATTGCCACTTAACTCATTGCCCGACCCAGCTTTATTGTTATTATTATTACCCAATTTACCCTCTCCGAGTTCATCTTGAACCATCTTTGCCAGAGCCCGTAACTCGCAAGAAATCGTACGGTATTCGGGTCGAAGATCCGATTCTTGAAGGTCTGATGAGCGGATCAGCTTCTGAGATTTCGTTAAAGATCCTGGTATAACTTAAAAGGTTTTAGCAAGAATGAAAGAAATAAACATTATTATTATTATTATTATATCATTTGAAACAAGAAACATTAAAGAAGATTTACCAGGAGGGGTTTGAAGAGAAGTTGCGTTTGATCGAAGAACTCGACGTGGTCGAACCCGAATCGGCGATCTAGCCAGCGGAGGCTTGCGATCAGTTTTCATCTTAGACATGGCTATACTACAAAGAAACTAAGCTCTGTAGAAAGAGAGATCGAGAGAAACGTACAGTATCAGCGAGTGATTCAATTTGGAAGACTAAACAAGGAACATGGAGAAATAACACTTACCTTTTTGTTAAAGGATGATTAGTTCTTCTCTGCTTCGTTCTTTGTGCTGTGTGAATTCTCTTTTGTTGCTTCTGTTCTCTGTGCCGTTGCCTTTTTGTCTGTCAAAGATGGGTTTTATTGGGAGACAGACATGTCTGTTTGAAATTTCAAACGTCAGATGCGGAGCGTCTCCAACGGTAATATTTTTGATCTGACGGTCTAGAATCGTTGAAATTTGAAAGCTTGATTTTGTGTGATTAACTTATAATACTTACAATAAAATCCACGGATTTCTTTCCAAATTTTTTAGTCTCTCTATTTGCTAATATACTAATCGCTTAGGCTAATTTGAGCCTCACTTAAATNATTATTATTATTATTATTATATCATTTGAAACAAGAAACATTAAAGAAGATTTACCAGGAGGGGTTTGAAGAGAAGTTGCGTTTGATCGAAGAACTCGACGTGGTCGAACCCGAATCGGCGATCTAGCCAGCGGAGGCTTGCGATCAGTTTTCATCTTAGACATGGCTATACTACAAAGAAACTAAGCTCTGTAGAAAGAGAGATCGAGAGAAACGTACAGTATCAGCGAGTGATTCAATTTGGAAGACTAAACAAGGAACATGGAGAAATAACACTTACCTTTTTGTTAAAGGATGATTAGTTCTTCTCTGCTTCGTTCTTTGTGCTGTGTGAATTCTCTTTTGTTGCTTCTGTTCTCTGTGCCGTTGCCTTTTTGTCTGTCAAAGATTGGTTTTATTGGGAGACAGACATGTCTGTTTGAAATTTCAAACGTCAGATGCGGAGCGTCTCCAACGGTTATATTTTTGATCTGACGGTCTAGAATCGTTGAAATTTGAAAGCTTGATTATGTGTGATTAACTTATAATATTTACAATAAAATCCACCGATTTCTTTCCAAATTTTTTAGTCTCTCTATTTGGTAATACACTAATCGCTTAGGCTAATTTGAGCCTCACTTATATTTTAAATAAGAGTAAAATACATCTTCCCACCCCTAATTTCATAAATTCTAGATTCTTACCGGAGAGTGCTATTACAATCATATTGTCCTTGACAAATAAATTAATAAATTATTTCTTAACCCCCAAATTAGTAGAATTAGAAAATAACTATCTCACTTTCAAGTTTATTTCAATAACATCCTGTTTATCAACATTCACATCATCCCCATCTCTAACCACTCAATCACTACCATTGTTACCGTCAACTCAAATCTGACGTTATTGGCGTTCACCGACCCCATGACCAACTTCCCTGACATCCATTGACTAAAACCCCAAAGTTCTCAAGCCTCTCCTCCCACCATTCCCTGACTAACGCTAAGTTAGAGTTTCCTTGTTCTAAGCCAAATCCGTACGGCTAACGGTAGCCAAAATCCACTCCAACACGATTTTTAATTGATAACAAAAATATAATTAAGTATTTAAATCAAATAACAGATTTCTAGAATCTGTGGGCCTGGTTTGAACTTAGAAGATGGGCTGGGTGGATTTGCTTTTGAACCTGCTTTCGGGTTCAAGCTACAACACCTGAAAGGCAACGGTGTAAAGTGGGTGGACCCATAGGTCAACATGACTTGTTATAGTAAAAGCCCAAGGGCGCATGCATGGCGCAAACGTGGAGGGGAGCTATAGCTCTTCAGCTATTTGCTGATTTAAAAACATAGAGCTGACTCTGTTAGTCCTGATTCCGAGGTGAGTTCAATTTGTCATGACGTAAGTACCTGATTGAATTTTGAAGGTGATCCCTGACGTTATTGGATGGTGTCTCTTACACGGTTACAGCTACTTCACCATTAAAGCTTTGACCTGGGGATACTAGTTACAAACCAAAACCAACACAGAACTACTCTCTTTGGTTGAAGTTGAATGAATCAATTAAATTAGAAAAGGACAAGTTCTACCGATATAAGTGCATTGAAATATGCCATTAATCTGCTGGTAATGTGTAAAGACTAAGGAGGTCCAAAATGATGAAGAAAATTGCAATAATTGGCGCCGGAGTGAGTGGTCTTCTTGCATGCAAACACACTCTGGAGAAGGGTTTTAATCCCATAGTGTTTGAGGCAAGGAGTGGCGTAGGTGGAATTTGGTCTCAAACGTTAGAGTCCACAAAGCTCCAATCACCCAAAAGTTTTTACCAGTTCTCCGATTTGGCATGGCCGCCTTCTGTCACCGACACTTTCCCGGATCACAACCAAGTCATGGACTACCTCCAAGCTTATGCTACTCACTTCAACCTCATTTCCAGGATCAAATTTGACACTAAAGTCATTTCTATCGACCACCTTATCACAACTTCTGATCATCATGAAAATGTCCTCTCTTCCAATTTATGGGGCGGCTCCGGTAGACCCTTCTCGCCCTCTGGAAAATGGAATGTCATTGTACAGGATGCTCAAAATCCATCATCCACCGAGGTAAATATACTGATACAGTTTATATATGTTTTAATACCAGAAATATAAACTATTATCTCGTTCTTCAACTTTATAGTTCGGAAGCTAAATATTTACTGGATTTAAAGGTTTAGTTTCTCATGTACTAGGTTTACCGGGTGGATTTTGTGATACTGTGCATTGGGAGGTACAGTGACCTCCCAAACATGCCAGAATTTCCAATAAACAAAGGCCCTGAAGTGTTTGACGGAAAGGTCTTACATTCCATGGATTATGCTGCTATGGATAATGATGTGGCAGCTGAATTCATCAAAGAAAAGCGGGTTACTGTCATTGGGTTCCAGAAATCAGCACTGGATGTAGCAGCAGAGGTTTCAGCTAGAAATGGTAAAAGCCTTTTCCTCTGTTCTAGACTCTAGGCAACAAATATTTCAAATATAGTGGATAATTTTCTCCAGGAATTAGAATTTTAATAGCCCAGAAGGGGTGATGGCTCCCTGATCCCATATTTTTATTCTTAGAAGATGATACCAATCTGTATAATTTCAGTTTTTAGTGTATTTTATTAATCTTGCACGAACTTGAATCTGATTCAATGAACACATCATTAAGAGTGTGTGTGTGTGTGTGTGTGTATTGGATAATATCGTTCAAGCAGCACTGTTTTTAATCGTTCTAATTTGATATCATATCAGGAACCAGACACCCATGTACGCTGTTATTCAAGACAACTCATTGGACGGTTCCTGATCACTTTGTTCCATTGACATTTCGAAGTTTAAATCGCTCCACAGAGTTTATGTATCACAAGCCAGGTGAAGGAGTCTTCCTCTGGCTTTTAGTCACTTTTCTCTCACCCATGGTAACATTCTGACGCTGTATCTCTTCTAATTCTTTGGTTCTGTTGGTCAGCTACCAGTAAAGTATGATCAAACTTTCAACTAATTTTGGTAGTCCATAATGATCAATTCATGCTACCAATTTTATGTTTTTTTTCAGCTTTGGATATTTTCGAAAGTGTTGGAGTTCTATCTGAAATGGACATATCCATTGAAGAAATACAATATGATTCCTAGTCATAGCTTCCTTCAACAGATTTCTTCATGTATGTTCACAAGTCTGCCATCTAACTTCTACGACAGAGTCGAAGAAGGAAGCCTCATCTTAAGGAAATTTAAAAGATTAAATTTTTGCAAAAATGGTTTGCTCATAGATGGCGAGATGACTCCTCTAGCAACTGATATTGTTATCTTCGCAACTGGTTATAGAAGTGATGAAAAGCTCAAAAACATTTTTAAATCAACTTACTTCCAGAAACACATAACTGAGCCAGCTCCATTCTACAGGTATTGAACCTCTGGAATTTCTTGAAAAAAAATAGGGAGAAGAATTATATAATTCTTTAGTAACCTTTATCTGATAAATTAACGGTTTTGTGTTCTGGTTTCAGAGAGTGCATTCATCCCCGAATTCCCCAGTTGGCAATACTTGGATATTCAGAAAGTCCAGCCGTTTTATACACCACGGAAATGAGAAGCAAGTGGCTAGCACATTTTCTTGCTGGAAAATTTGTGTTACCATCCATAATTAAGATGGAACATGATGTTCTGCAGTGGGAAAAATGCATGCGGCTTTATGCTGGTGAAGGCTACAAAAGACACTGTGTGAGCGCATCTCTGCAAATACATTGCAATGATCAGCTGTGCAAGGACATGGGACAAAATCCAAAGAGGAAAAACTCATTTCTTGCTGAGCTGTTTGCTCCTTATGGTCCATCAGATTATAAAAATTTATCCCAAGATTGTACCTAGATTTTCAATGAGTCATCTATATCAATTACCTTATTACATTTGCATCAAGGGAAGCTACTGATTGAAGGTGCTATATGCATCGAGTGTTGAAAACACAGCCAAACACATGCAATAAAATAAAACAAAACCCTAGTTTGTTCCAATTAAAGAACTACGTCTAGCATTCAAATGTAGATTTTGTATTAAGCTCCAGAGTTCTGTAGCAATTACAATCTATATTGATGGTAGCCCACTCTCTCTATTTTTCTTAACCCTTGGTTTCTCACTTTTACATCATAAATATATAACAGAAAACTCTATCCCATAACCTCCGAATGCATCTGCGTAGATGGTTTCAAACCCATACAAAGTATGAATCATATCCAACATTAAGGAGTAAAGAATATACTCTCACGTTATAATTGCCGAACAGAAGAAAAAACAAAAATGACCAAAAATAAGATCCTTTGATGTCCTAGAAAACTCACTTCCCAAAGTAAGTGCTTCATGGTTTGGACGAGGAAGACGGCACATTTGTCATAAAACAACCGATAAGTGCTTGGAGCAAGAGCTTCGTTGTGAGTTAGTGACAGTTTATTATATTAGAAGGGTCCATATCACCTCAACAAATTAATGGAAAATTTAAGAACAAGAGCCGTGCATGCAATACAGCAGTAGAAGTGACGAGTCGGCGATGTTGATACCATTTACTTAATTCATAAATAATTCTCAAAACTTATCATGCTGTACAGTAAATTTATATCAGAAGTTAAACTGATCGTTGTCAATCCTTTTGGATGGGAGATTTCAAAGGCCTAGCTAGTTTCACAGCTTATTTCTTTATTAATTGCACCTCGTGTTCAACTTAATTATCTTGAGTCTTGACCATTAATCATATAGAAAGAAATGGTCTAAATGAAGAACAGAAAAGGACTTCTCCTAATGCTCCAATTCAAGTGGGAACTAAATCTCGCTTTCATGATAAGAAAGAATCTTGGAGAGAGCATCAATATAGCGCCGCGCCTTAAAGTGCTTTATTTGTATCGATCTTTACCTCTTGACATATAAATTGTGTTGAAACCAGTTGCATTTCCATCAACTTGAGAGGTGCAAAGACAAAATCTATCAAAAATGGAAGTGAAAACCATTTCCAAAGAAAATATAAAACCATCTTCCCCAACACCCCGACACCTTAAAATCTTCAAGCTTTCCCTTTTGGATCAACTTATTTCTTATCCATATGCTCCAATTGTTCTCTTCTATCCCATGAATGACTCCACTGCTAACCATCTTGACATCCCAGAAAGATTAGCTTTGCTAAAGAAATCTTTGTCAGAAACTTTGACTCGATTTTACCCATTTGCGGGAAAGATTAAAGATGATCTGTCCATTGAGTGCAACGATGAAGGTGCTTATTATGTTGAGACTCGAGTTAACTGCTGTCTTGAAGAGTTCCTCAGCCAACCTGATCTCATGTTGGTGCATAATTTCCTTCCTTGCGATCTCATTAATTTGAAGGAATCAACAGCAGGAACTTACGTGACTAGTATTCAGATAAATGTCTTTGATTGTGGTGGTATCGCCGTAGGTATATGCATTTCACACAAGATCGTCGATGGTGCCGCGCTGAGTACCTTCCTCAAAGCATGGACTTCAACAGCTCGTGGCTGCGAGAAAATAATATACCCCAACTTGGCTGCTAATTCACAACTCTTTCCCGCAAATGATTTGTGGCTTAGAGATACATCAATGGTGACCTGGGGTTCCTTGTTCATAAAAGGAAATTGTATTACAAGGAGATTTGTTTTCGATGCCTCAGCAATAACCACTCTCAAGAACCAGGCCACGAGCTTAAGTGTGAAATGTCCCACTCCCACACGCGTTGAGGCGGTTTCAGCTTTCATATGGAAGTCCACCATGGCTGCGTCAAAAGAGAAAAAAGGCTCACCAAGGCCGTCTTTATTGACCCACTTAGTGAATCTTCGCAAAAGAATGGTGCCTCCCGTATCAGATCATTCTACAGGAAACCTCCTTTGGATGGCAGCTGCTGAATGCATCACGAACACAGACAAGCTAGAATTGCATGACTTGGCAGGTAAAGTGAGAGGTGCAATATCAAAATTTGATGGTGACTTTGTTAAGAAGCTAACCAGTGATGAAGGCAATGTTGTGATGTCTGAGTCACTGAAAGAGATAGGGGAGTTTGGATCCAAAGATGAAGTAGATTATTTTGGATTTACCAGTTGGTGTAAGTTTGGGTTTTATGAAAACGATTTTGGATGGGGAAAGCCTGTGTGGGTGAGTAGTATGGGTTTAAGCAGTCCAGTGTTTATGAACCTCATCATTTTGGTTGAAACAAAGTCAGGTGATGGCATCGAAGCTTGGATGACTTTGGATGAGAAAGACATGGATTTACTCGTAAGCAACCCAGAATTCCTGAAATTTGCTTCAGTGGATCCGAGTCCTTTGGTAATTAGATCACCCAGAGCTTCGTCTATTTGAGGATTGTTTTGCTTTGTATGTTTTACAGTAGCTATGAAATTCCCATGCCAAACTTTGTAATTTTGATACATAAACTTACGTATGATAATATTCTCTCAAAACTGTTTAAATATACGGAACAATAACTATCTCTCAGTAGAGAAGTGTTTTGATAAGAACTCTTGATTGTATTATTTAAGAGGTCTTGAGTTCGAGTCATTCATTGGTCTTTAATAGAGGTAGGGATAGCTACTGAAACTCTTATCTGACCGATAGTTTCAGGGTTTTAGAAAATTAGTTGAGATACGCATAAACTGACTTGGATATTCCTAATCATTATATATATATATAAGGAAAGGAATCAATATTAAAAGATGAAATAGTTTGGATATACCGTCACAATCGGCTCCAAATTAACTCATATGGTGTGTAACCTTTTGACAATTGACACAACTATTAAGCTACCCAACAAACATTAGAATTTGTTTAAGCAGCTTAAACGGTTGAAAAGATCCCATCAATTTGTCATACATGTTAAGGGGGTGACAAATTAGCTCAAACCCATGTTGGAATTCAAACATGAATTCCACTCAATTCTAACAATCAATCCATATATTTGTATATTGATTATAGAGTATTGAATTCAAAGATTAAGGATTAGAAAAAACCTGACTCTACCATCGCTTCTGAGTTCCTTGAATTCATTTCCAGTAGTGGGCTTGGTGGCCGATCTGATCCATATTGACAACTTCCAAATGGAGTTTCGAACAATCTATTGGACCCTATCAGTAGTGGGCTTGGTGGCCGATCTTCCTTTCCATAAAGGATCCATATTGACAACTTCCAAATAGAGTTTCGCGTACGATCGCGTTTTGGGAATGAGACCTAGCCAACCAATCTATTGGACCCTATCATTAAAGGTTCAATAAAATTTAAAACCCATTTTAGGTCTAAGCTCATACTTGTCATCGATCCATAGTATCAAAATGAAGTGTAATGAGTTATTTTAGAATGATCATATTAAGTCCATCAGAATAGGTCATTATACTATGCATTTAGCCAGTTTTTATCAAACTAAAATATAATTAATGTTAGCTCACAATTAGGAAATATTCTAACAACCTATACACACAGAGGTTACATAATATTGTATAAAATAAAAGTATATTCTTTAATATTTTAATTTAAATAAATTTAAATCTGATTAAAGGTTTTGATTATAAAAACCTAAGTCTAAACCAAGGCCTATATTTTATTCAAGCTAGACGTGGGTTTTACCAACTCTATTTATAATAAATATAGGGTTAGTAGGATATGAAAGTTACATTATCTCATATGTGTCATTGCATTGACTCGATAACATTACTCTTTTGGGTAGGTCCAATTGCGTAATGAAAAACATACATTTGAGATTAATAATTTAATAATAAAATTATATTATACAAAGAGACATGATATTTACGTAGTTCGGCATAATCTGTTTACATTCATAGATGAGAGTAAAGGTATATACGAGCCGAGTATTTGGACACTCGAGCTCAGTTCGTGATGAACATTATCGAGCTCGAGTTCGAGCCGAGGTCGTTCGAGATTAAATACTTGGGCTCGAGCTCGAGCTCGCAAGTATGGGTGGATACTCGACCTCGTGCTCGAGCTTGAGTAATCGAGCTCGAACGAGCTCAAGCTTCGAGTTTATGGTGAGAAGGGGGTTGTTTGTTATTCTAAAAACTTGAAAATGAAATAAAGTTACAAAACTTACAATTTGGCCCTTCAAGCACAATGAGGCTCGTGAGCCTATCGAGTAGCTCGCGAACTGTTCAGCTCGCTTCTCAATCCTAAATGAAAGAAATTCATCATAGTTTCATAAACACTATATATAATAATACACAACACCATAAACCTAATACATAATTAATCAAACAGAAGCAATCACAGTTTCTAAGACACTCTATCCATGATGTTTAATACTTTATGTTTTCACATTCTTCACCTTGAATTAATTTTAATAGGATTCATATTTTAATTACTAATAACATTCATATTTTCCAAAGACAGACGTGCAATTTTACATGGAACAAGTAGAAAAACGAACCAGAATATCTCATTAACATATCCTTCCATACATAATTATATTAATTTTTTAATTACATAGTATACATACACATAAGATAATTAATTTGTGACAAAAAGATTGGGCAGAGATATTGCTGCAGGCAATAGTTAAAAAAAAAAAAAAAAAAAAAATCCAGAAAAAGTTATTGCAAAATTAAAATAGAAATCATTTGGTCTAGGCCCAGCTCTAGCCCATATCTCAGGTGAGTGACACTTAAACGGTTAGCCTAGTACTCGTGTTTAACAAAAGATAGATTGAATTCCATCATTGGTGGAGCCGTGGAGGGTCCCAGTTGATTTTGGATCTGATTGGTGAATTGAAACCCACCGCCTGGTACTCAAACGGAGAAAATATTAATAAAATAAAACAGAAAACGGGATAAATTGGCCATTGAACGTGGAAAATTCATAGATAAACAGACAAGACCACATTTTCTATCTCTGTCCTTGATCGTCGAAACAAGAAAGTCATCGAATTAATCGCTTTGTCTTTTTGTTTTTTTTGTCTGGAAAATGAAATGAGAAGAAAACACAGAAGCAGACTCAACACAACATTCTTTTTTTCTCTTCACTTCTACTCAATATGACCATGCGACGTCGTACCTTCTCTCTCTTCTACTATTCTTCCCTTTTAATCGTTTCTTTTTTGCAAATTTTTGTTCATGGCGATCATAATCACACCGTTATTCCCATCAATCGCGATCTTTATCACTCCAGGTAACTTTTCATTAGTATTATTATTGTTTAGTGGAGGAGAAATCGAAACATGATGTGTTGTGATTTTGTTTGAATCTTGGTCAACAATTAGAGCAGATGCAAATTTTTTAGTTAATTATTGTTGAATTTTTCCTGTTTGGTTGCCGCGAAATTGGAGGAACAATAAATGTTTTTGGTATGTGATTTTGCAGTGGCGATTTGATGGAAATGATTAAGAGTTTAGTGGATCGGCACCCGGACAAACTCACTGTAAGTGTTGTATGGTGTTTTTGATTTTGTTTATTTTTAAGAATTTTTTAAACTTGTGAGTAATTAGAATATCATACTTGAACAGATGGAGACAATTAAAACTGGAAATAAGGGCTATAGTGCAGAGATCAGTGTAGTTACTTATTGCCGGAGGAGAAGGAAAGATGTTGAAGGCAGGTCAAAGTTTCGGATCCTTCTTGTAAGTTTTCTGTATATTTTGTCTAATTTAATTAAATTGTGATGCGAATAGTTAGTTCTCAGTTAAGTCTAAGTGATGTGAGTCCTGTCAAATTGTTTCAGTTTAAGAGGTTGAAAATCAATGTGTTTTCTTCTCTGATAGAATGGGGTCTCTCCTTTTTACGTTTGTCTCGGATTTGTAATTGCTGGTTTTTTTGACAGATGATTCCTTGTCTTCCAGAGTTTTGGGCAGCATGGGAGGGAACTTATAACATCCGAACTTGCCTTAAGGATCTTGTCAATCTTAAGTGAAGAGCAATTTCTACCCACCATGGATCCAGCTTCCTTAAACAGTACCCTTGACGACCTTGTTATAAAGGTAACTTTCAACTAATTGCTGAAACAGTTTTCCCATCACTTGCATCATGTAGTGTACTCGCATATTTTTTCTACAAATTGAACTCATTCGTTAATGCAAATTTTGTTTGTTTGATACGTTAGTATGGATCTTAGATAGGTGGCAAAGAGATTATATATACTTTTTGTTAGCGTATATACACTAATTTAGAGAATAAAAAAGACTGAAAACTTCTAATTGATTTTAATAGTTTGTTTGTTTTCCTCCTCTTTCTCCTCGAATCACTTCATTTTTTTACCTTGACTTTGATATATCTGGCTTTCCCAATACAGATTAGTGGCCTCTGCTACTGGTGCTGACACCTGCATATCAATTCATATGCTGACAACTTGTATCTTAAAAGATCTTGTAATGCTTAGTTGTTTATTGCTTACTAATAAGATAAATTATTCACCCTAAGGCAATTACTGAAAGCTGTGACTTAGACATTCAATCATACTGCTTATACCTGGAAGAAGGGCTGTTATAAACTTCCTTTGTAACTTACAGGAAAAAAAGTTTATTGATATTTTTTTTAGTGTACTTGCTAATTTAGAATGATTTTGCAGGTGGTGCCAATGGAAAATTTGAATGGCCGAAAACTTGTTGAAGCAGGAGATCTTTGCGAACGAAGAAATGGTTATGAAGTTGATTTTATTGATTTGAAAATATACGTGATTTCTTGGAGTGCAGATACTGAAACGCATAAGTTTGTGAAATTTTGGCAGGGAGAGGAGTTGATCTAAACCGAAATTGGAGTGTAGATTGGGGCAAAAAGGAGAAGGTTTGTTGTGCCTATTCATTACAGACACTTTAGTTCAGCTTCATATTTCTTTCTGTAGTTAAATCCTTCATAAACACACTGATTGGTCTCTCACAATAACATTCAGAGCACCAAATATACATGATATATAACTGACACTGTTGGTTGAACTTTTGGTAGTAATAGAGGCTTTATGTCCTTACTGTCTATTTCTTTGCTATAAATGCCATGGTTTTCAATTTTTTGGTTTGCTACTCTTTGATAAGACTTTATTACTAATTTCTGTTTTTGCTTAAATTGTAGGACTTCGATCCTTATGAAGAGAATCCTGGATATGCTCCTTTTAGTGAGCCTGAAACTCAAATACTGCGGAAACTTGCCATATCCTTTGATCCTCACGTATGGGTTAATGTACATTCTGGCATGGAAGTAAGTTCCCACTTAATATTCCCCTTTAAAGACCTTTTTCCTTCAAAATACTCCATAATTAGATTACCATGTTTTTCATCAAGATTGCAACATTAACAGCTTTGAAAGGATGTGATTTACTCTCTCAGATGATGTTTTGAACCCTAAAATCAATTAATCTAATTCTCTTATATTATTTTTGTATATCTTGTGATATTATCCTCACACCACAGAAGATAAACTATTATTATTCTTGCTTTGGCTGACTGAAGGTATATTGTACTTGTATATATAACATTTCAAAAAATTTGATTGCTCGTGAATGTTTTTGTTTCGGTGCAATCATGTTTCCAGTGATTCTCATTGCACAAGGAAATATTCATACTCCCTGGATATGATTAACTATGCTGGCTTTTCTGTGGATAAAGAAGTTTTTACGGTTGCTAATTTACTTCTTCTTCTTTTATTAGGGGCAACTAAAGCTCAAAATTGCTCTTTTCTTTTATTGTTTTGCCTTCTCTTAGGGGCATTTGTTGTATAGCCTGCATGATGGATCTTGACATTTCTTTCTTTCCAGGCACTGTTCATGCCATATGACCACAAAAACACTACTCCTGAAGGATTGTCTTCACAGCGGATGAGGAGGTTGCTTGAAGAAATCAATAAAGCTCACTGCCACAACCATTGCATGATTGGATCTGGTGGAGGCTCTGTAGGGTATGTATTGCTTATACTAAGAATCATCTCTGATTACGTTAATTCTCCACTACTTCAGGCATTTTTTAGTGTCATAGTGGCCCTTTAGGTCCATAGGGCATAGTGTCTGTAGGGCCTGCTGGCTGATGAGACCATTGCTAGGTTGGTCCGTGAGTCCTCTCTGGAGTTTGGAGCTTTCGCCTGACTTTGTTAGCAATATTAAATTAGTGCTTAAAGAAAAAGATTGAGAATTGGAGATGCAAATCCTAAGAAGTATGGTAAATTGCTAGCCGAATAGAGTTTAGGTGGCGTGGTTAGGCATCAAACCATTTTAGAGGAAATTATTAAGATTTAACAGTTATATTGAATTAGATGTCATGTAGCTAGAGGTTGGGGATATTCAGTAGATCTAGGAGCTTCAACTGGAAGCTGTGTTGTTCACTGACTCTGCATGTTTTATACTTTTAAGCTTCTTCCTGCAGATTTTTAACTTGCTTGATTCTAGGTACCTGGCACATGGGACAGCAACAGATTACATGTTTGATGTTGTAAGGGTGCCCATGGCTTTCACCTTTGAGGTTTGTGATATGCAAATGCTTTTAACAGAATTGATTACAGCAAGTTTGATTCATTCATGTCAATAACTACTTGCACTGTTTGGCAGATATATGGAGACAATACTGCCTCATCAAATGACTGCTTTAAAATGTTTAATCCCGTTGATCACTCTACCTTCAATGTAAGTTGGTTTAGTTCTTAAATTTATTGCTCTGTACTATTCTGTTTCAACCCATTTTACCTAATTTCTTCCCTTCTCCTATGTTACTGTTAATGTATAAATATATATACACTGACTAAGTTAGATCCTCTGACCATGTGTTCCTTTTTTCGATCAGGGAGTTCTCAACAGTTGGTCTGCTGCATTTTTCACAATTTTTAAACTGGGTCCAAATCACTTGGACGAATTCCAGGAAAAAACCTCTGCATCAAATCTGGACAAATTGGTATCCATAGATGAATATCTTGATGGTTACTTAATGGAAAGAACTCATAGATCTGGGAAGAAAATGGAGGTGCTTGACTTTGGAATGCAAGAGATTAGAACATATTTCAGGCTATTCTTGTTATCATCTGTGCTATTAATGTTCATGTTCTGTTCTAGAATTTCAAAAAGCAAGTGTAGTAGACCAATAGTTTCGAGCTTTGCAGCCGCATCCCATTGATTGGTGGACAAGGGAGGTTTTCTTAAAATTCTTTTGGGAAAATGTATGATTACACACTTACAGATATTTTTCCCTAGAATGCCGCATAGGAACTTTTCAGCGAAGTTTTTTCCGGTATATATTGGATGCGTACCCATTATATAACTCTTCAATTTTAGTGTTGACTGTTGTGAGATTTGTGTTAGAGTAATGCTATAGTTATCGATGGGTGTGCATCGAATTTGTGCACCGAATGACGTGATAAAATCCTGACCGTTAATTCATTATAAGTTAATATTAATCAACGATCAAGATTTTGTTACGTCATTCAATGCACAATTTTGGTATACACTTTTCGATAACTCTATCATTTTTCTTTGTGTTATACCTTGTATTTGTCAAAATTTTGCAATTTTGCTCTTATAAGATCATAGTTTTAATTAGATTAAAATATTGAATTAGTATTCCAGTGTGATAAAATAATAAAAAAAATTTGTTGCTGTGAAAATATAATACAAGAAAAAGGAACAAATTGTATTTTTTTTTCTTCGGTTCTCGTGGAAGAAAATTTTAGGAAGAAAAAAACTTTACCATACAACCTAATTTGCAAGTTTGTGAGTGTGGATTCCTTCAGGTAATGTACTTTTGATCTTGGGAACTAGTATGTCTTCAGTTATACACGACTGAACATCGTAACATTGCTATCTGAGTCATCCTTCCTTTTCTCTGAGGATGGCCTTGGTATGGCACAAACCAATACTTCCTGTAAACCATTTGGACCAGAGGATGAGAATTTCTGATAAAGCAAGATGTATCTCGCATCCGCTAACTGAAATTGCAACATCTTCATGTATAAGCCAAGGACTGTGGCAATTGCCCTTGAGTTGATAACTGACTATTCCAAACGTGACATGTAATGCCGTAGTTTGCTTTGAATGGATGATTGCCACTTGCAACTATGATTTCAGTGTCTGCTTCATGTATCTCAGTGCAGATCGTAACATTGCTCTCGCTTTCCGATCTGGAGTGCACCCAGACATGATCATTTCTTCATACACAGCGGGAACCTGAAATCCATATATGGTTTAAATGCTTATCAACATGAGAAAAATATCGAGTGAGCAGCTAGGCGTACAAAATTTGCAATGGGAAAGAGGGCAATAGCTGCAGTGTCTGGTATGATTCCTAACTAAAAATTTCTGGAGAACACTCTTATGGTGCTGATAACATCTCTTAATAGAATATAACAGCATGATATATGAGAGAAAGAGTAGCTGAGGGTAAATATAATAAATTGATACCTTATTAAACTTATCAACACGAACCAGAGCTTTCATTAGTGTAGTGTACGTAACCACGTCTGGTTTTAAATCCTGCCAATACAGGGAACCATATGTAATGAGTAAAACGATCATACCCATTATTAAGCAGAGGGAGAAAACATAAAGGGAAAATAAACATCAAGTGTTACTTACGTTCTCCTTCATGTACTGTAACACAGCAAAAGCTTCAACATCCCTTTCATCCTGACCAAATGCATTAATTAATGAATTGAGAGCTAAAATACTAGGCTTTAGGCCATCTGCTCTCATGGCTCTAAATGCATTTACTGCTTGATCTGATAAGCCCTATCATAAAAAGGGAAGGTTATCAAATGGATGCTCAACAGTCAACACATCACATAAAAGATTCCCAAAAGCTACAAACACTCAATTAATAGAGCCACACATAGGACTCACGTTTGCAAATCTTCTGTGCATTGCACTACATTAAGCTCTCCAAATTTATACCTGATGACAGTAATTTTTTTTTTTTTTTTAAAACCAGCATATGTTGACAGTTTTAAATAATATCGTGAATAATGTATGATTTGAATGCAGGCAAGCACAACTATCCCAATGCTGCAGAAGATGATAACAACACCAGTTCACAAACTCCTATCCAATTATGATCGATTAGTTATGCATCATACCACATAATTAGTCACAAGCCAAAGAGTCCATACAATTTCACTGTAGTTCTGGTTGAACATATCTAATCATGAATTAAATTACAGAAATAAATAAAGAAAATATCACAGATATTAAGGCCAGCTTAGGACAACAAGAATAAAGGTTCAAGCAATTAAATCTTCTACAAACATAGTTTGGATGGTAGGTTCACTGAAAAGCCCGCACATGAGACATATGACTAGAAGAAACTACTTCAGGTAGACATGAGGATAATCTGTCAGGATGCATGAACAAAACTAAAACAAATGAGGCACTCAATAGGTTATATATGCCTAGAAAGCAAAAACTAAAAAGAGATGTCGTTGAAGATATTGATAAAGCAAAAAAGAAGAATTATTATAAGAATTGAGGCAAACAACATACCCTCTGTGCATAGGCGTTTATTAACGCATTGTACATGGTTGAGGATGGTTTCAACCCTGCAGACTTCATCACCTCCAAGCACTCTATTGCATCCTCAAATCTCCCTGACTGTCCATAAATATCAACAAGGGTCGTGTACGTCACAACATTAGGCAATAAACCCTGACCCTGCATCTTCCCCAACAATCTCTTCACATCCTCCCATCTCTCCCGCTCTCCCAACAAATTAATCATGATATTATAAGTTGTGGCACAAGGCGAGAACCCCCTGTCCTGCATTTCCTAAAACAACTCCTCTGCTCTATCATATCTCCCTGACTTAAAATGACAATCTATAAGCGTATTCCACGTAACAGTGTCAGGCTGTATCCCCTGTGATAACATCCTATCAAATGTGGTCATTGCATGATCAATACAATTATATTTCCCAAAAGTATCAATCATCACATTATAAAAATGCCTATCAGGTTCCACTCCATTACTCTTCATTTCTCTCAAAACTTGAAATGTTTTTTGCCATTCTCCTCTATCACGATACCCTGCTAAGATCCTACTATAAACAAACGTATTCGGTTGCACATTACTAGCTTCCATCTCTTTCAACAGAATTCTAGCACTCTCCCATCTACCAGCATTAGCATAAGCATCAATCAGAAAACTATAAGTATACTCATCAGGCGAAACGCCTCTTCTCTCCATCTCAGATACTACAAATTCAGCATCCTTCAAAGAACCCCCTTTTACATAACCTTTTACAATAGCATTATAAGCTTTAGTTCTGAGTTTCAACCCAGTCTCTTTCATTTCCTCAAAAACAGCCTCAGCCTCAACAGTCCTACCACAATTCCCTAACGCCGATATAACAGACAGCAGAGTTCCACTTTTAGGACTCAGCCCAATCGCTTGACCCATCCCTAAAATCTGCAAAGCTCGGCTCGGATCACCGGCTTTTGCAAAACCTACAATTATATCATTAATTAATTGTCCATCAAGCTCAATATTATCACATTCGAGTTCTCTATAAAGCTTCTGCAAAATTGAAGTATCAATCTTGTTTGTACGCGTGAGTGATTGAATAATCAAGCTGTAGTTTATAAAATCACATTGGTAACCGTCTTGGCGCATTCGAGACATCAAGTTCAAGGCCTTTTCCAAGTCGTCGTTGCGAGCACAGGCACCGATAAGCGCGTTGTATGTCAGTGGAGTTAGACTTTGTCTCTGCGAGAGTAGAAACGCTTCGTAGAGTTTCTCTGACCGCCCAAGCGCGTGGATGAGGATTGAGTAGAGCAGTTCGTAGGAGAAACAAAGGTTGTGTTTTTGTAGCCATGAAACCAGGGCGTACGCTAAATCAACTGAAGAGGAGGAAGAACATAAATTCTTTAAAAGCGAGTGCCAGAGTGGCGCCGGCACAGCTCGATATGACTCGGCGAGTTGGAACTCAGCTGGGTCTAGCCAGGTAGGCGATGATGCTGAGTCAGAGTCCGAGTCCGTAGTAGTATTACTTCTCTTTGAGAGGAAATTGAGAAGGGGAGTGAAGTCGTAGCTCTTTCTATGAAATGATAAAACGTCGTCTTCGTCTTCGTCTTCTTCGTCAACGTCGTTTGATTTTGAAGTAAAAGAAGAAGAGGAAGAGAAAGAAGAATCACCGGAACTGGTGGCGGTAGTGACGGTTACAGTGCTGGCGATTGTAGCTGAAAATGGCGGCAGAAATATGAGGTAGTGCCGTAGGGTTGGAGAAGTGAAACGAATTGAAGGGAAGCGAATCGATAAAGGTTGTGGCAACAGAAGCATTTTATTCTACTAAAGAGAGAATTGAAGAAAGTGTACAGAGAGAGAAGGTTACATTATCGCCTTTATTTTAGTTTAGTTTGTGGCTGTACTTTTGAGTTGTGTTCTGTCATCTGTGCAACGTTAAAGAGATGAACCCAGATTTTTTCAGATACTATTGGTGAAAATAGGCGGGTCTTACGTGTAATAATTTTATTCGTCCTTTTAAAATGATATTGTGAGAAAGGAGGTAGGTGATTATAAATTACACAATATTTATAATCTAACTAAAATAACTGGCCGTTATTAAAACCCAAAAACCCTTGCCGCTGTTTGCTTAGTTCACATAAACCGCTCATTAGGGTTTAGCAAAAATTGAGTGCTGCTGCTGCTGCTGCTGATGATGACTCATTAAGGTTTCTCCGCGAGGTAGCTGTGTACGACTCTTGCAGTTGCCATGGGAGGATCTCGAGTTCAAGTAAACAAAACTCACAAATCCCGCTTCTCCAGCAAATCAACTCGTAACCTGCACAAAACCTCTCTAAAAGGTTCATTTTTTAGTACTCTATTAATTCATTTTTCATTTTTCAGATTCGGTTTTTCTCGATTGTTATAAATATTTTTGTTTAATAAACCACCTGAATGTGAATTAGATAAGAGTCGGATTGCAAAATCGGAGCGCAATGTGGCGAAGGGGGCTCGGGCTGCTCGAGTTCAGCGTAACAAGATGGTAATTGATATTTTAATGTCCTTATTAGATATATAATGTGCAATATTCTATTTGCTGATACCTATAACAAGATTGTGATTTCTGTAGCTACGCGACCAGAAACGAGCAACTCTTTTGAATGAAAAAAGAGCTTCAAGTGGTTCAGCAAGCCCTCCCCGTGTTGTTGTGAGTTTTTTTTTTTTTTTTTCTTTTTTTTGGGTGTGCTAATGTATTGGGATATAATGTGCTTTATATTTTGTAATTCTACATGTTCCACACATTTGTAAGGATTTGGGTGTTGTTTTAATATCCTGTTTTGTGCATCTTATTTTTGTTCATGCAGGTTCTTTTTGGTCTTTGTGCGTCTGTGAATCTAAATTCTGTGACTGAAGATCTTCTGAGACTGTTGAGCTCAGAAGGTAATGGAGCTGTGCCTTCAACAGTTTGTTCTTCTGAGTACAGACTTAGAGCAACGGTTAGCTCCCATTCCATCTTTTATGTTAAGGAATTCTTCTTAGGATTTTTGTTTAAGAATTGGAAAAGGAAATAGAAATAAGGGTGTTCCCAGTGATGCTATGTGTTTAGAGCAGCATTTGGATTATAGCTCTTTGAAATTTTATGAGTTATATATGTATATCTTTTCTTTGAAACCTTCGTAAATATTTCCTCTCATTAGTTAGCAACATTTGATTGATTTGGCTTCACTGAATATATCATGTCTCTTGTACGGTAATGGTTGTTGTTTGGGTATTTGTCAGTCAAATTCTAGTGATCCTTGGATAATAAAGATGAAAGTAATTGTTAATAGCTTGGTGATCATACATGTCATGCTCCACTAGTGTATTGATTGATTGTAGTTTTACGTGCACCAAACATGATCTGACAGGACTTATTATTGAGATTGAGAATGACTTCTTGGGAAGAAAGTGCTCTGTGTGGAATTGTTTTTCTGTGGTCAATTATTTTCCACAATATATGTTGATTAGGTTGATACATGATGTCATTCTAAAGTTCTTTTATATGGCCTGAATTTTACTTTGTTGACAATCCATTATGTTTAAAAATTATAAATATCTCATTTAAGTTATTGCTTTAGGTACTACAAGCACCTCATGGGGATTTGTCGGCATGTATGGAAATGGCAAAGGTATGTAATTGTTTAGCACCTGTTTATATCCTTCAATGATCTGCTGTTTTATCGGTTCAAGTCTTGGTTATACCCCTCCACTCCCCTCCCCTGCATGTTATTTTGGGCCTCTAATAGTCTGATGGTTTTTCAAATGGAATTTTAGGTTGCTGATTTAATTGCTTTTGTGGCATCAGTGAGCTCATTTTGTGAAGACAGTACTTCTTACTATATTGATTCATTTGGAAGTCAATGCCTTTCTGTGTTTAGGTCTCTTGGATTACCAAGCACTACTGTGTTGATCCGTGTAAGTTCTTGGTTGATGTTATTTGCACTGCTCTAAATATCTGATTCTTCCTTGGTTTAAGTAATGAAAGTTTCTTCCTGTGCCTGTAGGATCTACCTACCGATTTGAAAAAAAGACAAGAATCAAAGAAGTTGTGTATCTCTGACCTTGCTTCTGAATTTCCTGAGGACTGTAAATTTTATCCAGCTGATACAAAGGATGAGCTGCACAAGGTGATTGTTTGTGCATCCGAACTTTTGTTCTGGGATACTGTGTTTGAAAAATGACGATTTGGTGACGCCCAGCAAAAAATAACATTGGTTTATGATATGTACACTATCATTTCTCATGTTTCTGTCCTGGAACATTTTGTATTGATCTAATTGTATGGCAATTGCAGTTCATGTGGCTTTTTAAGGAGCAAAGGCTCACAGTGCCTCACTGGCGAAATCAACGGCCTTACCTGATGGCACAAAAGGTAATTGTTTAAATTCTTATGAGTTTTACGAGCAATCCACTTCACTTAAGAAGTAGCAATGATCAGGAACATATGGGATTTCATGTGTATGATTCTTTGCGAATTCTTACCTTCGTATTGGAATTGTAGGTGGCAAATCTTGCTGCTTATTTCCTTTCTAAACAATGTGTATGCCTTTTGGAAAATAAATTGATTCTGTAGTTCATTATAGGTGGACATGGTAGCAGATGATTGCGACTCTGCAAAATGTACCCTTCTCCTCAATGGTTATTTGCGTGCTCACAGCCTCTCTGTGAATCAGTTGGTAATTACTTCAACCATTTCCATGCTTGCCTTTATGGATTGATCAGATGGTTATGGCTTGTTTTCTTTATATCAGGTTCATGTTTCTGGTGCGGGGGACTTCCAGTTGTCCAAAATTGAGATTTTGAAGGATCCTTTTCCTTTGAAATCCAGAAAAGAACAAGACGCCATGGAATCAGATGAAATACATGATGCTGAGGTATAAGCTGTTTTGCTTAAATGTTGAAGGACTATCAATGTTCAACTTGATCATAATTTATCTTCATCATTGTTGTGCTAAAGTAGAATTGGTTTTTGTATTTAATATGCCCACTGATATACTGTTGATATTGATTTTCTTTACTCTGGGTTACATTAGCTCTGAGAAAATTTTCGAGATCTTTTTGGATGTTTCTAGATAATTCATTTATAAATTGACAAAGTGTCTGTTTGATTTTTCCTTCTAATTCCAGGTCATTCGTTCCTTGGCTCCTGATCCTTCTAAGCAGGAGCCTTTGCTTGTTGAGAATGTCCCAGATCCACTTGCAGGAGAGCAGGTAACTTGAAGAAGTATCCAAGTCTTTTTATATTAAATTTCAAATATCAACCACTCTTAGATTTATAATGGTGAAAGTTGACTAAAAATTAATAGTTTCACTGTGAACCTTATTTTATTTGGCATCATTTTCTGTTTCATACAAAAAACTGTTTTTGAAGTATCTTATTAATATAGTTAGTTTCTTAGTTTTTACTACAAAAGCACATGCTTTCCTGTTCATTTATGCCTACTTATCTTGAAGTTTCTTTGATCAGACTTGGCCAACAGAGGCGGAAATGGCAGAGGCTGACCAAAATCAAAAAGAAAAAAAGCTAAAAAAGAGAGCTCTTCCTCGAGGCACTTCAGAATACCAGGTCTGCAGAATTTCAGAGTTCTCTTTATGTATCTTGCTGAAGAATTTTTGTATTGAATGATTCGCACCCAAATCTTGTAGGCTGCTTGGATTGTGGATGATACTGATGAGGATGATTCAGATATCGATGATGATGCTGATGATGGTATGGTATTGGACCAAGAAGAAAGCGGTTTTGCTGGTCAAGAGAAAACCAATAATTCAGACCTTGACGACGATCAAGCTTCCCTATCCTTCAAATACTCTGATGATGAAACTGAAAATGATTCGGTGATGATGGTTAGTTACTTTATAAACTCTGAATATTATTCCTTTTTCATGATTAGTTTTTGGGAAGGGTGAATAGTTAAATTCTTTCCCTTTATTTTATTTTGCTTGTCCAAGCTTTCATTAGATATTATTCTGTCTAGATGAATTACAAATTATTTCTTCCAATTTCTCAGAGTTGTAATTGTTTTCCTTTGTCGTGCAGGAAGGTGAGAATTTGTCAAGGGAACAGATAGAGGATGAGATTAGAAAAATTAAAGAGGCGCATGCTGAAGATGAAGGTATCACTTCTTTTCCATTTTAAGAAAGTCTTTATTTTACTTTGTGATCATGAGGGTAATATGCATGCCTGTTTGTCTGTTGACTTCTGGAAAATAATTGACCTAGTTGTTTCATTTGAATCTGTGAGACCTTCTCATCCTACACTTTTGTGGTTGAACATTTAAATTCTGAAATGCCAGGGCCCAACTGAGAGAGATGCTCATATTGAGATCTTATGTACATGAGCTGTGCTAATCCAGTGGGGACATTGGGTTAGGCATCTGTTCAAGAAGAGAGATTGATAAAGTTAGTATGTGCAAGGGAAAATGCATGCACACATGTACATTCAAATACTTTTGAAGTGTTGGATTAGTATAAAGCCGTGAGATTTCTCACATAATAGTAAAATATTTGCTCAAGATAATGTGTAACATATAGCTTTCTTTTTAGTTTTATTGGAGATAAATGAACCCCTGTAGGGCACAACTTTTTAGTTGATCAGAACAAAATTTTAGGGTCAATATATTGTATTTTGGTTGTTCATTGTTAGTTTTTGTGTTTCAGAATTTCCCGACGAAGTGGATACTCCATTAGATGTTCCTGCCAGAAAGCGGTTTGCCAAGTATAGAGGGCTGAAGTCCTTTAGGACCTCTTCCTGGGATCCTAAGGTGATATAATTGTTTTGTTTGGTATTTTGTATTATCTGTCAATGTCAAGGGCTTTATATATGTTATCGTTGATGAATATCAGGAATCTCTACCTCCAGAATATGCCAGAATATTTGCGTTTGATAATCTTGCAAGAACGCAAAAGCATGTTTTTGCAAAATCGTTAGAAATGGAGCAAGAGGACAGGGAAGACTGTGTACCTGCTAGCTCATTTGTGAGGCTTCATATTAAGGAAGTACCTGTGACTGTTGCTTACAGATTACAAGAACTTGTAAAGACGGTGCCTTTAGTAGCATCTGGCCTTTTGCAGCACGAATCCAAGATGTCTGTCCTTCATTTTAGGTATGTCCTCTCTTCACCTCATTATTGGTAGTTATGATTTGCTCTCTTTAATGCTTTATCATTGAATGAGATTATTGATATTTTGCAGCATAAAGAAGCATGATACCTACAATGCTCCTATCAAAGCAAAAGAAGAATTAGTATTTCATGTCGGCTTCCGCCAGTTTATTGCAAGGTAGTGACTTATTTTCCCCTAACTTATGGTATTTATATTTATTTAAGCTTTGATGTTATTGCATTTTGCTTTGCAGGCCCATATTTTCTAGTGACAATTTTAATTCAGACAAGCACAAGATGGAAAGGTTTCTCCATGCAGGGCGTTTTTCCGTAGCTTCAATTTATGCTCCTATCTCTTTTCCACCTCTTCCTTTGATAGCTCTGAAGAGTGCGGAAGCAGGTGCTCCACCTGCAGTTGCTGCTGTTGGGTCCTTGAGAAGCATTGACCCAGATAGAATAATTCTGAAGAAAATTATTTTAACTGGGTATGATTTATTCTTGTCTTACAAGTTACACTCTGAATGATTATTGCAACTCTATGCCTATGTACAACCAATGTGTATCTGGTCAAGTCTGATATACTGGGTGAATTTTTAGGTATAATGAGAATCAGTTTATGGAAGTTATGATTTGTTAAGCCTTAAAAGTTTCTTGTTGCAGTTACCCCCAACGAGTGTCAAAATTAAAAGCCTCAGTAAGATATATGTTTCATAACCCAGAGGATGTGAGATGGTTCAAGGTAATAAAAGAATCATTCTAGTGTATGCTTAAAGTTTTACTGTTTCTGCTTGGCACTTTTACTGATTCTAAGAATTGATGTGCACCTCATCATATTTTTAATTCTTTCCTGTGGTTTGCAAGTGCAGCCTGTTGAAGTCTGGACAAAAAATGGTCGCCGTGGTCGTGTTAAGGAGCCTGTTGGTACACATGGTATGATGCTTATTCAACAAGATATTTTATACCACAATTGATTGGGTGCCGTTTGGTCCTCTAGGTGAAAAATTAGTTAATATGATTCAGACTTTGTCGTGTCATGCAATTAACAGTGTTCTGCATTTGATTTGTTTTAGTTGTATAAATGCAATGCACTTCCTAAACCGAGTTCTCTGTAAAGCCCTTGTGTTTCCTATTTTAGCTAGTTTTAGATCCTCTGAAATTTTATCACTGCATTGTATTTAAGGAGTATTATATGGGGAGTAGCTAAAGGTACTCATGTAGAAGGGAGGGACTGTAAAGAGGAAAGATTTGTCAACTAATGTGCGTTTCACCTTTTCTGAAGGTCACTGCTAGTAGCAACATAGAGATACATTGCTATTACCTCTCACAAAGAACCCCACCACCCAACTTTCCCTTTTTTCTAATTGAAGGTAACCATCAGGAAGATGCTTAGATTTTAGTTGAGGAATCCTTTTAGCGAAAGAAAGTAGATTTACATGTTCTATAAACATTTCTCTGCCAGGGGTTGGTTTGAGCTCCCGTTGGGGCCACTTACTTGGGATTTTATATCCCATAGAATTCCTGACTATCAAGATTGTAGGTTTAGACAGTAATTTCCAGTTTAAAAGTCAGTGAACACCTAAAGGTGGTTGAGAGATTTCCGGATTTTGTGGTGATTATGCTATGTTTTGAGAAGTTGAATGTGCTTTAGGTTTTAATACCAAGTTATTTTACACTAAATGCCATGATTTTTGTAGTAGAAGTGGATGACCATTGAAATTAAGTGGCTACAACTAATGTTTGATTTCTTTTCAGGGGCTATGAAGTGTGTTTTCAATGGGGTCCCTCAGCAGCACGATACTGTTTGTATGAGCTTGTACAAGCGTGCTTATCCGAAGTGGCCAGAACACCGATTCCCGGTTCTTGATGCCTGACAGACAGCATGTGGTGTTCAGTCTTATATGTTTGGTACTCAAACATAGAAGATTACCCCATTGTTGTGGGAATGAAGCTCTGGTTCAGATTACAATCACTTGAGGAGGGAAGTGATTTCTCTACTTTTGGTTTGTTAACCCCCCCACCTCCATACCCCCACACCCACCTTTTTTTTTTTTTTTTTTTTTTTTTCTGTTTCCTAATCTTTTTGTTTTTACCCTTTTTGTCTTTGATGCGGATCTGTGGAGAAAAAGAAAAAAGAAAAGAAAGTCTTCATTCACGTGTTTATTTGCCTGATCTCAGTAATTTATATATATTAGATTGAAGAATTGAGTAATGATATGCAATTGGTTCATTAAAGTTGCTTTGAAGCCTGAACCCAAATGCTAGTTCCTTGAGTTATGGCGCAGCTTATTGTTGCATTTCCTTGTTTATGATGTGTATTTGGTTGTTTTTAGAGTGAGGCTGCGATAAGTTTTCTCTCATTGCATCCCATGAGGAGCTTCTTGCATTTTACCAAATCGTACCTTGTCGAGGAATGATAGATGCATATATATCGTTTTACCAATTATATCAAGATGAATGAGTTGTGTTAGTAAGAAATAGAAGTAAATTTGTGAATGAGTATTCCATACAATTCCATACAACCGAAGGAAGGAGAATGACATAATAATTTGTAAACATTTCCTTGCCACCAAGACCTTATCAGCAAGAGGGAATGAGATTAAGTCGAGAGTCCTAGAGGACTAGGATCTAACGTAACATATTCAAGCAGTTCCTTATCAACTTCCAGTATACCCATGTCTGCCTCATCCAAACTAAAGTCATCCACGCTTCAATCCCATCCTTCAGTTTTGGATCCAGTAGAATTATCATATTATTCATGAACACTCTCTTTGAACTAGTTATACCAACGTTGCTAACCCACGTTGGTTTTCCCCATCCAAAATCAATCTCATACAAGCCAAGGTTACACCAACTGCTTAACCCAACAAAATCCACCTCATTACACTCCCCACTTATATCTTTCACAATGTTACAAATCTTAGTCAACCCTTCTTTACCTTCTAGTTCTAGGCTCTTCACAAAATCACTATTAACTTTTGTTATGGCTTCCCTCAGCAGATACACCAATCCTTCCAACTCTGCTTCCCCGTTTGTGAACAATGTTGTTGCCCTCCAGATGAAATTTCCCATGCAATATTCTGACAATGGTGGCATTGCTCTTCGACGCAAATTTACTGCCTGTACCACAAAAGTTGGCTTGTTGAAACTTGAAACCATATTTTGTTTTAAAGGCTGTCATGATGCGTTTGCTAAGGAATGCTGTTACCACCTCCACGCAGGTGGGGTTTTGTACTCTTGAACTTTTTGCCTTGGCCTTAAGGGTGGCTATTGCTGAAGCATCAAATACAAATCTCCTGGTAATATATTTGCCAGTTCTGAAAAATGGGATTACAGCATCCATCATGGTTGCTTCTGTTGGGTATGCATCAGTTGGAGGAAATAAAGAAGAACCATCAAATTTAGGACATACTAATGCTGCTTCTTCAGTACTACTCTGACGAGCCGCAGCAGCCCAACTCTTGATAAACGAGCTCAAAGCTGTTCCATCAGCGATAATATGTGAAACATATACGCCAATGACAATACCACCGCATGAAAATGTTGTTACTTGTACAATAGCAACGTGAGTTCCTTCTGTTGGTGTTGCACTCCAATCGAGATGATAAGGAAGGAATTTATTGATAAACGAAAGATCAGGTTGTTTCAGAAATTCAGTGAGAGGATTTTGAACTCGGGCCTCTATAAAATAAATCCCCTCATCATTGCAGTCGATGGAAAGACTGTCTTTCACCTTTCCAGCAAATGGGTAAAAGCGAGATAAGGTTTCTGATAAAGACTGCTTCAGAAGTTGCAGTCTTTGGGAGATAATGTCGCTTGGAGAAAGGTTTGTGTCTTGATTAGGATAATAGAAGACCATAGGAACATAGATAGGAGGAACATATTGATCCAAAAGAGAAAGCTTATGAGTTCTGAGGTGAAGAGGTGTTGGAGAAGAGGGTTTAATACACTTTCGAGAAATTACTTCAACCTCCATTGTCATCAATTTGCAATTGAGAAGTGGAAGCGTAATGAACAATATTTATAACTATATAAACTATATAAGTTTACAACAACGAGGCCAAGCTGCAAAAATCTAAATATTATAGTAATGAAGAGCGATATCTGTTAACTTGTTATGTTGTCGGTTGTGTTCATCGTATTTGTCATGCAGCCGGCTCTGATGTACACTGAACCATAGTCTGATATAAGCACTTAAATAATAATGTAAATATAAACTCTATCTATACGCTGCGTACCAAAACACACCCTCCTAGATGAATTGATGCATGCAAGGCCAAAGCACTAACGTTTTTCCTTCCTTTTACAGAAAAGCTTCCATTTTTCGCAGTTCAATAGATAGGTTGCTGGGAACTTCTGAGCATGGGTACATCAAGAACTGTTTGTTGATCATTAAATATATAAGATTGTCGCTCGGCTATATACACTTACAAAAACTCAAGCTGACAAGACCCTCGTTGTAATCGTTATATTTTGAATCATTAATTAACTATGTCATCAATGGGATACAAGTATCTTTTTTTATGTGCTCTATGTCGAAACCGAAAACCAAATACATCACAAGTAAAGTATAATATAAAAGATAGAACACATGATTTATCTTAGTCGTTCCGATTAAAGAATTACGTTTAGCATTCAAATAGAGAATTTTTATTGAATATCAAAACTTAACGCAATTACAAAAGTAGCTCATTCTAACCCTCTATTCTTTTTCACATTAGGTTTCTTACTATTACAAAAGACTCATAATAGAAAACCTTAACCCCATTTTAGCTTATTTGATTTTAACCCTCACCCGAATCGAGCAAGACCCTCGAATAAGTCGTCGTAGACAGACAATCCATCAAAGTTAAAAGAAGTATACACTATATGTGCCAATGTTTATGTTTATGCCCTTGATTAATTGTTGTTATATTTTGTTTGTGCATAAGTTGGTATAATATTCAAGAGTACATTATGCCAATTTTTTTTTTTTTTTTTTCCTTTTTGGCGTCTTCTAAATATATAACAAGCAAGAGAAGTCATATATGCACTTTATTGTAACCATACTATTCCATATATTAATCTAAAGAAGGGAATTTGTAAAACATTTCATGGCGATCCAATGATCTTAACTATCCTCGAAAGATTAATTAAACTGTCGTAAAGGACTTGGATCCAAAGTAACATATGCAAGGAGTTCTTTATCAACTTCCAGAATAGCCATGTCTTCCTCACCCAAATTCACCCATGCTTCAACTCCATCCTTCGAGTTTGAATCCATAAGAATTACCATATTCATGAACACAGTATTCGGTTCAGTTGTTCCAACACAGCTCGCCCACGCAGGCTTTCCCCATCCAAAATCAATTTCATACAAACCAAAGTTACACCAACTCGTAAACCCAATAAAATCCACCTCACCAGAGCTCGCCCCACCGATATGTTTCACAGCTTTGCAAAGGTTACTCAACCCTTCATCACCTTCTAGGCTCTTCAAAAAATCGTTATTAACTTCTCTTATGGCTCCTCTCAGCTGGGTCACCAAGCTCTCCACCTCTGCTTCCTCATCGTTTGGGAATAATGCCGTGGCCTTCCAGAGGAAATTTCCCATGCAATATTCTGAGAACGGCGGTGTGGCTCTCCGACGCAAATTCACTGCATGGCTCACAAGAGTTGGCTTGTTGGAATCAGATTTTGCTTTGTAAACAGCCATGATGCATTTGCTAAGGAGTGCGGATACGGCCTCAACGCGTGTGGGGTTTTGCACGCTTGAACTGGTGGCCTTGGCCTTAAGGGTGGCTATTGCTGAGGCATCAAAAACATATCTCCTAGTAACGCTTCTGCCAATTTTGAAAAATGGGATGACCGTGGCCATCATTGTTGCTTCTCTTGGGAACAAATCATTTGGAGGAAATACAGTTGAATTATCAAAAATAGGAACTGGTACCGCTTCGTCAGTATTCTTGCGAGCTGTAGCCGCCCAACTCTTGAGAAACGAGCTTAAAGCATTTCCATCTGCGATCATATGTGAAACAAAGACACCGATGACAATACCACCACATGAAAATGTTGTCACCTGTATCATAGCCACGTGAGTTCCTGGTGTTGGTGTTGCACTCCAACTGGCCTCACCCGGGAGGAATTTATTGATCAAAGCGAGGTCAGGCTGGTTCAGAAATTCATCAAGTGGACTTTGAACTAGGGCCTCTACAAAATAGATCCCCTCGTCGTTACAGTCAATGGAAAGACTGTCTTTCATCTTTCCTGCAAGTGGGTAAAAGCGAACCAAGGTTTCTGATAAAGACTGCTTCAGCAATTGCAGTCTTTGGGTGATAATGTCGGTAGGGGAAAGGTTTGTGTCTTGATTGGGATAGTAAATGACCACAGGAATATAGATGGGAGGAACATATTGATCCAACAGAGAAAGCTTATGGATTTTGAGGTGAAGGGGTGTTGCAGAAGAGGGTCTGATACACTCTCGAGAGATTACTTCAGCCTCCATTGTCATCATTTTCAGAGCTTCCCTGAAAGTAATTCAAAAGTAACTGGTCTAAATTCAACAATATACATTTCCACAATTACAATAAGGCCAAGATGCAAAAGTTAATATTATGGTAATTAAAAACACTTTTAAAAGTGATATGTATTCACCTGTTTATGTTTTTTCGCCTGCGGGTCGCTTATAACATGCTTGCACCTGCTGGAATTTTTACTGAACTAAATGCTAAGCTCTGCCAAAAGTTTACTGCCAATCAAGCATTGAAATGCATTAACAAACACACAGGATGAATTGATGTAGAGCTAGCGGAAGCACTTAGCTTAAATAGATTGAAATGCATCTTCCTTTCAATCTCCACCTTTATATTTCTGTTACCCTTAATCTATCTTTCAGATTCTAGCATTTAATTCTACTCTCTTTTAATAGTTATTTCCATTATTTTACAATTAATATAGTTTACATTTTCTCATGCCTTCCTTATCTCCATTTACTTACTTTCTGTTTTTGCTTTCAATACAGATTTTGGACTTCTAAACCACCAATGTATATCAAGACTTCGTTTGTATACCATTAAAATTAATATAATCAGAAATTAATAGTCAATTCAAGACTATTTAATACTAAGTGCAAGTATGCCAAACTTCAAAGACATTGACTAATTAATCAAACAGGAGTTTTTAGTGTCGAAGCCAGTTTATGTGTATCTCAACTAATCCCCGGAGGTGATTAGCACAGCAACCCATCGTTATAGTCCCCAACTTAAATTGTAAATGCCTAGACGAAGAATCAAAACTGAAACCGTACACCTATCTACACTATCCTTAATTCGCCTCATCCATCCAGGCTACCCACGAATGTATCATCATCCATTATGCTGGAAAAGCAAAATGTATATGATTATTAGTTTTAATCAAATTTAAGAAATTGCCGACAATAAATGGAAATTTATTCCTCTTATCCAATTAACTTTCGACATTAATTTGCCCTTAATTATTTGTTGATCAACAAGTTCAAGCTAACATTTTGTTGATGCTTGATTTTGACACCAACTAAACGCACGTGTGAAATGCTGAGCTGGCCCAAAAGACACACGCGAATGAGGGATTGAGAATGTAAATGGTCAAAAGACAATGTTTAAAGTGGTTCGGATGCTTAAACAAGCGAATCCTACGTCCACTGATATTATATTTATATTCGAAGGATTAGGTCGCGACTTAGCGAGCTGACTTTAGAGTGTTGAGAATACAAATGAGAGAGAGAGAGAGAGAGAGAGAGAGAGAGAGAATAAGCTATTACAGTGAGAAGATAGCTAATCAAGAGTAAAAATGAGCGAATCTCACAAACGGGAGAGAAGCTCTCTATTTATAGTGGGATACATTGAGGTAATAATTACTAAATCCATAAAAATGGGTCAGGTATCGTCAAATCTTTCTTTGCGTCCCGTTGTTCACTTACTCAAGTGATTTCCTTGGTTTATGTAGGGATTGGATACGTAGACGACATCCAGCCTCTCGTCAGTCTGGCGCACACCCACTGCACTGGTAGGAGCATGCTCCACACGCCAGCATGCGACGTGATCGCACCTGAATGGTTGTAAGATCTACCTAGACTCTGACCATTTGTACTGACTGGGCTCTGCGTCAACCATACATTTTCAGGCATAACACATTTGATGCTAGATGAGTGATTAAGAGGACTTGAATCTAAGGAAGCAAAAGCCAGGAGCTCTTCATCATGTTCTAATACAGCCATGTCTTGTTCATCCAAAAACACCCATGCTTCAATTCCGTCCCCCACTCGTGTATCCATAAGAACAGCAACATTCAAAATCACTGGCATTCATTTGGCTGAACCAACAGCACTCGCCCAAATCGGCTTTCCCCAGCCAAAATCAATCTCATATATACCGAAGTTATACCAACTATTAAACGCAATATAATCAACTTCACTACGAAAAGTTTTCGCCCACCTCTTTTATAAGCTCACTAAGCTTAACCTGCAGCCCTTCATCTCCCTGTAGGTTCTTCACAAAATCACCATCAACTTTTTTAATCACTTCCCTCAACTTGCATGCCAAAGTTTGCAGCTGTGTTTCGTTAAATGGTGACATTGCAGTGGCCAGCCAGAGGGAATTGCCCATAAGATTTTCTGAAATAGGAGGCACTGCTCTTGACGGCATATTTACTGCGTGGGTTATCAAACTGGGTTTCTGAATTCCGGGTTTTACCTTAATCGCAGAGAACATGCATTTCCAGAGAATTGCTGAAACTGCCTCAAAGAGCGTGGGATTCGGCACACTTGAGCTGGTTGCGTTGGCCTTGAGTTTGGCAATTGCCCATAGCAGCCCAAGCTTTGAGAAACGTTGTCATTGCACATCCATCAACAATCATATGCATAATAGAGACACCAACCGCAATGACACCACATGCAAATATAATTTACCTGTATCTTCGCCACGTGGTCTCCTGGGACTGCTTCAGCTTTATTATCCTCTCCATCCGGAAGGAATTTGTGAATTGATGAAAGATCAGGCTGGTTGAGAAACTCAAACAAAGAACCAGTGACTCGGGCCTCTACGTAGTAAACCCCCTCGTCATTACAATCAATGGAAATATAATCTTTGACCCTTCCAGCAAGAGGATAAAACCGAGTTAAAGTTTCTGACAAGGATTGCTTTAGCTGCTGTCTTGTTTTGGAGATAATATGGGTAAAGGAAAGCTGGTTCGTGTGAATTTGGTTCAGGGGATAGAAAAGGATCATAGGAATGTAAATGGGTGGAACGATTCGACCCAAGAGAGAAAGCTCGTAGGTTTTGAGGTGAAATGGTGTCGAAGTAGAGAGTTTGCTGCACGCTATCGAAATTACTCCAACCTCCATAATTCTAGCTGGAATCAGGCTCAAACTCAAAAGATACAACTCTAGCTAAAGTTGTTTTCTGTTTCACATTCATTTGATCAACAATATTTTTATAGTTTAAAACCTCCTGTAAACCTATTACTGATATAGAGCAGAATCTCTATATAAAGTAATAGTCATACCAATTTTTGTTGGATAAGTTATAAATAAGAATAAATTTTATATTGTAATAAGTTATAATTTTTTTTGTCTCTCTATAGTAATAATTATATTCAAAAAAATATATGTTATGTTACATTAAAGGTTTAAGATGAAATAAAATATTTATCTAAAGTTGTTTGGGACAATAATTTATATTTTAGAGTTATTATCAGATCTTTTATCTTGCAAGTATATAATAAGTTACTATCATGGATACCTTCTTGTTGAAGCCAAAATATTTTTAACTCTCAAGCATGTTTAGAGCTTTTTGGCATGAAATTTTTGGTATTTCTATACTATCATACTTAATATTATCTCCTTCCTCTTATTGTCTAATTCTTGTAATGATTTCTTTTTCAGTTAAAATATACACGACTTGTTGCTCATTTGGATTATTGAGGAAGACAGTAATATCCATTTAATTTGTATAATAAAATTTTTGAATCTGATTACTCAATTTTGATATCCACTTCCGTACTATTATAATGCTACTAAAATAATGAATTGAAATCCTAATACTACTAAAACATGAATTATAAAATAAGAAATCAAAACATAATTCTTGTAATCACATGTCTATTAAATTAAATCTTAATAAAGTTAGTTATATATATATATATATATATATATGAGTTACTACTACTAAGTCTAATTACCAATCCCGAGAGGAAGAGAGTTAAAAGCATATTGGGCTCATTTATTTGGAGCCTGTCTATCGTGACTTGAAGGCCCAAATTTTTATCAAGGCTGGCGGTTGGAATTCCTCAGGGCGTATTACGGTTTTTCACCGAGGGGGTGGATCGAAGCAATTGCAGTTGCAGCGAAGAATTTATCTGAAACGAAGAACTTCGTCTATTGGCAATTTGGCATTGTAGAGAGGAGAGAATATGACCCTAATCGTTCTTCAGTACGATGGATCGAGAGGGTGCAGTTACGCCGCCAGAGGAAATGCAGCACGATAGAAGAGTTCGCTCTGCCGCGTAAGATCCTCGAAACTACCACGACCACCATCCGCGGCCTATTTTCGTTATCTTCCCTGCCGAAAATATCGAAACCCTAAACAGAACATCAGTGTTCATCTGGTCGCGATTTGCATCTTAAACAAACCATTATCATTATAGGATACATGTATATAACATAAAGTTCCATCTATGTGGTTACCGCACCGAGAGCAAGTTGATTAATTAAAGAACGGAGTAGCTCGTAACGGAACGGAATTATTTGCACGTCTCTGTTGTGAATCTTGTGACCGCACGAGCTCAAATTCATTTATAAGGAAGTGCAAAAAGCATGCGTAGATCGCTGTAAGTATAAATTTTTTGTTTAGAAAATGGTATAATGACATTATTGAGCGCTGATATGAATTTTGAATTTTACAGATGGAGGATTCCTTATCGGTCAATTGCTGACACTTTATGTAAATCAAAGTTACACGAACATGTAGGTTCATATTTTTATCCATTTTGATTGTTAGATATTCTGTTATTTCCATTACAAATAAATGTTTCTTTTTCTTCGTTATTTATGGCGTAAAATTTTAATTTTCTTATAGGGACCAAGAAATGTTGCTCCTAAACTGGAGTTATCTACTCTTACGGCCTCGGGTTGGTCACTTTGTTAACTTCTCATATTGTGTGATTAAGTTAATTATAGAGAATTTTTAAGTATGTAAGGCATAAAATGCAGGTCATGGAAAAAATTCGACCACAATGTCTATGCAGATGCAAATTGTCCATGCGCTCCGCACAGGTGAGAGAAGCAGAGCTTCCTATCTACTTTCAGATCTTGTCCGTGGAAATCACTTGCTAGGTGCTGCTGATTTCATTCATATTCTTCAGTACTGTGCAAGATCACCGGATCCTCTGGTAAGCCAAACAGCATTGAATTTTAGCTTGGATACATATTGTGTGTGCATTTGTATTATTTGGATTTACTAACTTCACTGGATTCAGAACACATGTAATGAGGATGTGAACTGACATTTGACTAGTTAGATTGATATGAACCACATGTAATGCACATTACTTAAGTATTAGGAGGGTAGCTATGAAGGCCTTGTATAAGTGGTATTTGTGCTCATTACAGTGGAGTTTCAAAGGAGAAATTGAACTGATAACATGATCAAGAATCTAATCATTTTATAAGATCACTTGTTAGTATGAATTGGCTAAGAACTCTGAAGGCTGTAGCAAATGCTGCAAATTGTGTCATGACTTAAGATTGCAGAAAATGCCTCAGCTCTGTTGTATTGAGAAGGTTGGGGTGATCTTTATTTTCTTAACTATAATTTAGGGTGAGTCCTTTTGGCTCTAATAGTTAAGGTGGTGTTTTCTTTCGCATGCAGTTTGTCATGGAGACCTGGAGAATGACGGAAGAAAAAGAGATTGGCCTGAATAACACATGCTACCTGCTCATGATACGAGCTCTTTGTAAAGGGGGTTACTTGGAGGAGGTACAAACAATATATTATTTAACTGTTTTTTCTTTTTTTCTTTTTTTAATTTTTATTATATATGATTAAAGTTAAGTGGCTACTTTAATTTCATATATATCTCATTGCTGAGAGTAAAATTATGGTATAATCACTTGATCATATCATTAGAATGTTGACTGGTTATCTAAACTGGGAAAACTAAGTCTTTTCTGTATTAATAGTGAACATAATTTTTTGTTAGTGCCTAGTTCATATGGACACAATTGATAGATTTTGATGGCAATTTTATTTTTACTACCATAAAACTTACAATTAAGACGTATATCAATTAATATTTATGCATTCTTCTTTTCCTAACTGCTGTTATAATGACAAAGTTCAGTTGTTGCTTTGTTTTACTTTGTGCAGGCATTTAATTTGATTAATTTTCTTGGAAAAAGTCATGGCATGTTTCCTATTCTTCCCATGTACAATTGTTTCTTGGGGGCTTGTGCAAAAATGCAAAGTATGATTCATGCGAATCTATGTTTGGAGTTGATGGAGACCCAAATGGTGGGCAAGAATGAAATTACATATACAGAACTTCTCAAGGTGTGTAAATTATATTGATGTCAAATTATTTTTGTCTCCAAGAAATCTTGAGCAGAGTCTTAAGCATTATATAATTTTTTTTTTTTTCCTTTGTGTTTCACAGTTTTAGTGTTGCTGTTCTATGTCTTGTAAAATATTTACGAAGGAATATATTATTGTTATATCTCTAACTTTTTCTTTCTTTCAGCTTGCAGTTTGGCAGCTAAATCTGCCCGCAGTCCATGAAATTTGGAAGCACTATATTAAACACTACAGTCTCAGCATATTTTCTCTCCGGAAATTTATTTGGTCCTTTACAAGGTTGAAAGATTTAAACTCTGCATATGAAACATTACAACACATGGTAGCTTTAGCCATGAAGGGAAGGCTTTACGTTAACAGGACTTCTGAAGGAAAACTGTCTTCTTCTAGATTGGACATCCCTATTCCTTCAAATGTCCCGTTGAGCTCACAGAAAGTTGACTTGGAGAAGTATGACAATGTTTTTGCTTTGAAAATAGACACTGATACCAGAAACAATGAGCAATCCATTAAATTTAATAGGGGAATCAGTGAAGCTGGAAGTGTTAAATTAGGTATGATGAATAAATTTGAAACCATGCCTGTTATGAAGGTTTTGAGATGGTCTTTCAATGATGTAATGCACGCTTGTGCACAAACTCAGAATAGTGGACTAGCGGAGCAGTTAATGTTGCAGGTAGAAGTAGCTGTTTTTTTCTTGTACGCTTCTGAGTATTATATGCTAAAGTCATGTGATACCAGAACTGAACTAAAGAATCAGTTTTTGGAATAAAAGAGTTTTATTCTGTCTGGAATTTTCCTTGATGAGCCAAAACTTCTATGGAGTTAAAATAAAAACATACTAAATTACTCCGTTGATAAATATGTTTCACAGGCTCCAATGCTTTGATGGCAATTTTACAAAACCTTTATTATGTTTGACATGATAGTGACAGTTGTTGCACTCAAACTGGATTTCTCTCTATCTGTTTTTAGTACTCAGTTTATTCCATGTTTTACTGTCCTGTGAACACTTTTTTCAGCTCAGTTACATATTATGTACTAACTTGAGGGTATCTTTCTATGTATAGATGCAAAATCTTGGGTTGCAACCATCAAGCTGTACATATGATGGCTTTATTAGAGCTATTGTTTCTAAAAGAGGTATAAGCAATGGCATGGAAGTGGTGAGTTGCATTAGTTAGAGGCATATTTCAGTCATGTTTAACTATTTTCCCCTTCATACTGATGATTTTTATCGCATCTGACCTTTCATTTCTTTACCGTAAGAGTTGTTATCATTTCCATTTGCTCATCTTTCTGCAGTTGGAGATAATGCAGCACGAGAATTTGAAGCCAAATGATTCAACTCTTGCAACCCTTTCAATTGAATGCAGCAAAGCTTTAGAACTTAACTTAGCTGAGGCTCTACTGGATCAAATTTCTGAATTTAAGTATCCTCATCCTTTCAATGCTTTTCTTGCCGGATGTGACACCATGGTATGTTAATTTCTGTAAACCCTATTTCTTCTCAGCACATTGGTGTCCCTAGTTATATTAGCTTTTATAAGTATTGGCTTCTGCTAGAGTATGTGAAAGGAAATATCTGCTCACAATGTAATTGTATGTATCTTAGCATTTGTCTCCATTCCCTATAAAATTGAACATTGAAGGGCTGATGATTGGTTGGTGGTGGGGACAAACCAACTTCCTCTAATTATGTACATTGCTTATGGTAAGTGCTACACCAACCTTGTAGAAGTGGTACCCCTTTTGAGCTTGTACGACAGAAATTATCATTGTTGTGGTTCAACTGTTGGATGTATGTTAAGTAGAGAATATCAAGCAAGTCTTTTATATTAGCCTAGGCATAGTTTAGAACAACACAACGATTACTCATGATCTTTTACTGGTTTGATATAATTAATTTTATTAAAATCATTGATCCTTTGTTCTATTGCATTGTTAAATTTAATTAACAGTTTTTCAGGTTGTCTTCTTCTGTCCAAGCCCCAATAAAAATTTGTGCTGCATTAATTTTGCAGGACCAACCTGAGCGTGCCGTTACAATGTTGGCTAAAATGAAGCAATCAAAAGTCCGGCCAGATATAATGACGTATGAGCTACTGTTTTCATTATTTGGTACTGTGAATGCTCCATATGAAGAGGGCAATATGTTGTCACAGGCAGACTGTGTGAAAAGGATAAAGGCCATAGAAATGGATATGGCAAGGAACGGTGTTCAGCACAGTCATTTATCAATGAGGAACTTGGTAACTCCCTGCCTTGTCTATTTTGTTTCATTTACATGGAGCATGACCAAATTTGGCTCAACTACTTAAACTACAGACTGGAATGTCACTTTTAAATTTTCGTATTATCACAGTAGAAATCTCATGTAATTTCTGGATTAAGAGAATCCTAATTATCCTCAGAAAGTCTTGCTACTGCATAAATTCATAATCTATAATGATTTATTTATGATCTTCATTCCATCATTATGTTTTTCAAGTTCATTTTGATTGAAAGAAATGGCTAAGCTTTTAGTCTTTAAATCTCTCTTGCTTCAACCTTCATATAAGTGCAAAGTGTGACACTAAGTTACCTTCTTGCTTTCATTAATCTTTTGACATGGAGCTTTGTTTGTATGACATTTTTTTTTTTTTTTTTTTAAATCTATGCTGGGTCTCTTCAGCTTAAAGCCCTTGGAGCAGAGGGAATGATGAGAGAGCTGATCCATATTTGCATTGGCAGAGAGCCTTTTCAGTCAGAGTAACACTTATATGGCAACACCCATCTATAATACAGTGTTGCATTCACTTGTTGAAGCTAAGGAAGTAAGTGGTTGAAGTGCTGTAATTATAGCTTGCAATTGCTTCTCCATGAGTTGTGGTTTATATTATCATTTCTTTTTTATGGCTGATTATGTTTATCTTGGCTTGCAGAGTCACACAGCAATAGAACTATTTAAAAGTATGAAATATTGTAGTTTCCCGCCAAATGCCGCAACTTACCATATAATGATAGATTGTTGTAGCACTATAAGATGCTTCAAATCAGCATGTGCACTAGTTTCCATGATGTTGCGTGATGGATACAATTTGGGGACAGTGACATATACTGCTTTAATAAAGGTAATTTTTTTTTACAACTATTACTGAATACAAAGTGGTCATGAATAATATCTGCTATATCAATTTATGAGATTCCATTCAACATAGTCAGCCTGAATTATGAGAAACACAGGTCTGTGTATCAAAAACGTGGTAAGGGTGCAATCTTACATGTTCAAGAATGTGAAGAAAATAAATAATAATAATAAAAAATAAAAAAAAGGAAGAAAGGAAGAAGAGGGAAAGATATATGTTCTAGTCTATGTAGATTTCTTTGGCTTCTCATTCTTTGTGATACGGGAAAGCTATTGCAACTGCTATTGTAATTGGCCTGGAATCATCACTTATTTACTGCTGAGCTTCTTTTATGCCAGATCCTGTTGGAGCATGAAGATTTTGATGAAGCATTAAATCTGTACGATCAAATGAGATCAGAAGGCATTCAACTTGATCTTCTGTTGTACAATACCATTCTTCAAAAAGCAAATAGAAAGGTGCTACATCTCCCTGTTTCCTAGTCTCTCTTTTATCTCTACGAGTTAAAAAGAATTAATTTTTTTGTACAAAAGTACTGTTAGATCCATTTTAGAAAGAAGTTTTGAACTCTCTATCTTGGGTATATGTATCGCTTGTAACATGTGAAGCTGAATTTGGACATTTCTTCTACATGTAGGTTGGTCTTATAGTTTATGTCATAGTAAAACTGCTAACATTACTTTTGCTCCATTCATGAATGAATGCCAGGAAAGGATCGATGTAATTGAATATATTATTGAGCAGATGCGCCAAAATAGAGTACAGCCTGATCCGTCAACCTGCCATTATGTGTTTTCTGCATATGTAGAATGTGGTTTCCACAGCACGGCTGTAGAAGCATTGCAGGTCCTGAGCATGCGAATGCTTTGTGAAGAAGGTAACACTCCACAAGAAAAGAGGATGGAATTTGAGGATCTCATACTTGCTGAAGATTTAGAAGCTGAGTCACGAATACTTAAGATTTTTAAGGATTCTGACGAGAAGATTGCCACTGCTCTTTTGCAATTAAGATGGTGCGCTATACTTGGGTTTCCAATTTCTTGGTCAACTGATCAAAGTTCATGGAGCAGTCGACTCTCAACTAACTACGATAGTAGAAAAAACACTACTTGACGGATTAATGATGATATGAATTTTCCTATCAAATTCAATATCGGAAGCTGCCCAAAAGGGCTATGCGATTTTGATTAAACAGGCGATTGCAAGTTTCAGAAATGGCTGAGAGTTGCCCAAAAAGAGATGTTAGAGCTCACGGGTTGCTGTGCTATTTATGAAACAGATGTTTCCAATAAGTTACCTCTGCATCAAGCGATTTTAGGTTGTATAACAGTAGAATAACCTCATTTTGATCGGAGCTGACCGGCTGTTTACACTGTACATTTGAAGAGCAGTTTACAGAAATCCTGTTACACTTATTTTTGTTCTATTGATAAAATTCTTTTTCAATAATATTGGTTACAGTTTTAAACCAAATGATATTCTAAGCTTAAAAGGGCTGGAAGATGGAGTATACGATATAATATTGGTCTCCATAATTATTGATGCGTTGAAAGAAAGAATCCGTGAACTGTTAAGCTCTTTCAATAAGAGAGCATTTTCGTGACAATACATGAAATAAAGAGATTAATTTGGCTTCATCTGGAAATCAAGAATTTGCTTTCTAACACAAAAGTTTAATCAATAATTTGATGCTATTCCTATACTGCCAACCATGAGTATGCAAAAAATATTCTCAACTGGCAAGTGGTAAATCATCGTTGAAAAGAACACTCGATGGCATAATGCAGACCACTTCGTCACAGTGAGTTGCCTTCCAGTTTACGATCATGTTCAGCATTTGCAATCTTGCATCGGTGTCTAAATGTTTTCCCCAGGAGGTAACTCTGCAAGCTTTGGAGGAGTGCCAAGAACTCGTTCCATATCAAAACGGACTTCAATGTTGCGGATACTGTACCCAACAACCATCAGCCAATAAAGCAGTTTGGCAAGCTCTGGTGCACTAGTTTCAGTCACACTTGTCTGTAACCATAAATTTTCAGGGCTTTAGAAATTACAGTAAAATCAAATCAATTTGTTAGAAGATAAACTGGAAAAAATAAAAAATAAAAACTTTGGTAATAGTCACCAAAAATTCATATGGTTTTCAGTCTCTTGGTTATAGTTATCAGGAATTCTGATAATCAGTTTAATAGTCAATCTCAATTCACTTCACGAAGGATGAATATACACAATCAACTAAATATTTGAAAGTCAATGACATTTATGCCTTAATATGACGCAGAAAGGTAAAAGAAGATCGTAAAACTCTGATATAAAGGCAAACCTTCATTTGGCTAGGATCTGAAACAGCCAAAAGACGCTTAATGAACGTGTTCATAGCAAGCACAACATCCTCTCCAGCGCTACTGGTCAACTCCTACATAACAGTGCACAATTCATTTGAAAACAATGTACACAGACTCTTAGAAGAAATAGTGGTGATTCGTGAGAGACCATACTCATATAGGTACACATTTGAGTCACACAAAGGGTATGAAATCAAGGAACAGAAATACACAATCCCTCTCCTAAAACCCCAAAATTTTGATTTTCAAACACATGGCGATTTCAATAATTTAAGATTGATTTTTTCAAAAATTATAAATGCAAACATAGTCTTCCTCAGTGGCAACTAAAATATCTAAGCATGTCTACAATATCGCAAATGTTTCCCCACAATCAGCGGAAGATTAGATGGCAATCAGAAACTCCAGAGCTCAGATGTCAACCATCTGTCGAAGAGGAAATCAAGATAAACAAAACTTCTTACCTTCAGATTCTGAGGCTCAAGAGACTTAAGATAGTCTAACAACTCGTTTGGACCATTAGCAGATATTCTACCAACTTGACGATTCAACTCCTCAATCTCTGCTTCAAGTAACTCAATGTACTTCTTAGCATCGATTTTCTCTGGACCAGATACATTATTCCACCTAATAACTTCACCAGAAACATTCTTTTGTGTACCAGGTGCATAATCTGGCTTCTCCTGTAAATATATTACCAATTTAACACTTATGCAGCATATATGTAGACATATAATGAAATATCATATACAATGAAAGGAAAATGCATACCTCTTTATCTTGCAACTCTGGAAGAGCAACCTGCTCCAAACTTTGTTGCAATTCCAATCTGTATTGTGCATTCTTAAACATATATCCAGTCATCATTACACTGTACATGAGCTGTGCAAGATTCTCAGCAACCTAAAACAAAGGCCAACTGTGAAAACCAAAACAGCCAAGAGTAATGTACTACTAACAACATCATTAAAAAATCGATTCAGCTTTAAATAGTTGTTTTCACCCATATTGAAATGTTATATTTTTAAGCTACTTACAGTGGAGACTGTTATAGCAAAAAACTGTGGAGGTAGCGTTCCTATCATATTTGTAACCGTTTGTCGCATTGCATCAACTACCTAAACACATACACAGCATTAAAAATTAAAAGGTTTTTCAGGCATTTTCAAGTATCACAATAATCTAAAACATATAAAAAAGCAAACCTGTTGGGGAGCCCTCTTCACAAACAGCTCCATGAATTCCGGTTGAACATTTTTTACATACTCCAATAGAATATCTCTTCTGCTCTTCGGTGGCTAATTAATAAAGAAAGACAGACACAAAATCCAATTCAAAAACTGTAGCGAAGCAATTAAACATCTTTAATTTTCTTCATCAAAAGCTACATTATATTTCAATCATTGCACGATACTATAATCCATTATCAAGCTAAATGATCTTACTTTGAGAGAAATTGTCAGAGAGAAATACCAGAGAGCCGTTGGGAGGTTTTGAATCATTAGAGCCGTTGTTATTAGTTGAGTCGTTCTTTGAAGAATCGTAAGCTTCAATCCTTAAAGCCAATCTTTCCTTGTTTTTCTTTGACTTTCTTGGGAAACTGATTGAACTAAACAATTTAGGCCGACACGAAACAAGAATTGTTGAGGACGAACATGGTTGATAAATGAAGGAAGGTCTCACTGTCAACGAATTCATCTGCCCAGCTACTTCACAAACTTTAGCAATAAATTATTAAGATAACCTCTGATTTCTCTTTTTAAAAAAAAGAAAAAACAATCTTTACACTGTCGCCATTAACGAGACCGAAAGAAACAACCGATACGAGAATTGAGTAAAGGCTTTCTCGTGCGTGCGGGGGTTCCCAGAGATGAGGGTTGCTTTGTGACAGTGAAAAGTCCAGTTGGAGTACACCTGAAGAAGGAGGGGTGGTTTATAGAGGATATAAATCGGGCGGATCAATTGTAACTTAGTAAGATCAACGGCTAGAATTACTTCGTTGCAACAATTATTATTGTTCAAAATACGACCGTTGATAGTGTTTATTCCTCCCTTTTATGGCCGTTGATCATTGTACCACTTGCCAACCCAAATGAAATGTCCGTCACAAAAAGAGCTAATTTCATTGTCAACCCGGAGGTTTGGTACACAAACCATTTTTCCCTTCAAATTTTGATAAACTCACACTGACACCCTCAGATAGAGGTTCTATTCTCTTCCTTTTTTTTTTTTTGTAACCAAAGTGTCCAAACTAGTTTTCGCACAACTAATCTTCGACAGATATTAGACAGCAACACACCACCACGACCACTAACTTAAATCGCAAATGCTCATATAGAAATTGAACTTGAGATCGTACGCTTATCCACACTATTTTCAATTCGCTCTAACCATCTGAAGAGTCTAGATTCTATTCTCTCGTATTAGTTCCTTCATACTTTGTGCTTGGTTATGATACATGAACTAATAGGGAAGTGAAATGATTAATGAGATATAATTGACTGGTTCCATTGAATTAGTTTGGAGTAGTCAGCCCCGGGCTAAGGCTATCAGGTGTAAAGAAACGGGACAATCCTTTGCTTAAAGTGGACGGCAATCACAATCTCTCGGCGTGGGCCACAAGAAATCTGCACATTCACAACTTTCTTCTTTAAATCTTTTGAGTCTTGACATTACCATCACTAATTCCCAATCTTACGTTTCACGATTTATTTATTTTAATCGTTTTCACTTTTACAGGTTATTGTTGTGTTGTGATCACTGCTCAAAGTTGAAAAAGCAAAATATACACAGAGAAGACATAGATCTATATATATATATAGATCGTTAGTGTTAATTAAGCGTGCGACAGTTTGGCCGAGTGGTCTAAGGCGCCAGATTTAGGCTCTGGTCCGAAAGGGCGTGGGTTCAAATCCCACAGCTGTCAGGCTTTTTTCTTCGACACGATTTTTGTATTTTTCTCAACTTGGCCTTTTTGCCTGAGCCTCTTTTTTTTTTTTTAAAATTGTGTTGACAATTTGGTGACAGAGACAATATGGGGGAGGCTTTTAAATTGAAATGTCATCTGGGGTATAGCTACCTGCTACCTGCCATTACTACCTGCTCCATTTCTATAATTCATTATTTTACTTCAATTAAATTGAGCTAATATATATATATATATATATATATGGATAATTGTATGTGAAGCTCGCACCTTTCGCCTACTTACGAGCAATCATTTTTGTCCCTCTGCTTGTTTTGGGCTTTCGGATCTGTTCGCATGTGACTGCCCATTGGACCTCCTCTTTTTTAAATGACTGCAGACTGTTGGATTTGTCTCTGACTGTCCCTTAATTATTTTAGATTTAAACACTATGATCAATCAAATCACAAATAATTATCGATTTGAATACAGGACTTCTGGATAATTTACCGTTTTATTATTCTGGAATAAACTAAGTGATTTCGATATAATATGTAATTATTATATTGGTTGGTCAAATTAATTGAAACAAATTAACAAAAATCTAGTAAATGTATATTATTAGTAATTAATTAATTAATTAAAGTAAAAATAAATAAATAAAAATAAAATCTCAACTAAATACAGTAATAAATAAGAGGAGAAACGGAGAGCCAGCTCACGCCTTACGGTGACACTCTCCTAAAACAGAATCAGTCCATTCATGTTGCTTCTCTCTGACTCTGCACGGCACTCCACCAAAGCTTTGCCTTCTCTGATTGAATCACTTCAAAACGCACGGCTTTAATGGAATGAATTCAATTGTCGTTTTCGTTATTTCTTTGGCTTCTTCAAAAATGTCGACACCTCTTCAGCCAATGTTGGAATCATAGCACCAAATCCTTCTCTTTTCTTTTTTTCTCTCTCCAAACACTGAAAACACAACACGCAAATGGCTTCTCAGCGCCGCCGCCATCATCACAACAACAACCGCCTCCGTCTTCTCCTCCCTGTCATCTCGGCCATTTTCTTTCTTCTTTTCATTCTCTTCTTTCTTCTCTCCATTCTAGCTCCTTCTCCCACCGATTCGGATCAGCTCCGTCACAGTACCAGCCACGTATCGGTATTGTATTCCTCTTAATTAGTTAATTTATACTTATTTTTTATATCTCTTCATTAACTAAACGTGCCGATTTCTAATGCTCTTTTTATTTTTATTTTTTCTAATTTGTTATGCAGTCTACGGTGATTGATGGTCCAAGTGGGGTACCTGTTTTTCGTGTTCCGGTTAGGGATTTATATTTGAACTAGTAATTAATAATAAATAAATGTTTTTTAGGTTTTGTTGGATCTTAGTTTCCTTATCATGAGAGTCTCTGTTTGTTTCTGAGGACCAGAGAGATGGTGGCTCATTGGATCGTGATATTTGGAGCTCAAGAAATGCCCAATACTATCATGGATGTAGTGATTCTAGCAAGAAGTTTGCAAGTACGTATTTAGTTATTATATTTTGTGATTTTATATTCAAATTTATGGAACTATTACTAGTATGCTTTAATATGATTTTTGGGAAATGTTAGTTTTCCCTACACATTTACATGAAGAGTGTTGATCGTATTGCAGAAGCTGAAGACGTGACTCGTCCTAATAGATACCTGGCAATAGCTGCTAGTGGAGGCTTGAATCAGCAGAGAACTGGGGTAACTTTATATGATGCAATACAGTGAACATTTGTTCTGTTGGTTGATTTGGTAACTGATACTAAATCAAATGAATGAATATTCGGGAAGAATTCTAAGCTATTTTATACTATTTACTTATGAATGAAGGAAATGTTTTGAGGCCCTATTAGTCAAATGTTATTCTTTCGTTTATTAATCTGCAGAACCCTGATTTCAGTTACTATCATGTTTTCACCTCTGTTTGGTCAATAGCTATTTTCTTCCCCTAATACTTGTCTTAGACTGCGGAATCAGGCTTGCTTAGTGTTGTGCCATAAAGCAACCTATGTTATTGGATCTAGTAATACTGTTTGATTCATAATGTTGTCATATTACTACAATGGCCAAACATTTTGTTGTTGCATGTTACTCTTAATATTACAGAATAGATAATAAACTGTTTATTGTTGGTGCCAAACTTAATAAGCATAGTTGGCAGATTGTAGATGCTGTTGTTGCTGCCCGGATTTTGAATGCTACTCTTGTTATTCCAAAGCTGGACCAGAAGTCTTTCTGGAAGGATGCTAGGTTAGCCCTCAGATTTTGTGCCAAAGATTTTTCGAATTTGCAGTTTCTTTAAAAGTTTATGAAAGATTGTCTAATTGCATCTAGTCATTGATATCAAATAACAGATTTTTTACTTTTTCATTCTTGTGCAGTAACTTTTCAGAGATTTTCGATGTTGATCGGTTTATATCATTCTTGTCAAAAGATGTAAAAATTATAAAGCAACTTCCAAAGAAGAGAGGGAAAACTTTGAGTACTTATAACATGCGTGTTCCGAGGAAGTGTAATGAAAGATGTTATCAGAATCGTGTTTTACCAGTTCTTTTGAAAAGGCATGTAAGTTTCAGTTCTCTTAAACTTTTTTTGATTGCTTATATACACTGCTTTAAATTTTTGCATTGATGCTAATGAGTTTGCTTCAAACATTCTTCTCCTTCCTGACTTCAATTTTAGCATTACTGTTTCTGTTTGTATTTATTTGCGTATTGAATCTCAACATGTAGATATTTTAATGCATTGATGTAGCGATCTCTTAGTTCTTTGATGTAGTTGTTGCACTCTGTCTTCTCAGTTTATTCTTAAATAAGCAACCGATTGTTTCAAAATAACTGTTTTGGTCTTCACTGCAGGCAGTTCAGCTGTCCAAGTTTGATTATAGACTCTCAAATAGGTTGGATACAGATTTGCAAAAGTTGAGATGTAGGGTTAACTACCGTGCTTTAAGTTTTACTGACCCTATTCTTGAAATGGGTGAAAAACTGGTCCAACGAATGAGGTTGAGAAGCAAACATTTTATTGCCTTGCACCTAAGGTAGATTGATAAATCTTTTCTACTCTATATTTCTGGTTACTGTTGAACCTAAGGACTGATAAGCTTGTTCTTGTTGTATTTTAGTTGCGAAACAATGGACTTTACATTCACAATTAGTTTCTTGATGCAACTGAATGTTTCTTGTTACAGGTTTGAACCTGACATGCTTGCATTCTCAGGGTGCTATTATGGTGGTGGTGATAAGGAGAGAAAAGAACTCAGTGCGATACGTAAGAGGTGGAAAACTTTACATGTAAGGCAAACAACACTGATTTTAAATTTGATCATCTTGTCATTTTGTTTAGTTTCCAAAGGTAATATCTGTTTACCCTATGGAATAAATATTTGTGCAATTCTTTGAAAGATTTGACATCTATCAGAGGGAAGAAAAATCTGAGTATGATTTTCACTCCGGTGTGAATTTCACTAGGGGCCTTGTATGTTGGTCCTCTGCAGATCTTGCATATGAAATATGATGAGAATTGTTTTCAACTGATTGCAGATCAGCAATCCTGATAAGGAAAGGAGACATGGGAAATGCCCACTTACTCCACTAGAAGTTGGTCTAATGCTGAGAGCACTGGGATATGGCAGCGATGTTCATATCTATGTGGCTTCTGGTGAAGTATATGGAGGGGAAGAGACATTGGCGCCTTTAAAAGCACTTTTTCCACACTTCCATTCAAAAGAGACTATAGCAAAAAAAGAGGAGTTGGCACCATTTTCTCGATTCTCATCTCGAATGGCTGCATTGGATTTTATCGTTTGTGATGAAAGTGATGTATTTGTTACCAACAACAATGGTAATATGGCTAGAATATTAGCTGGAAGAAGGTATAAATGTTTTCTTCCACCTGTATTGTTTTTATTCTTCTAACTGGTGGGCAACTTTTTAATTGTTTTCTCTTGTTCGCAGGAAATATTTTGGGCACAAACCCACCATTCGTCCAAATGCTAAAAAACTCTATCGGTTGTTCTTAAACCAGACCAACATGACATGGGAAGTATTTGCCTCGAAAGTTCGTAGTTACCAGAGAGGCTTCATGGGGGAGCCAAATGAAGTAAGGCCAGGCAGGGGTGAGTTTCATGAGAATCCAGCCTGCTGCATTTGTGAAGATACTGTGCTCAAGGCAAAGAGTGATTCTTTACCTAGAAAAGTTGGAAAGGAGATGGAGCATGCTGAATCTAAAAAAGATGTTATTATAAGTGACGATCAGAATGATGATGATGAACTGGAATTGTCTGATATGGATGACTATGAAGATCAAAGAGGCTTCCCAGAGAAGGGTCTCTACAACGGAACAGCTTTGGATTATGATGCAGTCACCTCTGAGGAGCCTGAGTTGGAAGAAATGCTTTCAGACTAAACAGTTGTTGGCTCAACCTGTTACTTCTTTCATGAGATTTCTTGCCCTCCTTCTGTCCCCTTCAGAAATTTTGCAGCTCTAGCCAAAATGTTTTCAACCATCCTTCCGAAACTTCATACTGTACATAGAAACATCGGAATGGAGAGAAAAAAGGCATTTCCAGATGACATGTGGAATAATGAATTTTTGACAGCGAGCAATTTAAGCAATTCGGAAGGATCATTTCATAAAATATGTCAACGGACATTTGGTCTGGAACAGAATCCACCGAAGATTTTTTATTCCCTTTTGCAGCTCAGGTCGAATCTGAACTTCTACATATGTAGAATCAACTGAATTTTATGTCGGAAACATTATTGAGAGTAGAATGATAGGCAGCGGCTGTAAAAAAAATTCAAAGATCATTCAATGAGGTTTTTCTTTTTTCTTTTTTTTTTTTTCTTTTTTTTTCAAATAACTTAAATTCATAGTGATTTTGCTTTGTCTGTGAGTTGCAGTTGTTTTTGTATATTTATTTATGAGTAGTTCAAGGAATTGTGGTATAAATCCCTTCTGTATGAGTTGTAATTATCATCCGTTTGTTGGTTATTTTTTAGATATCCCACACACTGCAATTATGGTGAGCAAATTCTGTCTCTAAATTTAGTGTTTTCAAGCGAGATCTTATTAAAAAAAAAAAAAAAAAAAATTCAGGAAATGAAATCTGAATTATATGAAGAACTAATTTTATACAATAATTCTAAACCAAGCATATACGAGGGATTTAAGTTCGAAGAATAGGACTTTCACTTTCTCAGTTTCTAGTTTGATTAGGTTTTTTTTTTGAAACATTAGAAGCTCTTATTTTATTATTATTTTTTTAAATATGATGTTCGGATTAGTTTACGTTTATTTTAATTAATATATGTAAACAAGGATTTTAACATGAGGTCATACATCTTAACCACGTATCTCAATGTTCGTCTAACCATTTAAACTATCTAAGGACATCTCCAACCCGCATTGGTTTTGGCTCCAACCCAGCGCTAAGCGTCACGTCAATTTGGTGTGGCACAATGTAGCGCCACACCAAATTGGTGTGGCACTGTAGCACTTTTTTTTTTTTTGAAATTGTTATGTTAATTTGATTATTAAATTTTACACAAAAAATTACACCAAATTTAATTATTTGTATTTAATTTAATTTGATTATTATTTATAATAATATATTCATAATAATGATATAATTCAAAAAATGATGAAAAATTAAAAATAAAACTTTATTCAATACAAATATTAAACTACAATAAGTCAAAATAAAAGTAACACTAATTTAAAAACACTAAATCTAAAAAGCTTGAATGGACGCGTTTTTGGGATAAAAATATATTACATGATATAATAATTGCGTGTATTATTATGCATAACATGATAATCGAGGATGATCGTAATGTTGATGCACCGATTGAGAATCAAATAGAAGCGCCAACTCCCGAAGTTGAAATTATCGTAGATGAAAATGTCTGATTTCTAAATTTTCTTGCTCGACTTAGATAAATCAAGGATACAGAGGCTCACCATGTTCTTCGAAATGCATTAATTGATCATTTCTGGGAAGAACATACTAATTCGGAAAATTAAATTACTATCAATATGGAATTTTACTTTTATGTTTTTTTTTTTTTTAATCATTTTATATTAGATGTAATGTTTTTCTATATTAAATGTAATGTTTATTTGATTAAATAAATACTGAATTTTATTAAATTAGTATAATTTTCAAAGAAATTATTATTTAATAAAAATATAATTCTCAATATTTAATTAATATATACAAAAATAATAAGTAAAATAGATTAATTGTTAATTATTACAATAAAATAAAAAAAAGAGAATATTCTAAAGAATATTCTTTTTGGTGTAGTGGGCTGGAGATGCAATAGTGTTTTATTTGCATCAAAATTTGTACCAAATTGATGCAATGGGTTGAAGATGGTCTAAGAGTGGGTAAAAAGCTATTAGAAGGTTGGTGGGAAAAAAAGCTATTAGAGCGTCCCCAATTGTGCTTTTAATTTTAAAGAGTATTTTCATTAATTTCTAAATATAAAGAATAAATTTTTTGTTCAAATCCAATAAACTCTGATTAGATGTGAAAAGTTAAACTGTAATTAATAAATAGGAAAGAGAATTAATAAATAAAATATATAAAAACTTATAATTTATTAATTAAAATTAGGATAGACAGTGAAATTTGACTTTTTAATGTGAAGAGCTAAAGAATAAAAAATTTGTTAAACTGTTATTTTTATAGATAAACTCTTTATTATAAAGAGTTTTAATCATATAAATAGTCTTTGTAGAAATGGTTTTAATAGGTTTGAGAGAATTCGCACAAAGGTTGGGAGAATTCGGGGGATTAAAGAGAGCAAGATAAAAATTGTTGCCAAATACGGGTTTATAATTATGTAGTCCGTTAATAGGTTTGGGAATTTATAGATTTACAAATTGGTGATCAAACCCTGATCTCAACCCAAAAAAGAAAAGGCCTAAAATCGTTGATAATAAAAGGGTTAACATTGCCCAAACCGGTTATCAAAGCTTAAAATGAAGGAATTAATTATTAAAAAAAAAAAGAATTGAACAAAAATTCAAAAATATCCAGTTACAAGAGTATTTCCACCAATATGATTGCATTTAAATGATTTTTGAACCTCGTAAAATAAAACAAAATAATGAGACTAAAAAGTAAAAAGTAAAAAGTAAAAGTAGTTCATTATGACGATGGTGGCAAAAAGTCTGGTTGATCGTCATCTATAGAAGTTGATGAACCAAAGTCTAGACTTGGGTAGACACCAGGCGGCCTCTCCCGAGGTGTGATTGATAGTAATTGGCTTGAATCCACCACCACATCAGCCCATCCGTAGTGAGGTTCAGCCCTTTTTTTTTTAAAAAAAAAAAAAAAAAAAAAGGATTTTAGTCCACAACACACCATAAAAACCAAGATTTAACCCAACAGCAAATGTTAGAAGGAAACACATTCTTACTCATAATAGGTTTCCTCATCCACAACAATATCCCAACTTTCACCTGTTGTGCTTTTGCCATATTTGTGAACTTTCCTGGTATAGAAAAATGACCATTCAAGTTCACCTCTAATATAAAAAAATGCAAGAGAAGGATGATGGTTGCAACTAACAACTATCATGGGATCTGATGGTCTTGAGTTTCATACCCGTTTCCAAAATGTTCCTCTCCCCATGTTCTTGACCAACCTAGACATGAGATAAAATAAATTCTTAGTTAAAAGAACTGAACATAAGTATCTCGTTGATGTTTTAGGAAGATTAGGCAAATACATGATCATTTCATACTACCAACATGCACATCGCTGGAAAAAGAAAAGAGGAAATTCCAAACTGTAATTAATTGTTTAACCTCTTGAAAGACTTTAATGATAATGACTCAATGTGAGAGGCAAGTATGGATCTTTTTAGATTAATAACAACCATAAAAGTTGTACTAAAACGGGACAAAAGTTTGCATTCTGCATCATGAATGTCAAAAAATATATGTTTAATTCTTTAATATGGACAAGCCTATGTTTTTTGGGTGTCAGTATGTAACTGGCAACTCCAGACGCCAGCACAAACGACTGACTATGTAATTACCATATACTCTATAATCATGATAAATGAAACCATCAATCATTTCTTGAGTTCCTCCACCCATGCCCTTTACTGAGATCATTAGAAGAAACTCTAGAAAAATGCTAGAAAAGAATACATAAGAAATGTCATCAAAACAACATATGCAAGTAGATAGAAGAAAAGGACGAGACATACGTTCACCACTCGGAGATACATGCCATGTCTCCCCTTGACGTGAACCAATGCCAGCAAAGAACTTCTCTTCCCACTTGTCTCCCCATTTGGTTCCTAATTCAGTTTCAGCCCATTTATCTGTCCTGAGGAATAGAAAAAATGAATTAAGTGAAACTACAAGAAATTCAAGTTGGCAAACTACGACTATACAGAAAAAAATTGAAGACTGATTTAGCAAGTACTACAACACAACTTATATAATATTAGCAGAAATGTTCTACACCCTACCACAAGATAGGTATGCAAAACTAAACTGTAAACAAATGCAACATCTAAATTTCAAAAAGCATGCATGAGTAACCAACATCACATGACAAGCCTACTGATGTATATAGTACATGACTTTGTGGAAAGCAAATACAAATCTAAAGGACAGTTGATAACCATTTGAGAACAGATCCTCTTCCATCATAATGCTCTCCCCACTTCTCCCACCATGACTGTTCATTCAGTCTACCATACTTATGTGCCCCTTTCTCAGTCCAACCTTTAGCATCATACTTTTCCCACCTGAGTCCAAAATAAAATGTTCTATCAGTATAGCTAGATCAACTGTGTTGTTAATGTAAATAAAATACCATAATTGTAATTATTATACAGTAAAAAATCAGCTTACCATTTCTCATACCATCCAGCATTTTCAGTGCCTGATTTGGCTTGTTTCTGGGCACTTCTCTCTATCCTTGCTAAATTGCTACAGTTTCAAAAACATAAAGAAACTAAAATGTTAAATTTGGGTACAGAGTAAACTGAAAATATTTTATTTCAGACTTGACAGCTGGTAAATAAGCATGTGCTGTTACGTTTACTAGGAATAGTAAAAAGTAGTAAAAGACCTCCATTCATCTTGATGGAGCACCTCTTGCCATGTTTCCCACCATGAATCACCTTCAGCATTTCTTCCAGATTTCTCCACACCTATGGAATATGAACTCTTCTTTGAGTGAGGATTTAAGTTTCAAAATGCCCCACCACGGACAACTATTAAGAAAATGGAAAAGCTCAAAGCCCTTTCAATTTTATCCAAACCAGAAATGCTTTTTCTAATTTTACCTGCAGTTGTCTTCTATATATTGTTTTCATATGAAAACATGAAAAAACATTTTCTACTAGACAGCCAGCTTTACATGGATGTCATTAAGTCATTTCTGCTTGAAATGCTATGGAACTCTGATAAGATACTTAGCTTATACTTCAAGTACTTACCAAACTGTGAAACACAGTTTATCATAACCTTGACTAGAACAATGCCATAAAAGTCAATAGTTTTCACATACAAATGAATTCAATGTCATATTAGCAAGAATTAATGAACTGGGTTACAAAACCTAGGCTTTTACTTTTTGGCGGCTTACAATCAATGATAACTGTAAATAAATTTTTCTAGAATAATTCTTAGAATAACAAGGTAAGTAATATACCTAGCTCTTTGTATCCCGTCCAGTCACTTTTCTCCCACCACTGTCAAGGAAATCAATAAATCCAATTAAATGCATCTACCTGGGATGATACTTAATGGAGTTATAAAAACAATGTCAATGTCACAGAATATCATGACAGTTGACTATGCAGAAGCATATGAACCAGTGGCTAAACCAAATAAAAATTAGACTTCCATAGCATTGCAGAGGAACTATAACACAAAACTGAAAAGACAACACTGAACAAAACATTTAGAATTGAGAAACAAGGAGCCTTGGCATCACATATACATTGCAGAGGAACTATAACCAAAAATATTATCCAATTTTCGACATGCCCAAATCAACAACACTCAAGCATTCAAATTTCATATGATAACTGGTAGCATACCGTTTCTTTCCATTCAGAGGAACAATCATGAGATTGACCTCCCATTCTTGTCCATCTACATCGGTATCCGTTCTCGCCCAGGTCCTCCCCACTTTCTCTATACCAAGTACTCCCATCCTCATTAGTACCAGACTCATTAACATTTTCATTTAACAAACTGATGCCCCAGTCCTTCTCGTTTGCAATACCCGTGTCTACAATAAAACATAAATGTACACAACACTTCTATTAGAGAAATTTAAATGCCATTAGATGTTGTTGCTTATCCATCAAATGCTCTATTAGCCAAAATATTAGTACCTCTTTTTGGCGGACTGTCGCGAGATTGTGGACCTGAATTCCTTGGGGTACAACGAGGAGAAATTTTTTCTTGTTTGGAAGCAAAACAAGATCTACAACAATGTTAATGCAAAACAACATCAATCACAACGCCGACAAAGAGAAATAAAAAATAACAATCATGCATTCATAGTTTTATAATTACAATTTCAACATTATAATAATTTTAGAATTATGTGTATCAACATACTGAGTAGAAGCAAAGGGCAATGCGGAGGAGGCTTGAATTCGGACTCTGTGAGAAGTCTTTTTCTGATCGAACCGCCGTTCCTCACACATCTCCCCAGTCTTTCTCCGAATCGGAACAGCCGAGTCAGAGCAACAACTAGTAATTCGAGCCACCCGGGTTCGGTGTCCCGAAAAACAAAGTCTCTTCCTCTTCCTCAGCTCTTTCAATCCATTGTTACTGTTATAATGTAAACAAGAGATATCCCTCAGTCTGAAATCGAGCTGAGCAGTAGAAGTAGCCGCCATTGATTACGAAAATGCCATAGGGTGAAATGTTATGGGAAATTGAGTTTATTTATAGAAAATAAAAATTAAGAAGAGAAATTCAAAAATAAGCCAATGGGAAAAGTAGAGGGAATTTCGGGGAATCTTTGTGTTGGGTACATTTGAAGAAGAGGGGACTTGAAGTTCGAGTAGAGAAGAAATAGAAATGGTTTCTGAGTTTTCGAGTTTTTGAGTTTCGAAGAGAGAGATCAGATCGGTTAGCGTTTGTTCGGCTACGGCTGCGAATCCCGGGATTTAACATATATACGTGAGCAGATGAGGTCCCACTTTGTATTTTGTATCCGTTACGTCTTTCTGCATTTGCCACGTGTCTCAAATTGAAACGTCAGCTTTTCTCATTCTTTTAAATAATCAAAGTACAGTATTATACAGAACCATGAATGATGAAACAAGATAATAATTTCAAATTTAATACTCATTCCAAAGATCTCGTCCGCAATTAGTTAGATAACTGAGATATTGAGGTCCAATATTCAAATATAAAAACCCTTTAAATGTAATTAAAGGATTTGTCATTTTCACCCCTTGGTTGTATCGAGCATTTGTATTTGTATATTCCAAGTCATCTCTGGAAAGAGGACTTTTCAAACATGGAGAATCTCTGGATTTTCTCGACTAAATCGCTAGTGATAATACCATAGCCATGGGCAATGTAAGTGGATCTCCAAACGACACAATTGGAAAGCAACTTTTAACTTAAGCTGCTGCTGTTAGTTCTTTCTACATCTTATCCAACTAACAAAAACTGTCACCACGTTTCGTCTAATTACTTGCATTTGTTGACACCACGTATCAACAACTTCATTTTGATGACATGGCAAGACATCTGTTGACCCATGAGCTTATAGATAAAGCTAAATACGTGGTATCTTACGTGTTATGGAAAAGGTCACNAGTCATCTCTGGAAAGAGGACTTTTCAAACATGGAGAATCTCTGGATTTTCTCGACTAAATCGCTAGTGATAATGCCCTGGGCAATGTAAGTGGATCTCCAAACGACACAATTGGAAAGCAACTTTTAACTTAAGCTGCTGCTGTTCATTCTTTCTACATCTTATCCAACTACAAAAACTGTCACCACGTTTCGTCTAATTACTTGCAATTGTTGACACCACGTGTCAACAACTTCATTTTGATGACATGGCAAGACATCTGTTGACCCATGAGCTTATAGATAAAGCTAAATACGTGGTATCTTACGTGTTATGGAAAAGGTCACAGAGGATTCATGGTGAAATGAGATGCCACGTTTCAGAACAAAAGGAGAAAACTTGGTTCTCTGCCATCGTATAAGGAAACCAAATAATATATTTTCTGACAATTTTTGGATAAGCTTCATGTCACTTCGACAACTATTTGTAAGTACTAACAAAATTAATTTGTGATCCTCAATAACGTCAAATCCCTGCCATTCAATCGAGATTCGTGGTCGAATTAAAAGGGTTTTCTTAAATGAACAACAATGGCAATCATTTCCGAATAGGAAGCAATCGCCCTGCAATAATTCTCAGCAGAATTTTACGTCATTATACGATTATGAAATTGACCTCAATCAGACTCATCATATAGAATAAAGGTTTTTACCAGATCATCTTAAGCAGACCAATCAATGAATTGTATTACTAATTTGCTAAGCTCTAGTTGAACATTCCAACGGAAGAGTAATTATAACCAAAATGGTTGAACTTACAGAACAATATATCGGGACCAGGAGGAGGATGGTACAGTATGTTAGACAGTGAAGTTTGATGACTGGCAAAAACCTTGAAAACAGTTTGAAATGTTAGTTAAACCACAATCTGCGAATAGACTTGATTAACATAAGAGTAGAAAACACACAAGTAATCCATTTTCAAAACATCACGTTCTTCATGGAAGTTTCTGTTGGGTACTACGCTCTTCCTTGATCCATTATACTTAAGTATCACTGGATGTAATTGATCTCATTATCCGTTGAAGTTCTCTCTGGTACGTCTCTTAAGCAATGGAGACCAACCAGGTTCGCAAGAGATGTAAAGGGACAATTTCTGTTCAACTTCATTTTTTAGAAAGGAAAGGCTTTACTGATTCTACAACTACCTGTAGTGCACAACGAATATTAAAGTAAGTCAATGAGATTCTGCAGAAAATCTAGTAGCAATCACTCTTCTCCAAGAAGATGTCAAGCTTAAATCATGCAGGTAAAAACAAGCACTAAGTATCTATCAAGTTTGTTTAGAAGTTACCGAAGCAAAAAATAAAAAATATTGAATTGTGCATCACAAACAGACAACAAATGCCTACATTTGCAACTGAAGCAACACAACAGAAAAGCATAGAAAACCTAAAGTTAAGGAACATTTTGAAGCATGAGATCACAATGCATTGACATCAAGAAATAAGTATCTAAATTAATTGAACTTAAGGTCCAGGCTAGGACCACAATATGTTAAAGAGCTATGAAACACAGATAGCAAATTTTTGTCTCATGTTTCAGGAAATAAATCTCCAAAAAATAACGCCCTCTCACTATCAAAGATCATTTAATGTCTTACCCTCCCATCATATGACAGAGACGCAAAAATCCAAGGTTCACGAGAACTCCAAGCAAGGCCTGTGGTTACAGTCAAAATCTGGTCAAATTAAGTTTAAGATTCACAGAGTACATAAAACCAGAGGTTCGCAGCAGTTACCATATACACTGTCTTCATAGTCACTATATGAATTAAGTAATGGATTGGCCCTTCGAGTTGGTGATTCTATTGAGCTGTCACAAACACAATATAAACCAATATCAACAGAAGAAATCAAACAGGGAATAAGATGCAACAAAAAGAATTGCAATGCAAGGACCAAAATAGGGAACCTCTCAGATGGCTCGTCCCCACTACTAGACATGGAAGCCAACCACAAATTAACGGTTGAGTCTGTTCCAGCACTCTGCAGCAGTATAAATATGCTTAAATAACTTCAAGATTAAACACAGTACTTTGTTTCATTGATTTAATCACAATCACCAGAAGATATCATGTCCCTTAATCATGAGCATAACTTCGATAGTGCCATGTTAGTTATGCTTGAATGACACAGTGAAGAATGTAATCAGTGTAATCTGACTCATATCTAAACTGTTAAAGAGCTGAAATGAGTAACATTAAGATCCTTTTGCCCTTGAAATTTAGACCAAAAGAACAATAAAATTTTCAACCACTTTTATTAATGGTGTTAAAAGAAGATAATTGAGAGAGAGAGAGAGAGAGAGAGAGAACCAGTAAGAGCCCGTCATATTCAGGACTACAGCTGACAGCCCATGTCCTGTTTTCAAACAGGTTACAATCAAATACTAGTACTGGAATATAAATCTCGATTACAACAGACAAACCAAATGAAAAATCAAAGTCATGTGCATGAAATAATTTTATCCCACACTCACTGAAAGATGAATATTGTAAGTAGGATTTTGTCAATGCATGAGAATTGACAGAGCTGTGAAGTACAGAAATGTAATACCAGTGTGTATGTCCAGGGAGCTCTTGGATAGGTACCTTCAGCTTTCTAAGATCCCATATGTGTATCCCATATTCATCTGCTGCAGTGACCTACAGCAGTAGTAGCAGCGTTATTATGTAAGGAGGTATAAACAGCAGTTTCTAAGCTTCATATATATAAAATAAAAAAAAAATAAAAAAAGGTAAAACAAGCAGTTGAAAAATTGGACTCTTTAGAAGAGCAATAGCAGGCATCTACAAGGATTAATATCAAAAGATGTGACCCTCACAACTTATAAACCCACATCAAGTGAGTAATTTTAGGCATTATTATGTTCTCAATTAGAACTAAAATAAGTCCTTTGTTCTTATTTAAGCTTGATTTTTTTTTATAAAGCAATTAATGTCAAAAAAATAATTTAACTTTTATTTTACTAAAAAATTCACAATGATAGCAATTAAACAGACTTAGGGACATTCAAAGCAGCAATCTTACAAGTATATGCTTCTTCTTTGTGTCATAGTCCATATTGCGGACATGAGCATGCTCAATTGAATTTGTCTTCCTGCAATTATATAGTTCTGCTGTTAGGCACTGTTAAACACTGAGTGATATACATGCCTTGTATAAAGAAGGAAAATCAGAAAACAAAATACCACGCTGATTTGGTTTGAACAAAAAGAGAATCTTAGAACTCAAAAATATTTGTAAACATTTCAAAAAAAGAAATCTTACTAGTTGGAAGATTTGTTGTTTATCAGAAAATGATAATAAAAGAATGGAAGTATAAGCTCTTCAACATCTTTTGGCAACCATGTAGAATTACTGGCATGCATTACTATTTTTATTCACGAAGCAGGAACTTGCCTAAAAGCAACTATATGGATAGACCAATTAATTAATAAAATTAAGTTTGAGGAAAGATAGAGGTAAGGAAAGATAACATACTTCATTGTTCGTAAGTCCCAAAACTGGACTGATGATTCACAAGTTGCTGCAACAGAATTTGCATCATGTGGATCCCATGCCCCACCAGATAAATAGTGCAGCATGCCAGAGGATTCTTTAGATTGTACCTTGATTTCCAAAAAAGATCTGAATAAGTATCAGCACAAGATTTCATAAGCGTTATTAATGATATGATATAGAGTAAATGACACTACAGCAACTAGTGTAAAATTGCTTTCTACTGTCTTCAAACATAAAATTTCACATTAGACTCCGCATACTAAAAAGTAAAAATAAATAAATAAAAGGAATAATAACACAAAAAACTAATCCACCGAAATTCAGTCAGTAGCAGTAAGTAGCAAAGGTGTCAATGTCTTCAACTATAATAAGTCATTAATTTCCACAAACTAAACCAAAACTAGAAATCGATATTTGAGTCACCATAGAAGTTATACCTGGGCAGCCTTTTTTGAGCAATCTAAGCTCCACAAGAAAAGATTTTCCTCGTCAATGCTTATCAACTTATCATGTCTTCCAGATGGCCACCAAAGAATACTGTCAAGGATACATATTTGTATGTTAAGGAAACAGAAAATATGCCCCACTCAAAAAGAAAATGCACTCCATAATAAATAGACAAATCATATTACTTATACAAGACAAAAGGAAATGTGATAGTCAAACAAGAGATGGTAAATTGATGCAATAAAAAAACAATGCGTATGGTTAAATGAAGATAATAAACTCACCAATTAATCTTACCAACATGTGCATCAAGCGCGGCAATTCGTTCCAGCTGAGGTGAATTTAACTGACCATACAGCTCAGGGATTTGCCATATTGCTGCTCCGTATGATTCACCTATTTAACAACGTGTTAAACAAAGTCAAATCTTTCTCTATCTAAAATTGCAAATGATAGAAAAGAGAATACAGATCAGTCAGTTACCAGAGGAGAAGACAGTTGAGAAAATGCGTTGATCGAACGGGCAAGAACCAAGGTCCCAGATCTCGTTAGGATGCGAGAACAGACCCTCGCATATGAGCTCGGTTCCACCTGATGAAAGCCTAAGCAAATGCACCTGGTAAATTCCAAATTCATTAGATCTAATTACCAAATATCTTTACCAGGTTTGGCAATACAAAATCATGATAAATATTAAGAAAAATCAAAATTACAAAACCTCATTTTCTTCTTTGAGACTGAGAGTTCCAGTGAGGAAGCTAGTATGATCTGTGTCAGCTTTAACATCCGATATGCATCTAGCCTGTAAGAAGACATAAATTTAGACTCATCTAAATCGGGTTTTACTGTTCTGCGAGAGATTTAAAAACGAACCTGATATTTGAGACCATAACCAATACCAGATGATCCTCCTTGCATTGTTACACTTCCAGGTGCCGATATCCCAGCCAAACCAAGACGTTGATTAACTAGCCAATGCCTTCGGTTTTTCCTGCATTTCTTTATGAATTATAACATGGGTTTGTTTTAAGGCCTTTTCAAGCCCATTCGTTACCTCATGAGGGATCGAAACTGATGGCGATGGCCCATTAAATCGGTCCTGCTAACTTGGGCTGGTTGGCTCGAGACCCACGCGGCTGCACGTCGGCAGATGCATGCTCTAATCATTCATTAAACTTGGACTTGACTACCTTAATTAATCTTCCAGCGTGATTAACTCTAACATGCGCTTAATTGCGTTTCAAATCAAATCAAATAATAAATAAATATTCGGATAAATCAACCACCCACGAATTGGATCTAGAAATTTGAATATGACCCCAATCTAAAGAAATTATAAATGAACTTGTTGACCTCGATACAAAAAACCGGGGGCTTTTCATGTCAAAACAGAGAACTTCCTTAGGGTATCTTCAAATAACTCTTTAAATAATTTAGAGTGTATTTGGTTTAATATTTCTACCCATATTTTCAATCTTATTCCCCAAATATTGTTTGGCACATTATTCCATAAATATTACTATATTTTTTAATTACTTTTAGACTCCTTAAGTTTATTAATTTCATTAAATACTCTCCAAAAAAAGTTTAAAAATTAACAAAAATACCAACTCATCAACCCATACTTGCCAGATTCCGACAACCACCGTCGGTGATAGTCGGAATCTGTACAACGGCCTATACCACGCGCGGCCATACCACCATTGCCGGGTAGTTCACCGATCTGGCCGTCAACGACAGCCAAAGAAATGGTTGTCGTTTTGGCTTTTTCGGCAGTCGACGGCCACAGCAGGCCATAGATCTGGCCTTTTCGGCCAGATCCGTAACGACGCGTTACAACACAGATCTGATCGGTTTGTGTTGTAACGCAATTTTTCGGCCAGATTCCAAGTGGTGGCTGGAATTTGGCACTGCGGGTGGTGGGGGTGGGGGTATTTTTGTCATTTTATATGTTGGGTGTTTAATTAATTAGTAAACCTAGGGCTTTTTTATAAATTTTTAAATTTTACCTCGTAATACTCCCCTACTCAACTACCTAATATTATTCTCAAAATCTTATCCAAAATAATAAACCAACGCCACCCTTAGGGTCCGTTTATTTTATTATTGGGAATAATATTGGGTAGTTGAATAGGAGATTACGAGGTAAAATTTAAAAATTTTAAAAACAAAACCCCCTAGGTTTGCTAATTTAACTAAACACCCAAAATATAAAATTTTTTAAAATGACAAAACACCTCCTATTATCTGCTTGCCAGATTTCGACCACCACCACCGGAATCTGGCCGAAAAATTGCATTACGACATAGACCCATCGATCTGGTCGGTAGGCCATCGATATGGCCTTTTCCAGCCAGATCCCCACGAACTAGTCGAAAAGGCCAGATCTACGGCTATTTCTTTGGTCGTCGCTGACGGCCAGATCTGGTCAGAAAAGGCCATTTGTGGAATTACCTGCCAGTTCCGGTCGTGGTGTAGGCCGTTGTGACAGATTTCGGCTACCACCACATGGTTGCTGGAATCTGGCAAGTATGGGTGGGTGGGGTGTTTTTGTTAATTTTTAAACTTTTTTCTTGGGGTATTTATAAATTAATAACTTAAGGGTCTAAAGTAATAAAAATATACTAATATTTCTCAAATATGTGCCAAACAATATTTTGGGAATAAGATTGGAAATATAGTAAATATGTGTCAAACCACTCTTATAAAGAGTTTATCTATAAAAACAAGAGTCTACAAACTCTTTATTTTTAAATATATAAAGAGTGAATTTAGCTCTCCACATTTAAGAGTCAACTTTCACTCTTTATCTTAATTTAAATAATAAATTAGAAGTTTCTATGTATTTTATTTATGTTATCTCTCTTATTAAGTTTTTTTTCTTAAAAAATATATTCTCTCTCTTAAAATTTAAAGAGTCTATTAGATTTGAATAAAATTTTATTCTTTTATTTAAAATTATAAAGATGTTCTTATTTATATGAAATATTTTTTTAAAATAAAGAACACTATTAAAGAGTTCATACAAATTAATTACGTGGTTAAATTCTGCGCACGGAGTGCTTGTACTGTCTAATTATAACTTTCTATTCATGGCAGAGCATGATCTAACACTACACTAGTAGACTTTAATTATGATCAAATGTCATGGAAATCAGCATATGCTTGACCCATTTTGGGTCACTCTTTTTATGTCCATAAACTGGTAATAAAAATCCAAGTACGATAAATTCATTGAAGTTGACTACATATTTAGTGAAGTGGCATTGTAAGTATCATCGGTTACGGTGTCGTTTTTAATTAACTCCTATATAATAAACTTAAAAGAAGAACGTGGGCAGGCTTATTAAATTTGGCGATTAATTATTTAATTAGTTGTAGAGTAACTAGAGATAATTTATTTAGTTGATAAAAGGATATGGTTGGTTGAGGATAAATATACGCTTGACGGTAAAGCACAAGCATAAATTTCAGGAATTTGTAAAAACAAACCCGAACAGTTTTGTAAATACCACCTAACTTCATCTAATCACGCTAAAAGACGGTGTCATCTTACTTCACAACTACTAAAACCAAAAGCTGACTCTTCGTTTTCTTTTTCTATAGTCTCCTAAGATCTCTCAACCTCTGTTAATATCTTTTATGGATGAAGCCAAACCCAAACCCAAACCCAAACCCAAGATCCAAACGGTTTTGTTGAAGAACAAGTCGACGAAGAAAAGAAAGAGATGCTAAAGCTAAAGAGTCCACAAAAAGCTACCATGCAGATTACTAGATGGGTTTCGGATCTTGATTGGCGTCTCCTCTTGTTAATAATCCCTTCTTTATCTGTTCTTGTGTTTCTTTCTTTATCTTCTACACCTATCGACTCATTTCCTTCTCTCCGATCTTTTATTTTCAACCATACCCTCCTTACTTCTAATTCACCCGATTTCGTAAATTCGCTGCCGAGTGGTGTCCATAATCGGAGGGAATCGTCGGTGGCTAAGTGGAAAGATGAGTTGCTTCGGTCTCGAATGGCGGTGTGTTTGGTGGGTGGGGCCAGGAGGTTCGAACTCACTGGACCATCGATAGTGGAGAACATTCTCCAAGTCTATCCAAACGCGGACCTATTTTTGCACAGTCCGATGGACAGAAATGCTTACAAGTTTTCATTGTTAAAGATGGCGCCCAGGCTGGCATCGGTTCGAATCTTCAACCCCAAACCCTTGAATGAGACCGAGTCTCAAGTCCGAGTACTCACCGCCGCCAACTCACCCAATGGCATCCAGGTTTCTATTTCTTCCCTCACTCAAAATTAGAAATTCAAATATTAATTAAAAAAATTAATTATTTGTTGGAAAATGTGACTTTAACTTAAGGGATAAAATAAATACGTGGTGGTTGTATCCGTATCACCTTACTTGTTTCTATCTCCAAATGGTCCAGCAATGTAAAGCTATTAATGTGTTGATTTTTTCAATTTGATTTTAAATTAATTTTATTTAATTACAAATAAAAGTAATTAATTAATTTTTTTTTTTTTTTTTTTTTTGAATTTTACTAAGATGCCCAGAGGACGGACTGACTCATCTCTTCTGTTTATTTAATGAAAAAAGTCCTCCTGTCTTTGTTGAATAATCACACTCATTCAAACATATGGGGCCGCCTCCGCCTCATCACGCACGATTCCTATCACTGATACGAGCCATGTGTTCAATATTCTCTTTATTATATACTGGGGGTTGTATTTGTCAATTTACTTTTCTTTTTTTTTTTTTTTTGTGGGGACCATGCAGGGTCTGCTGCAATACTTCAATCTCGTTGAAGGATGTTTGCAAATGATTGAAACGTACCAAAAAAGAAAAAACTTCACATACGATTGGATAATCCGAACCCGAGTTGATGGATACTGGAACGCTCCATTAGGACCCGAGAATTTCATTCCGGGTCAATACCTTGTCCCGCCCGGATCGGACTACGGTGGACTCAACGACCGACTCGGCATTGGCGATCTCAACACGTCTAAAGTTGCACTTGCACGCCTCTCCCTTATCCCCAAACTTGACTCGGCTGGGTTTCACCAACTCAATTCGGAGACTTCATTCAAAGCCCAACTCACCACCCAACACGTGCCGTACCTCACAAAACGGGTTCCGTTTTGTATCGTGACGGATAGAAGATATGGATTCCCGCCGTCTCGGTTTGGTGTACCCGTGGCCGCGCTGTCTAGTCCGGGCCCACTGAGTGGGGCCAAGTGCAGACCTTGTACGGCCGCGTGTCAAGGGCGGTGCGTGGCTGGCGTTATGCGATCGCTCTATAAAGGTTGGAGTTGGACGGACTGGGATAATGGGAGTCTTGAGTTGTGTAATGCTCGTGACCAATGGGAGAGAGGTTGGGAGAAGATTTTTGATAAAGTTGCTGGGAAGAAATCTGCGTCTGTAAGGAAAAAATTTGCGGATTTAAAAAAGAAAGAATGTGTTGATGATTTTAATGAGATGAAGAAACGGGTTTCTAACTGGGAGGCTCCGCCGCCGGAGGAATTATGTGGGCTTGGTTTAGCCGTTTAGGATCTTAGAAACCATGGGATGGGGGGGGGGGGGGGGGGGGGGGGGCAGAGATTGTTTCTGTAAAAAGCGAAAAGAAGAGGGGGTGTTTTTGGCTTTCTAAGAAATTAGTTGTTGATTTATACCAATATAATTTCACATGTTTTATTCTACCAATAGAAGAAAGTAGTTATTTAATTAGTTAACTTACTCGTTTGATGAATATTCCATTTCCATTTCCCATTGCTGGCATTTGGCAGGCCGGCTATTAGTGTATCATTACAACGTACCATTTATAAAATGGAGTAATATGTGGTTTAGATTTTGTCCTTTTTCCTTTTCCATTAAACTTACAGAAATAGCATTCCAAAATCAGTGGTAGAAATTAGAAAGTCTAGCACACATGCACGCTACGACTTCAGCATAAAAAACGATTACAATTTACAAGGAACGTGAACTCAACTAATACGACCACGCACATTAACTCTATAACAGCTGAACTGATCTGTTGTGTTGGGTGTTATCATTTCTTATTCTAAGCATGCGTCGTTATTGTAATTAAAATTTAATCAGCTCAAACGAAAGGCCCCCCACCACCCAGTGAGTGAGGCAGTTTGCCAACAATCAGATAGATGTTCTCGCGTTGGATGAGTTGACGTATTATGATTCATAGATGACATTGTAACAAACTAGAAGTGAAAAGTACCAACAAACTTAAATCATAAAAGCCAAAATGAAATTCTTGAACAACAACGGTTATGATTTACTGAATGTAAGATTGGCCAGTGATGTCAATGTCACGGTCGCCTGATGAAGGTGGAGGTGGGTGCTTGGGCTTGATGTCAGGCCCAACAGGCCCATCAGCACTCTGGGTTTCACTGGCGGGGCGCTTTTCTGGTTTTTTCTCAAGTCCCGGTTCTTTTCCGTACATTCCACCGCCATAGGCTTCACGGGTCAGCGGTTTCATCGGTGAAATATTAAGGGGCTGGTGTTGGTTTCCATCCTCTGCGCGGCTTCTGTTATCATCCTTTTCCATTGTTTACCTTACACTTCCTCACACCATCCTTACCCTTTTGTACTGCTTACTCCTCGCGGTCATTCAGGACACGTGTTACCATTTGCCTACGTGGCGTATATAAAAACAAACAACGTTACCCATTGCATGCAACTGGAGTGTCTTCTTAGTGGTTTCAAAAGATTAAGGCCCAACGCCAGTGCAAGTAGGGCCATAAGCCCGTAAGTTTTTCATCTGGGCTGATGCTTTGGCCCATCAGTGTTGATGCGGGTCTAACAGCCGGTTCCAGGCTTCCAGCATCAATGACGAAAAGGGTTCTCGATAAACCGTAACAGTAAACTTGGCGAATTTTGGTTTGTCCACGTGGCACATAAAGAATTATTGTGGATTTTCTTTTTCTTTATTACGTCCTTATCCTCGGGGTTACCTACCAAAAGAAGAATTCTTAAAGCGCATAAAGTCGTTCCATAATTATACAAGATGGTGAGATATCTATTTCTTTTTCCACGGTGAAATGCCTTCTCACCAATCCCACCGCACCACGTGGGGCTGACTCAATGCCCCCAATGCCAATTCACAATTATGTTAATCGGCCTTTGCAAATGCGAAAACGTGAATTTCAAAAAAGCTTGAGGTTGAGTTTCTTTCATGCATGCTAACGCCATTTCCCCAAAGAATCTCGTGCTCATTTCGAAAATCTTATCTCAAATTTTTTAATTGAAGTCTTCGAGGACAACTTCTTCAAAGCCTATCTGTCATGTCTCGTCGTTGCCAAGTATTCATGTCTTTGATTCTAAAACTACAGGACTTGACTTCAGTTAAATTAACGGGCAGTTTGGACTTTGGATGGTCAAACTCAGACCTAACATTTATTCAACTCGGTTAAGAAAGGAAAAGAATTTTATTAATGAACGGCCAAGTCATTTTGCTCAAACACTACAGGTGTTAAGCTTATCCTTGAACGCTTTCTAAAACGGTTGTATCAAATTATCAATAGTCATGCCACCTCAATCCTCAAGTCTTGTTCTTTTTAAACATATTAATATAGAGCCACTAAGCCTTTTGTTTAGGTACGTATAACAATAAAGCAAAGCGTGAAAGACATGTTCCCACCCAAGGTTTGGCGAGATGACAAGTTTTCACTTCTAGTTTTATAAATTTTAGATTCTCACCCTTAAACCAAAACTGTTATCAACTTTTAACCTCTAAATTAATAAATTATTTCTTAACTCTCAAATTAATAGAGGACGCATTATAGCAAGAGGTTATGCACGTTAGCAAATGTCGCCACCTACTTTTTTTGTTGTTTTTCGATGATGATGGCTTTCCCCATCACCAACAAACTTCTCCTCGAGTCTCACACACCAAAACCCCATCGACCCCACCAATTGTCGGATTCTAGCTTATTTGTGATTCGCCCATCCATCCCTCTCATTCCGACAAATCCCAACCACCAAAATCCATCCTTTCATCGTGCCCATAGTCTCACCGACCTCTTCTCTTCAAAAGCCCCAACAACCAAAACCGTGTTAGCTCTCCAATTGTCGGCGACCTCCTCTAGGTTTTCTTGTGGGTTTTTGTGAATTTGGGTTTAAATTGGAGTTTTTGGGGTGGATGATTGTTTTGAAGTGTTTTGTTATGTTTGGGTGTTTTTTTCTGGCTGATTAATTTCNAATGAAATTCTTGAACAACAACGGTTATGATTTACTGAATGTAAGATTGGCCAGTGATGTCAATGTCACGGTCGCCTGATGAAGGTGGAGGTGGGTGCTTGGGCTTGATGTCAGGCCCAACAGGCCCATCAGCACTCTGGGTTTCACTGGCGGGGCGCTTTTCTGGTTTTTTTCTCAAGTCCCGGTTCTTGTCCGTACATTCCACCGCCATAGGCTTCACGGGTCAGCGGTTTCATCGGTGAAATATTAAGGGGCTGGTGTTGGTTTCCATCCTCTGCGCGGCTTCTGTTATCATCCTTTTCCATTGTTTACCTTACACTTCCTCACACCATCCTTACCCTTTTGTACTGCTTACTCCTCGCGGTCATTCAGGACACGTGTTACCATTTGCCTACGTGGCGTATATAAAAACAAACAACGTTACCCATTGCATGCAACTGGAGTGTCTTCTTAGTGGTTTCAAAAGATTAAGGCCCAACGCCAGTGCAAGTAGGGCCATAAGCCCGTAAGTTTTTCATCTGGGCTGATGCTTTGGCCCATCAGTGTTGATGCGGGTCTAACAGCCGGTTCCAGGCTTCCAGCATCAATGACGAAAAGGGTTCTCGATAAACCGTAACAGTAAACTTGGCGAATTTTGGTTTGTCCACGTGGCACATAAAGAATTATTGTGGATTTTCTTTTTCTTTATTACGTCCTTATCCTCGGGGTTACCTACCAAAAGAAGAATTCTTAAAGCGCATAAAGTCGTTCCATAATTATACAAGATGGTGAGATATCTATTTCTTTTTCCACGGTGAAATGCCTTCTCACCAATCCCACCGCACCACGTGGGGCTCACTCAATGCCCCCAATGCCAATTCACAATTATGTTAATCGGCCTTTGCAAATGCGAAAACGTGAATTTCAAAAAAGCTTGAGGTTGAGTTTCTTTCATGCATGCTAACGCCATTTCCCCAAAGAATCTCGTGCTCATTTCGAAAATCTTATCTCAAATTTTTTAATTGAAGTCTTCGAGGACAACTTCTTCAAAGCCCATCTGTCATGTCTCGTCGTTGCCAAGTATTCGTGTCTTTGATTCTAAAACTACAGGACTTGACTTCAGTTAAATTAACGGGCAGTTTGGACTTTGGATGGTCAAACTCAGACCTAACATTTATTCAACTCGGTTAAAAGAATTTTATTAATGAACGGCCAAGTCATTTTGTTCAAACACTACAGGTGTTAGCTTATCCTTGAACAATTTCTGAAACGGTTGTATCAAATTATCAATAGTGATGCCACCTCAATCCTCAAGTCTTGTTTTTTTTAACAAATTAATATAGAGCCACTAAGCCCTTTCTTTAGGTACCTACAACAATAACGCAAAGCGTAAAAGACATGTTCTCACCCGGTGAAATGACAAGTTTTCACTTCTAGTTTTATAAATTTTATATTCTGACCCTTAAATTAATACTATTATCAATTTTTAATATCTAAATTAATAAATTATTTCTTAACTCTCAAATTAATAGAGGATGCATTATAGCAGGAGGCGATGCACATTAGCAAATGTCGCCATCTGCTTTTTTCCGGTGGCTTTCTCCATCACCAACAAATTTCTCCCCGAGTCTCAAACACCAAAACCCCATCGACCACACCAATTGCCATATTCTAGCTGATTTGTGATTCAGCCATCCATCCCTCTCGTTCCGACCAATCCCAACAACCAAAATTCACCCTCTCACCGTGCCCATAGTCTCACCAACCTCTTCTCTTCAAAAGCCCCAACAACCCAAACCGTGTTAGCTCTCCAATTGTCAGGGACCTCCTCTAGGTTTTCTTGTGGGTTTTTGTGAATTTGGGTTTAAATTGAAGTTTTTGGGGTGGATGATTGTTTTGAAGTGTTTTGTGATGTTTGGGTATTTTTTTCTGGCTGATTAATTTCCTCTTGCCGATGACTCACCATCCCCCTCCCGAAGAAAGAGAAGAGTAAACAATGAGTTTTTTGTGAATTTTGGTTTAAATTGGAGTTTTTCTACTATTTTGTACAATGACCACTTTGTCTTTTGACCATTATGTTAAATGATTTTCTATTAATTTAAGGGTATTAATATGGAATTTATACAACCAGAGGTGAGAACTTGCCATTTTACAAAACCTTCGGTGGGAACATGTCGTTTACTCTAAAGAAAACTTAATTGCATGCCTTTCCATGATATTATTATTATTATTATTATTATTATTATTTTGGCCCTCCTAATTAGGACCACTAGAAGTACTTAATTAGATCATCAAACGTGGAAGTTGGCATCGTATTTTTAAATTTCAAGAGTTGTATGCAACTACGTTGCAATTGGATTTATTAATTTTACCTATTACATTAAAAGATATTTAATATTATTATTATTTTATACTTCTAATTTCAAAATAATCCATTCCATTAACTGCCCATAAACTAAAAGTCGTTACGATGTGTAACATGTGTGTAAGTGTTATGGTTAAGCTTATCCTTGTATTGTTCTCGGCTATATGATTGTCTATTTAATTAAAATCATCAAAAAAACTTGCAGAACGTGATACAAATAAACCTCCATGTCCAGCATATCTCGTGAAGAACGGTATCCATGGATTAAAATAATGCAGCTCTTTCTATTATATCTGTAGAGATAATTTGCAAATCCACTAACCTAACAATCCACAATTCCACACACACAACACACACAATCAAACTGTAAAAGAATCAAGAACACAGATTTTACAATGGTTTACTTAACCAATATAGGATAACCTACATCCACGTTGAGCTCCAGTAAATTTGGGATTTACTGCAATAAAGATTAAGTTTCTACACCAATACAACCAAGATTTACACCCAATCAGTTCACACTCTGAGAAATTCTCTCTCACAATAAACTGCAATCTTTCCTATGAGAATACTACACCCAGATTCTCAAGACTCAAGGGAAACTCAACCCTCAACACATGATTACAACCAATCGCTCAAGATTACAACATATCAAAGAGATTCACAACAAAACCTAACAGAGGATTCTCTAAAACTAAAGAACTGTATGAACAACCTCTTCTTCGACAAAATGAATCGCTCGATCTATACTGTTTTGAGGTGGGATAACTCTGGCCGTCAGATGCTGAATTCTTTCAATGGTCAGGATCTCCCCTTGTGGCAGTCTGCTTAAAACGACAGCGTTGAACTTAAAGTTCAATGATGCCGTTTTTGTGCTTCACATTAACAATAACCATGAAGAGTAAACCACTTTTTTTCACTCACAAATTTTTAAAATATCACTTTATTAATCAAATGTATATTCTGTTTTTTATTTCGACATCGTTCCGACCCGCACTACCACCATTCTCTTCACCAATCATCATTCACCAAAACTCTTCAAACCCTACTCCCTCCAATCCCGCTAATCATAGGCAATTAAACGATTAAGGTTTGCGTAATCGCTTCTCTTAAATCAAATTCTGATCAATCTCAACTACCAAAATCCAATCTTTTACCCCAAAAGACTCATCGGTCTCCTCTCTTCAAAAAACCCTAATAGTCTTGACTGAGTTTACTCTCTATTTACTATTAAAATATAAATTTGGATAATAAAATGATATTTTAAAAGTAACACTATACATATATTATTTTCATACAACATTTCCCATACAACATTAGGTGGCAAGATATGATTGGCTAATTTAAAGTTAAAATTAAAATTTTACCCAATCATATCTTACTACCACATAATGTTGTATGGAAAATATTGTATGAAAATAATGTATGTATAGTATTATTTATTTTAAAACTATCGTGGTTGGGAAAGTGTCATTAACCCATTATTTGGGTGGGAAGTAGTCGTTAACTCTAACCATGAATGAATAAATGTCTAAACCTTTCCCTAAGTGGGCAGATAGTTAACTGTTATTCGATCTCAAACATTTGACTTTTAAAGATTCATATGATATTTCCCCGGATTCTAATCTCCTTACAGTCTTTTTGATCAAGTTCCAAGTCCCCAAGTTTAATTATTATGTGCTACGCGCAATCTTCTTCGAAGTCATAACACAGCAGGTTTCAGTTTCCAGCGAAGCGAGGAGCTCAAGATTGGCACCTTGGCAGGCACTCCTGGTTTCGGATCCACTTGCATTAACTTTTAATTATAATTAATCGAACTACGCGTATAACAGTTTATCAAATCTCTGGCTGTTTTAATCTCTCGAGAGTTGATGGTATTTGTGACAGCTGAGCTAGCTCATTAAAATGCATCAATTTGTGTTGTATGATTGATTCGGTTTGAACACGTAGGAATAAACATGGAGATGACTGAACAGTCATGGTCTCTCCAGATTTTTTGAAGGCCAACCCACACCGCTTATCGCCATATATTTGAACTGATTTTAAGGCAGACATACCACAAACTTGCCAAATAGGTCCAACGATGGGTGTCGGCCTGCCTCTTATGTATGCGATTGCCAGTTGAAAATAAAAACATTTATCCTGGTTATTGGGTTAAAGGCTCGAGGTTTTGTTTCCATTGTTTTTTGGTAGTAGCTGGACTGGATTTACAGCAAGGACGAATGAAAAATGGAGGCATATGCATCAGTGTTCAAGAAAAGCCAGCGTGTTAAAACCACGTGGTGTCTGCTCTCCACAGGAAAAGGAACCCATTAACGCCTCGGTTTGCAGGCCTAAACCCACATGATTAAGCTTAACAGCTATAATTATTCGCGGATCAAGTCTCTTCTCACTAACCCCCTCGTGCGCCTTAGTTGTCTTCCCTTTATATACCTATTCTTCATTTCATTTCTTCCTCGCCAAAACAAAAACCCACCAGAGATAAAAAGTTTTATTATTCAATTCCCAACACTAATACCACTGTTATATACTACAGAAATGGTAGGCGTGTTCAAGCGTTCTCTTTCGTTTCCGAACAAACATCCCAACCGTCTATCGAAACCACCCATATCTCATCACATTAGATCCATCAGTCTTCCATGCAGATCACATCCTTTGATTTCCCAGATCAAAAATGAGATCAATGAGCTCAAAACGTGGTCGTCCAAATCCGATAATCGAACATCGGCTTGGCTGTGTGACGGCTTGGGTCGTCTCAAAGACGTTCATGACTCTCTTGATGATATTCTCCAGCTCCCTCAAACACAAGACTCTCTTCGTAACCAACACGACTGGGTCGAGAAGCTTCTCGAAGATTTGCTTCGTTTTGTTGATGTTTATGGCATCTTTCAGACATCAGTTTTGGCACTTAAAGAAGAGCAGTTCGCTGCACAGGTGGCTATAAGAAAAAAAGATGATTCAAGAATAGCTTTGTATTTAAAAGCTAGAAAAAAGATGGCTAAAGAGATGGTTAAACTTGTATCAACAGTTGGATGTATCGGTCAGTACCCAGTTCCAAGATCCATGTTGGTGTCAATTGCAAATACTGAGTTGGCTGGTGTGGTGAGTGATGTTGTGGAGGTGACAGTGTTGGTTACAGCAGCTCTTTTTAATGGAATTTCATCATCATTTGCGTCGAGAAAATCTTCTTGGATGGGGTTGACGTTAAGCAAGAAGGCTAAGAAAATGAAGGTTGAAGAATTTCAACAAGTTGGTGTAGAGAGCTTGTGGGGATTGAGAAAGAAGGGTGATGAAGACATAACAATGGTCTTGAAGAAAATGCAGCATTTGGAAGGTTGTATTTGCAGCGTTGAAAGTGTTAGTGAGAAAGCATTTAGGAGTCTGATCAACACTAGGGTTTCACTACTCAACACTCTCACCCAGCAGTAGAGAGAAAACAAAACCATAACAAAAGAGATAGACTTGAATTTTTTTTCCACCTTTTTTCACTTCCACTTTCACTTAATTTCCTTCTCCTTATGTTTCATTTACTTAGAACGAAATGAGATACGTCCAAGCTAGTCTCCAGATGTGAACATAAAAGGAATGGAATGCTGTACAGTTTAGAATTTCTGTAAATTGATTGTCTTCAGACTTCAATTATATATACTTCATAATTCATAAAATGAATAACTGGTTCTTATACATAGTTAATTCACTTCTAAATCGGCATTACATGAAATTTTCCTTCCATTAATCTCTTTATACAAAGTACGCTAGTTGGCTACCACATGTTTCTCAAATAAAAAAAAAAGAATTTCTTTTGGCAAGATGATCCTACAGCAATCTTCCAAAATTTCAAGCCTTTAGACGTTTATCCCTTTTGTTTTGTTGTTTTGTAAGTAACCTGATCATGTGCATTACATTTAGATCATAATTAAGAAAACGATTATGGCATAGGGATTAGGGAAAAGAATCCTGCATGTAGAATAAGTTACCCATTTGAAAAATAAATATGTTTTCGTATAAAGTAGGTCGATTACGTGATTGGATAAGATCTAATTCTAACTAGATGGGTTTCGGATCTTGATTGGCGTCTCCTCTTGTTAATAATCCCTTCTTTATCTGTTCTTGTGTTTCTTTCTTTATCTTCTACACCTATCGACTCATTTCCTTCTCTCCGATCTTTTATTTTCAACCATACCCTCCTTACTTCTAATTCACCCGATTTCGTAAATTCGCTGCCGAGTGGTGTTCCATACGGAGGGAATCGTCGGTGGCTAAGTGGAAAGTGAGTTGCTTCGGTCCGAATGGCGGGTGTTTGGTGGGTGGGGCCAGGAGGTTCGAACTCACTGGACCATCGATAGTGGAGAACATTCTCCAAGTCTATCCAAACGCGGACCTATTTTTGCACAGTCCGATGGACAGAAATGCTTACAAGTTTTCATTGTTAAGATGGCGCCAGGCTGGCATCGGTTCGAATCTTCAACCCCAAACCTTGAATGAGACCGAGTCTCAAGTCCGAGTACTCACCGCCGCCAACTCACCCAATGGCATCCAGGTTTCTATTTCTTCCCTCACTCAAAATTAGAAATTCAAATATTAATTAAAAAAATTAATTATTTGTTGGAAAATGTGACTTTAACTTAAGGGATAATAAAACGTGGTGTGTATCCGTATCACCTTACTTGTTTCTATCTCCAAATGGTCAGCATTAAAGCTATTACCGTGTGATTTTTTCAATTTGATTTTAAATTAATTTTATTAATTACAAATAAAGTAATTAATTAATTATTTTTTTTTTTTTTTTTTTTTGAATTTTACTAAGATGCCGGAGGACGGCTCATCTCTTCTGTTTATTTGATATGAAAAAAGTCCTCCTGTCTTTGTTGAATACACAATCATCAAACATATGGGCCGCCTCCGCCTCATCACGCACGATTCCTATCACTGATACGAGCCACGTGTTCAATATCTCTTTATTATACTTGGGGTTGTATTGTCAATTTACTTGTTTTTTTTTTTTTTTTTTTTTGTGGGGACCATGCAGGGTCTGCTGCAATACTTCAATCTCGTTGAAGGATGTTTGCAAATGATTGAAACGTACCAAAAAGGAAAAACTTCACATACGATTGGATATCCGAACCCGAGTTGATGGATACTGGAACGCTCCATTAGGACCCAGAATTTCATTCGGGTCAATACCTTGTCCCGCCCGGGATCGGACTACGGTGGACTCAACGACCGACTCGGCATTGGCGATCTCAACACGTCTAAAGTTGCACTTGCACGCCTCTCTCTTATCCCCAAACTTGACTCGGCTGGGTTTCACAACTCAATTCGGAGACTTCATTCAAAGCCCAACTCACCACCCAACACGGCCGTACCTCACAAAACGGGTTCGTTTTGTATCGTGACGGATAGAAGATATGGATTCCCGCCGTCTCGGTTTGGTGTACCCGTGGCCGCGCTGTCTAGTCCGGGCCCACTGAGTGGGGCCAAGTGCAGACCTTGTACGGCCGCGTGTCAGGGCGGTGCGTGGCTGGCGTTATGCGATCGCTCTATAAAGGTTGAGTTGGACGGATTGGGATAATGGGAGTCTTGAGCTGTGTAATGCTCGGACCATGGGAGAGAGGTTGGGAGAAGATTTTTGATAAAGTTGCTGGGAAGAAATCTGCGTCCGTAAGGAAAAGATTTGCGGATTAAAAAAGAAAGAATGTGTGATGATTTTAATGAGATGAAGAAACGGGTTCTAACTGGGAGGCTCCGCCGCCGGAGGAATTAGTGGGCTTGGTTTAGCCGTTTAGGATCTTAGAACCATGGGTGGGGGGGTGGGGTGGGGTGGCAGAGATTGTTTCTGTAAAAAGCGAAAAGAAGAGGGGGTGTTTTTGGCTTTCTAAGAATTAGTGTTGATTATACCAATATATTTCACATGTTTTATTCTACCAATAGAAGAAAGTAGTTATTTATTAGTTAACTTGTTTGATGAATATTCCATTTCCATTTCCCATTCCTGGCATTTGGCAGGCCGGCTATTAGTGTTCATTACAATACCATTTATAAAATGGAGTAATATGTGGTTTAGATTTTGTCCTTTTTCCTTTTCCTTAAACTTACAGAAATAGCATCCAAATCAGTGGTAGAAATTAGAAAGTACCACACTGACGCTACGACTTCAGCATAAAAACGATTACAAGAACGGGAACTCACTAATACGACCACACATAACTCTATAACAGCTGAACTGATCTGTTGGTGTTGGGTGTATCATTTCTTATTCTAAGCATGCGTCGTTATGTAATTAAAATTTAATCAGCTCAGATAGATGTTCTCGCGTTGGATGAGTTGACGTATTATGATTCATAGATGACATTGTAACAACTAGAAGTGAAAAGTACCAAAACTGAAATTCTATAAAAAACCAAACGGTTATGATTTACTGAATGTAAGATTGGCCAGTGATGTCAATGTCACGGTCGCCTGATGAAGGTGGAGGTGGGTGCTTGGGCTTGATGTCAGGCCCATCAGCACTCTGGGTTTCACTGGCGGGGCGCTTTTCTGGTTTTTTTCAAGTCCCGGTTTTTCCGTACATTCCACCGCTATATGGCTTCACGGGTAGACGTTTGTTATCATCCTGTTTCATCCTTTGTTTACCTTACACTTCCTCACACCATCCTTCCCTTTTGTACTGCTTACTCCTCCGCGGTCATTCAGGACACGTGTTACCATTTGCCTACGTGGCGTATATAAAAAACAACGTTACCCATTGCATGCAACTGTGTCTCTTAGTGGTTTCAAAAGATTAAGCCCAACGCCAGTAAGTAGGGCCATAAGCCCGTAAGTTTTTCATCTGGGCTGACGCTTTGGCCCATCAGTGTTGATGCGGGTCTAACACCGTCGGTTATGACGAAAAAGGTTCTATAAACTAACAGTAAACTGGCGAATTTTGGTTTGTCCACGTGGCACATAAAGAATTTTTGGATTTTCTTTTTCTTTATTACGTCCTTGTCCGCGGGTTACCTACCAAAAAATTCTTAAAGCCATAAAGTCATTCCATAATTATACAACATGGTGGATACCTATTTCTTTTTCCACGGTGAAGATGCCTTCTTACCAATCCACCGCACCACGTGGGGCTCACTCAATGCCCCCATGCCAATACAATTATGTTAATCGGCCTTTGCAAATGCGAAAACGTGAATTAAAAAAGCTTGAGGTTGAGTTTCTTTCATGCATGCTAAGCCATTTCCCCAGAATCTCGTGCTCATTTCGAAAATCTTATCTCAAATTTTTTATTTGAAGTCTTCGAGGACAACTTCTTCAAAGCCATCTGTCATGTCTCGTCGTTGCCAAGTATTCGTGTCTTTGATTCTAAACTTACAGGACTTTACTTCAGTTATTAACGGGCAGTTTGGACTTTGGATGGTCAAACTAGACCTAACATTTATTCAACTCGGTTAAAAGAATTTTATTAATGAACGGCCAAGTCATTTTGTTCAAACACTACAGGTGTTAGCTTATCCTTGAACAATTTAAACGGTTGTATCAAATTATCAATAGTGATGCCACCTCAATCCTCAAGTCTTGTTTTTTTAACAAATTATATAGAGCCAAGCCCTTTTTTAGGTACCTATAACAAAAACGCAAAGCGTAAGACAGTTCTCACCCGTGAAATGACAAGTTTTCACTTCTAGTTTTATAAATTTTTATATTCTACCCTTAAATTAATACTTTCAATTTTAATCTAAATTAATAAATTATTTCTTAACTCTCAAATAATAGAGGAGATTATAGCAGAGGATGCACATTAGCAAATGTCGCCACGCTTTTTTTTTCCGGTGGTTCCATACAAACAATTCTCCCCGAGTCCAAACACCAAAACCCCATCGACCACACCAATTGCTATTCTAGCTGATTTGTGATTCAGCCATCCATCCCTTCGTTCCGACAATCCCAACAACCAAATTCACCTCTCACCGTGCCCATAGTCTCACACCTCTTCTCTTCAAAAGCCCCACACAACCCAAACCGTGTTAGTCTCCAATTGTCGGGACCTCCTCTAGGTTTTCTTGTGGGTTTTTGTGAATTGGGTTTAAATTGAAGTTTTTGGGTGGATGATTGTTTTGAAGTGTTTTGTATGTTTGGGTTTTTTTCTGGCTGATTATTTCCTCTTGCCGATGACTCACCATCCCCCTCCCGAAGAAAGAAGAGGTAAACATGAGTTTTTTGTGAATTTTGGTTTAAATTGGAGTTTTCTACTATTTTGTCAATGACACTTTGCTTTTGATTATGTTAAATGATTTTCTATTAATTTAAGGTTAATATGGATTTATACAACCAGAAGGTGAAACTGCCATTTAAAACCTGGTGGAACAGTCGTTTACTCTAAAGAAACTTATTGCATGCCTTTCCATGATATATTATTATTATTATATTATTATTTTGGTCTCCTAATTAGGACCACTAGAAGTACTTATTAGATCATCAAACGTGGAGTTGGCATCGTATTTTTAAATTCAAGAGTTGTATGCAACACGTTGCAATTGGATTATTAATTTTACCTATTACATTAAAGATATTTAATATTATTATTTTTTATACTTCTAATTTCAAAATAATCATTCCATTAACTGCCCATAAACTAAAAGTCGTTACGATGTGTAACATGTGTGAAGTTTTATGGTAAGCTTATCCTTGATTGTTCTCGGCTATATGATTGTCTATTTAATTAAAATCATCAAAAAAACTTGCAGAACGTGATACAAATAACCTCCATGTCCAGCATATCTCGTGAAGAACGGTATCCATGGATTAAAATAATGCAGCTCTTTGATGATAAACCATGAAGATTAGACGACTTTTCTCACCTATGAGACTTAAAAATATCATTTATTACTCAAAGTTAGATTGTGTTTTTATTTAGACATTGTTGTGCACCACACCACCCTCTCTCTTACCCCAATCATCATCACCAAAAACATTCAACCCTATCCCTCCAATCCCACCATCATAAGCAATTGAAGCGATTAGAGTTTGGGTTAACCGTCCTTTTAAGTCAAATTCTGCACAATCTCAATTATCAAAATTCAATCTCCACCACCAAAAAAGACTAATAGGTCTCCCCTCTTCAAAAGTCCCAATAGTCTTGACGAGTTTATTCTCTGTTCACATCAAGATATTAGAAATTTAAATAATAAAATGGTATTTTAAAAGCAAGTGGGTGAGAAGTATAATACCCAGTTATTTGGGTGGGAAAAGTCGTTTAACTCTAACAGGAATGAATAAATGTCTAAAACCTTGCTAAAGAAATTATAAATGAACTTGTTGACCTCGATACAAAAAACCGGGGGCTTTTCATGTCAAAACAGAGAACTTCCTTAGGGTATCTTCAAATAACTCTTTAAATAATTTAGAGTGTATTTGGTTTAATATTTCTACCCATATTTTCAATCTTATTCCCCAAATATTGTTTGGCACATTATTCCATAAATATTACTATATTTTTTAATTACTTTTAGACTCCTTAAGTTTATTAATTTCATTAAATACTCTCCAAAAAAAGTTTAAAAATTAACAAAAATACCAACTCATCAACCCATACTTGCCAGATTCCGACAACCACCGTCGGTGATAGTCGGAATCTGTACAACGGCCTATACCACGACGGCCACTGGCCGGTAGTTCACCGATCTGGCCGTCAACGACAGCCAAAGAAATGGTTGTCGTTTTGGCCTTTTCCGGCAGTCGACGGCCACAGCAGGCCATAGATCTGGCCTTTTCCGGCCAGATCCGTAACGACGCGTTACGACACAGATCTGATCGGTTTGTGTTGTAACGCAATTTTTCGGCCAGATTCCAATAGTGGTGGCTGGAATTTGGCACTGCGGGTGGTGGGGGTGGGGGTATTTTTGTCATTTTATATGTTGGGGTGTTTAATTAAATTAGTAAACCTAGGGGCTTTTTTATAAATTTTTAAATTTTACCTCGTAATACTCCCCTACTCAACTACCTAATATTATTCTCAAAATCTTATCCAAAATAATAAACCAAACGCACCCTTAGGGTCCGTTTATTTTATTATTTGGGAATAATATTGGGTAGTTGAATAGGAGA